TAAATGAAGTAGTAGTTCAGTTAGTTCAGTTAGGTCAATACAATGAAGAGACTTCAGTAAATGAAGTAGTAGTTCAGTTAGGTCAATATAATGAAGAGACTTCAGTAAATGAAGTAGTAGTTCAGTTAAGTCAATACAATGAAGAGACTTCAGTAAATGAAGTAGTAGTTCAGTTAGGTCAATACAATGAAGAGACTTCAGTAAATGAAGTAGTAGTTCAGTTAGGTCAATACAATGAAGAGACTTCAGTAAATGAAGTAGTAGTTCAGTTAGTTCAGTTAGGTCAATACAATGAAGAGACTTCAGTAAATGAAGTAGTAGTTCAGTTAGGTCAATACAATGAAGAGACTTCAGTAAATGAAGTAGTAGTTCAGTTAGGTCAATACAATGAAGAGACTTCAGTAAATGAAGTAGTAGTTCAGTTAGTTCAGTTAGGTCAATACAATGAAGAGACTTCAGTAAATGAAGTAGTAGTTCAGTTAGGTCAATACAATGAAGAGACTTCAGTAAATGAAGTAGTAGTTCAGTTAGGTCAATACAATGAAGAGACTTCAGTAAATGAAGTAGTAGTTCAGTTAGGTCAATACAATGAAGAGACTTCAGTAAATGAAGTAGTAGTTCAGTTAGATCAATACAATGAAGAGACTTCAGTAAATGAAGTAGAAAGTCAGTTAGTTCAGTTAGGTCAATACAATGAAGAGACTTCAGTAAATGAAGTAGTAGTTCAGTTAGGTCAATACTTCAGTAAATGAAGAGTACTTCAGTAAATGAAGAGACTTCAGTAAATGAAGTAGTTCAGTTAGTAAATGAAGTTAGGTCAATACAATGAAGAGACTTCAGTAAATGAAGTAGTTGGTTCAGTTAGGTCAATACAATGAAGAGACTTCAGTAAATGAAGTAGTAGTTCAGTTAAGTCAATACAATGAAGAGACTTCAGTAAATGAAGTAGTAGTTCAGTTAGGTCAATACAATGAAGAGACTTCAGTAAATGAAGTAGTAGTTCAGTTAGGTCAATACAATGAAGAGACTTCAGAATGCAGTTAGTGTAATATTTTCTGTAGTCAATCCATCACATGGAGAGGTTGCTGCGATATGTTTTAGCCTCTTCCAAAATTATTATTTGTACAAGAAGCTGATCAATCCGCCACCAACATGCCTCCCTTGCTCCTTGCTCCCCTCTATAAATAAATGCCCTCATACCGTTGGAAGAGCAGTAAAACACGAGGTTTGTAAAGCACCCTGTGAAGATTCTATATTGTGAATTCAAACATGTTACAAGGCCGGAGTTTTTCTTTCAGTCATGTCTCATACAGGAACAAATATACCAAATGGTATGGAGAAACAAACGTCTAAAGAAGTTTCTTTAAAATAACAAAATGCTTTCATGCGTACATAAAATAGTTTATCTACGGCTTCCACACATCTAAGAGTACTTATCGATCAGAGATAAAGTGCGTGCATTAAACTCCCTTTGGTCTACCAGTCTTTGGGTTTCGTTTGAAGGCTTGGGCGGTGGTGTAGCCTAGTGGTTAAAGCGTCCGTTTGTCTCGCTGGAGGCCCGGGTTCGATTCCCCACATTGCACCTGCGTGTTGACTGGTACACACAGCCATCACAGTAGGATGGTTTTACTGAAAGGAGGCCACATGGAGCAGGGGCTATCATCTGATAAGCTGGGTTATTCCTGGAGTAGTCCAGTGGTTAAAGCCTTCACTCGCAACGCTGAAGAACCGGGATCGATTCCTCACATGGGTACAATGAGTGAAACCCATTTCCGATGTCCCCATCTGTGATATTGCTGGAATATTGCTAAAAGCGGCATAAAACTAAACTCACTCACTCCTTTGAGATAGCCACGTGTGATTTCGTTGATATGGATCATGTAGGATGCTTATAATCTGTCGCGGATGCCTTTTTTCTTCCCTATGAAAGTTCGGATGAAAAGTATAGATACACATACGTTAAAGTCCCACGCTTTATCTGACGACACACCGCGGTATATCGAAATGTCGCCAGGTGTTATAGTGGGTTATTATACCAGGTGCCACGCAATGGCTGACAGAGTTCGGTGAACAACTGAAATATCACGATTGTTCACCCCGTTTCGAAAACCGGGTGTGTTTACGATTCGATCATTTACATACCACAAGGCTGGAATTTTGCCATGTGCGGCCTTAACCAAAACGGGATGGGATGGTGACTTGAGTGATCATGTATCAACGTACGCTGAAGGCGTTGAGCATTGCCTGTGCTATGTCCTCACGGCACGGAATCGGTCGTTTTCATACAGCTAAAATATCATTTATTGAGGCGTTAAACAAGGTTTACTTTCTCATTTAATCACGCCCCCAAAAAGACAAATAGCTGTGTCATCTTGCTGTACAACAGCATTTGTATACTTCATGTGGAAATCAATGACCCTTGAAACATTAGTACTACTGGAATAAAGTAACTGTGCATTATTTAATGTTGTGCCATTTGTAATGCAAAAGGACCATAACCTGATCTGTGGTGTTTTCCTAAATCACTGTTTAATTGTTGACATAATGATATCGAAATCTGTATGATTTGACCCTATGCATCGTGACACGCACTTACAGAGATTTGGTGTCAAAGGTCAGTTCCCAAATTGAATATCGCGTGCGTCCACCATTGGCGTTGATGCAGGCTTGACAACGTCGACACACAGACACTAAGCTTGGGGACTGTTGTTCCATCTCTGAACCAACGCTTGTCCTATTTCAGCTAACGTCAATGGCTAATTCTGGGCTTGACGTAAACGTCTCTCCATTTCATCTCAAGCGTGCTCGATAGGGACAGGGCCGGAGAAACAGCTGACCAGGGGGAAACCGGAATGTCCAAGCGACATATGGACGGGCATTATCTTGCTGAAGCGTGGTCCCACCTCTCTGTCGTTCCTTGAATGAACGGCAGCACATGAGGCCCAATGACCTTATCCCAGTATCGCAGACCTGTCAGATTGCATTGACAATGACAAATTGTGTCCGACCATGAGATGTGATGACTCCCAATACCATAACGCTTTCTCCACCAAACTGTCGACGTTGAACAACGCACACAGCATACCGTTCACCTCGCCGTCTGTAACCCTTGTCCTGAAATGAAATCTCGATTCGTCAGTAAACAAAACACCATTCCAATCTTGTCTCCTGCCGTAGGTGCTGTCTGCACCAGGCAAGACGTGCCTATCGGTGACGTTGGAGCAAAATTAGACGTGCTGCAGGCCGTCGGGGCCGGATGTTGTGCTCCCTCAGTCGATTCCATACAGTGCTGGGACTGATTGGACATAAGCCAGGAATGGTCCGAGCAGTCAAACTGGCAGTCTGGAATCCATTCCTTAGATGGGTCAGCCGAAGGTGGTTGTCTTGCTGACGTCACGTCACGCGTAGACGGTCGGTCCGAGGCAAATCTCTCGTGTTCCCATTTTGTTTGAAAACGTTTCCATAGAGATGAGATAGTGTTTCGATGGACACCAAAATGTCTTGGGCCATTCCTGTTTCCAGCATACCAACAGCGCGGAGACGCTGATTTTCTGTAAGCCCATGCAGGCGTGACGTTTAGGTTGAAATTAACGTGTTTTCCACAACATTCAGAGGCTAGAGAATAATCAACCGTTCTTCAATTTTCAATTTCAGGTGTGTGAACTTCAGGTGTCAAAAAGCATGCAAAAAGTGAGTAAGTTCATTGTACACAAAGTGCACGTGACACGCGCAATACGTGACATCAAATTTCATGCATAGTGAGTTTAGTTTTACGCCGCACTCAGCAATATTCCAGCTATATGGCGGCCGTCTGTAAATAATCGAGTCTGGACCAGACAAGCCAGTGATCAACATCATGAGCATCGGTCTACGCATGACATGAGTCAACCAACCTGACCACCCGATCCCCGTTAGTCGCCTCTTACGACAAGCATGGGAAGATCAATTCTAACCCGGATCTTCACGGGTTTCATTAATAGTGCTTTGGTACATGTATATTTAGGGTTATTTTTATACCTTTCAAATACTTTTATTCTATGCAATTTTATGTTAAGCACGGTTACTTTTTTCCGTTAGTATACTAGTATATCGCTCAGTACTTTGAACCCTAATTCGAAGTTATTGAAACTAACGTCATGAACTTATCTTTTCTGCAATCTGTGTCTATCATTAGATAATCTGTCTGCTATGCTGACTGTGCTAGGTTTACTACTATATATAGACTGAAAATGGCTCCAATTTTGTCACGCAGATGCCCCGTGTGGTTCCACAGTGGGCACAGTGTGTGGTGCACATTTCAGGGACTGTGAACATGGTACCTTCCTTGGTGTAGTATAGACTATGAAGGAAATGATTGATGGGCGTCAGGTAGACAGATGGATAGATTTAAATTTAGTCAATAAATAATTCTTTTAACCTACTGATGTATCAAAAATCGCTTTACTCCCAACCGTTTAAAACAGAGTAACCCCCAACGTATTCTACCATGAAAATCACACGTGTGTAGGCCTATAGATCTATCGATTAACGCGTTGTTGATGTCGGTCCTATCGACGACCCTCGCCCTGGCCTTGACGCCCGTCTCTGTGATCCCCACTGTTCATGGTTATCTCTGAACAAAAGGTGAATCCTAAGATTTTTACTTGCATAGCCAATTTCGTGCTTGAACGGTTTTGAACAGCACATCTCAATTAGTCAAATAAGTCAGTGGCTCATGCATGTGCGGTTCTCATTGACACATGGCTGAACTTAAACATGTTGTACCGATTTCCGCATATGACTCCAATATATCACATGTAGGTCAAAGACAATAACAATATCTTCATCAGAACTGCATATGTGAACTGCCCTTGACAATCATATCTATATCTCCCTTACTAGAAGGCGAACATTGCAGCAGTTATGTCGAACCATAATGCACATTTTTAATCAGTTGTCACGTAAAGGGCACCTTGCTGTAAAATCTCGCGAGATAACGTAAAATTATGGGCTGTGCGTGAATTTCGTTTTCAGTGGACGCCATATTGGAAGTGTCTGGTATTTCCCGCCTAAAGGCACAACATTTTCAATTTACACCGTAAATTGATAAATTGGCGTTGTGACATTTGATCATATGATCAGAAATATATCAATGTAACTACTACTGAATGTAGCTCGTCTTCCATCACGCGCCTTCATTGCGATGGTGCCCTTTTTGACGCTGGACTGTTGACCCTTCCTGCATCGACGCAATCATGAACAGATAGGATCATTGCTGCAAACTAATTCAACTAACTACAACTTACATAAAACCTTAGACTGCGGACATCTCTAAGAGTGAGTTTGTCATTTATGCCGTGCATGTGTGTAGTGCGATTGGTGATTGAGATCTATTTACCAATGGTGCACTGATCAAAACAATGTCGAGGGTCGTCTGTCAGAAACGCCTACTCGGTTATTCCGCACCTGGAATTATTTTGTATCCCTGTCGAGTGGCATGGCCATGCAACACTGAACGTCTGAAGTTTTTATTTTAAGGTTACGGCTTTCATCCTTCGTGTTGCTACTTCTTGCGTAATGACTGACGATTTCCCTGACCGTCAAACGTATTAAGTCACCTGTGCAAGTTCATTCTGCATGACCTCGATTAATTATATTGGTAAACATCATACTGTTTCGGGTTTTAAGTCGGATAATCATTACCCTATTTGATTATGTGGCTATGCATATTTTAACATTAAATGCCAAGTACAGTACCTGTGTAATTCATTTTTCAGCCGGAAGTAATTGGAATACATCGTCATTGGTGCAATATCAAATTTGTATTCTTTGACTTCATTGAAAAAGTTAATGTACAGGCACAGTTAAAACAGGATTTTTTTTTTATATATTGTTCAATTTAATGTTCAACCATTGGCACCTCGTTCAGTGACCATGGTGACACATGACAGGTTGTGAATGCATGAACTTTATTATTGCCCCAAAAGCTCTGTACACTGGGGGTTTGGGTTTTTTAGGGTTGTTTTCATTCTTGCAACTAATAGCATTCATTCTGCTGTCAATATATTCTTTGCTTCACCATATTTTATTTAGATTTTTTAATTTAAGTATCAACACTATATTAAATGGTTGGCTGCTTATTTTTTCTTTAAATATATACTCTAATATATAACTTGAATACAAGTAAAAAATTGCAGGGAATTTGTTTTTGGAGTTGGTTATCTAAGCAGTAATTTCCATCATGTTATAAATTTGATATTATCACTCTTATCAATCTTAAAAAAGTACATTCAAACAAGTCAGATGATACAGTGCTCATCAGCAGACATTAATTTCAATTAGTCAACATGCGAAACATCTGGAATAGCTACATGTCACTTCCCAAATCAAATTTTCATGGTTTTGTTTTGTGCAAGTTACTGATCTGAAATGAATTGTCTAATTTCATGTTGTCTACCCAAGCTTAGATAAAACTAGAACCTGTTCCTAAGGGTAATAATATTGCATCAGACAACTTGCCCAGGGGTCATTACTGATCAGTTGGTTTATTAGTACCAGAGATTGACATCTAATTTTTACTTAGGTAACATTAAAAGTTAAGGGCCTAAGAAAGTTTATGGGTTTCTAGACTTATAGTTTGGCATGAAATGCATGTGGACCCGCTTTTTTGTAAATATCTTTTCATCCAATGACCCAATCGATCTTAAACTGTGCAAGTGGATGTTTTGTCAGACAACCTAATCACATTGTAAATCACCGATTTTATACATTTGTACTAAAGAATCCGTCTATGTAACTGTCAACAAAATAAACAGCAGAACGCAGAATGCTTGCAGAGGGAGGGAGTCAATGACCTGTAACAGCGGCAGTGTCGGGTCATAAAGGTCAATGCACGTGCAGTTCATGATAGTTACCTGTGCACTGCACAGTGATAGACCGTTTGGATCATTCACATTGACTACTTCTAGCTGTCATCATGAAAGCTTATTCAGATGATGCTAAACGTTTAATTAGAAATGTGTTGAATTTTTTTTAAAAAGAGATCAAACGTAGCAAACCGATTTATAAGGTGTCGGATTACATGAAACTACAACTTTTGCTCTTGGCATGAAAAGAACATCGTGCTAAAAATTGTGAAAAATAAACCAACAACCAATAAACAAAACCTTGTACAAAAAGGTAGGCATCCAAAATTAGATTCTTTTGACATCAGGGTCATCAGAGATGTCATTCGCCGGCTATTTGCAAAATTTAAAGATTTTAACCTACAGAATAATTCTCACTAATGGGTTTTGCCGTTAATGTTGAACAACTCAGAGAAACAAACTATGATGGTTAACAGTTGGCACCCACCTTACCCTATTCACGACCTGTGACACCTCTTCATACCTATCACGTGCATAGCTGACCTACATTGACGAACGTTGACCTTTATGACCCAACACTGACGCTGTTACAGGTCATTGGCTCCCTCCCTCTGCAAGCATTCTGTGTTCTGCTGTTTATTTTGTTGACAGTTACATAGACAGATTCTTTAATACAAATGCATAAAATCGGTGATTTACAATGTGATTAGGTTGTCTGACAAAACATCCACTTGCACAGTTTGAGATCGATTGGGTCATTGGATGAAGAGATATTTACAAAAAAGCGGGTCCACATGCATTTCATGCCAAACTATAAGTATTGTAGCAGAAAACTTCAATAACCTCCGCACCTAATCTATCATTTTTTGACAGTGACCATGACGCCAAACCATTCATGTCAAGATCACTGGTGGTATGCAAGGGTTGATTAAACACATATTTAGCTGAGCATATGTTCTGTTTGATTGGCATTTTAGAAGTTGGTGAGTAACAATAAAGGCAGGATGACAACTTCTTTATTACATGTTGATGCAATGTTTCGGTATGGATTCTCTATCTACTTGTGTCAGGCTCTTGCTTTAAAATGTGATCTCCAAAGTTATTCATCTGTCAGCTCATATCTATAACCCTACATTTACCAGATTTGTCTGCCATTTTTGTGCCCTAAGGTTATTGCATATTTGGTAAATATTTACTACATATTTCACTGAAAAACTTTTAGTACTAATCACATGGTCACACAGGACAATGTAGTTATCATGAGTACTAAAGCACAGCTTGTTTTGTATTTGAACCAGTTGTTCCTGAAAGATTCATTATGACTTCCACAACTTTCACTGCTCAGTTCATGCAAGATTATACTTGTTGGTTTTGTGTAAAATAAGTAATCTGTCATGAGTATTGTCAGGTTTGAACTAATGGCTGAGTGACATGTATAATCTTCAGCAAATGTACCGTTTTGGACTCACCAAACAGAAATGTACTCTCCATTAACTCTAAACCGTCTATAACTGATGTCAGGGTAGGAATGGGCTTAATTTTGTAAGGAGATGCAAATTGCTGTGCAGCGTTCCAACCCCCAGGTTTCTCAATAGCACACATCACGAAACATTTCCTTATGATTTCAGCATGAATTATTTCAGAAAATGGTGCTTAGCTAGAAACCAGGAAAAAATTTAAGTTCAGTTTTGCTCAGCTGCATTGAAGTCATTGTGATGAAAAAATATAAACTTTTGGGGAAATACAGCAACATGTGAAAATATGTGCTGCTGTGAAAGTGTGTCATGGTCATTGAGGTATCGTTAGGTGATGTTGGTATAATGCATGACATGTTGACATGAAGCAAGATGAAAATTATAATTTCACTGCGAGCACTAGAATCGATAAGAAATTATTAGTTTAAAAAAATGTGTAACTTTGTCAGAAACTGGCACCAGCCTGATCAATTTGCTAAAGTTCAAAATATTACTGTCGTCAAACCAGTGAAGTACATTTGAAGCTTTTGTGTGGGCGACAACAGTCTGTTGTTTCCTTGCATCATTTTCAGTAGATTTTAGTGTAATCATATTCACACTGCTATTCACTGATGACACTGGACACAGGTGTCTGGATGATTTGGGATACATTTATGTCCAGCTGGTTGAGAACATGATCGTGCATTGTCCAAAGTATCTCATTGTTGAAATAATGTTTGATATTTTAGATTAAGGTAGGTTGCACACTATAATTTGAAAGAATTCATTGTTTACTTCTAAGGGTTCACATTTTGTTATCCCCCGCAACGCGTTTTGCGGGGGGTATTAAAATGGACTCCGTCCGTGCGTGCGTCCGTCCGTCTGTCCGTGCACATTTGTCTTTTCCGGAGCAGAACTCTAAAACCGTTCAATATTTCTTCACCAAAGTTGTCACATACATGGATCTGGTGGTGTACTGGTGCCTTTTGGTAGTTTTGGAATTTTGAATTAAATATTTTTGGCGTTTCCATGGCAACAAGTTCGACTTTGACTGAAATTGGTGGTAGTGCTCTTTTCCGGAGCAGAACTCTAAAACCATTCACTATTTCTTCACCAAACTTGGCACATAGAAAGATCTGGTGGTGTACTGGTGCCTTTTGGTAGTTTTGGAATTCTGAATAAATATTTTTGTCATTTCCATGGCAACAGGTTTGACTAAAACTGAAATTGGTGGTAGTGCTCTTTTCCGGAGCAGAACTCTAAAACCGTTCAATATGTCTTCACCAAACTTGGCACATAGATAGATCTGGTGGTGTACTGGTGCCTTTTGGTAGTTTTGGAATTCTGATTAAAATATTTTTGGCATTTCCATGGCAACAAGTTTGACAGACTAAAATTGGTGATAGTGCTCCTTTCTGGAGCAGAACTTTCAAAACCTTTCAATACTCTCCTTCCACTTTTCTATATACACACCTAAATATTTGACATAATCATAACTCGTAGACATAATCATGAAGAGTATTTTGCCATTGCGGGGGATATTGATGACTTTGTCTTCTTGTTGTAATTTGGTGCTGATGGCATAGTTAAAAGCAAAGTTTTAGTTTCAGGTGTCAGCATGACACTTAGAAAGCTTTTCTCTTCCTTGTGTGTTACAATTTATATTATGACATTAGAAATTAACATGACAAGCCCAAATCTGATCCAGTAAAGAAGAAATACATACTTCTTTTTGAAAATGAAGTTTTGATGTATGATGTACTCGGAGATGCAGACAAGATGCATAAATTATGCAAATATTTATGTAAAAACTCAATTCCTATTAGGGGCGGTGGGGTAGCCTAGTGGTTAAAGCGTTAGCTCGTCACGCCAAAGACCCGGATTCGATTCCCCACATGGGTACAATGTGTGAAGCCCATTTCTGGTGTCCCCCACCGTGATATTGCTGGAATATTGCTAAAAACGGCGTAAAACCATACTCTCACTCACTCACTCTCTCAATTCCTATTAAGTCTATTGCGTACAAGTACACTTGAATTTTTGTAAATACTCAACAAATTTGATCTAAATGCATGCATACAAAATGTCAAATCTTAGCTTGTGTATCGGTGAATTAGTTCCTGTCACCAAACCTACTAGAATTTGGGATAAGCAGACCCATGTGCTACAGATGGAGGTTATTGAGGACAGATAAAACCCCGATGTATATTGAGAGGTTCTATTTCAGCACATGAACTTGGCAACTTTCAGTCTTTGTTATCGTTTCTTATATTACAGATCAAATATAAATAACAAACATGTAAACCAACATTTAAACTTTAATATATTTTTACTATTAACCGAAAATGGAAAAGTACCCAATTGAGTAGAGTGAGGTGGGTACAATTTATTTGGTTACTCAAGGGAAAATAAGGATACCCATTGAGATGAACACAAGCGAGTACATAACTCAATGACCAAAAAGTTATCTGTAGATCTGTGTACTTGTGACTTATATTACCGTTAGGATTTTATATGTCTTCCAAAGAAAGTGTTTGCCATTAATGTACCATGTTTTTACTTTGACCTTAAAGTATCACTCTTGTATTTGTGAATGATTGATTATGTTGTTTCAGCGTGTGTTTTGTTTTTCAGATCAACCATGTTCTGGAAGTTCAATATATTGACTTCCTCTCACATTGACTCACTGCTTGACAAGGAGGTATGTGATTTAAAGTATTTGCTCTTCTGTGACTAGAAATTCAAAAGGAAGCTTTGTTCATTTGTAATGATTGACTTGATATTGATTCAGATAGCTGGAATACTGCTGAGTGTGGCATTAAACAACAATAAATATGAACAGTTAAATTAGGTTTGCATGAAGATGTATCAGATGTACCAGTTACCTGATCTGAAGCTGAATCTTTACCTGCGTGATCCAGCTTGGGGTCTCAGTGACGGTGAAGGATTTGCAAACCAAAAATATATTGATTGACATTACTGTATTTGATATAGGGTTATGATGATTTAAGAAGGTAATTTATTCTCAAATCATGTAATAGTGAAATTCGAAATCTTTTATGTAGGAAATCACATACTCTTGTTTGTTGTCCTCTCACTGACAGTTTGTGTGAGGTTGAAAGCAGCCCTCTTGGTCTTGATACGCTCTCTCAAATTGGGAATCAAACAGGGTTTTGTCATTGTTTATCATTAGTTTGTTCAAATCAGTCATGGAGCGCAATTGGCTGTAGTTCAAGAAGTAATATCCAGAGGTACAGATAAGCTGCGTATCTGCGTAAATCACGCATATATTTATGTGAAAACTCAATTCCTATTATGTCTATTGCATACAAGTACCCTAAATACTCAATAAATTTGATCTTATATGCGTACATACAAATCTTAGCTTGCGTACCGGTGGATAGATGAAATAACTGGGGTATATTGAGAGGTTCTTTTTCAAAACATGAACATGGCAACTTGCAGTCTTTCGAATCTTTTCTCATATTACAGATCAAATATAAATAACAAACATGTAATCCAACGTTTAAACTTTATTATATTTTACATTTAATGGAAAATGGCAAAATACCCAATTGAGTTTGAGTGAGATGGATACAATCTATTTGGTTACTCAAAGGAAAAATTAGGATACCCAAATGAGATGAACACAAGCGAGTACATAAATCAATGACCAAAAAGGTATCTGTAGCTCTGGATATCTGTCCCAAGTGATTTGTGTCTCATTTGTTTGTATATTTTTTAGAACAACTCCTTTTCTGGTTGGCAGCATCACTGAATACAATTTTAAAAGTATGGTGACTGTCAACAGTAATATATTGCTCCAAGTGTTTGTGTACCGGAAACCCTGCAGTCCCTAGATATTTGTTTCTCTTTACATGTATTATTGAAGCTGATATATTAACATGGTAAATGATGTGTTTTCAGGATGTTACATTACGAGAGCTTATGGATGAAGATGATATCCTTCAAGAATGCAAAGCTCAGAACAGAAAGCTCATCGAATTGTAAGTTGAACAGGTCTCCAATGCAATCATTTCAACTGTTGTCTTCTATATGGACACAGTTTGTGCCAAATGCCCTCTGTCTACTCATCCTCATGTCTTTTATCTTCTGTGGTGATATTAGTCACAATTAATGTACAATAGTAGGCAGCAATAAACTAATTGTTAGATCCTTCATATTTATTTTGAAAATGTGAGGATACAGGACTATGTCTCCATTTCCAAGGATAACAAACTTCACTCTCAAAACAATTAAAAGAGAAATTCTTGAAACCACGTGTCACAGGAAGTACTACAGTTCATCAACTTTCCATTAGCAACAGCTCATCAATAATTGTCTTGACAGCTATAGTCTTGAGTCATAAACTGTTATGAAATTCAGTACAACTCCAGGAACAAGAACGAAGGACTCTACCCTTTCCATTTCTGACAATTACAGCATCACAAATGTTGTGTTGATAGATTATCATAGCTTGATGAATCAATATTTACCTTCATCCATAATGCTACATTTACATGTCATGGATATTAATATGACTTTCCTCAGAAACCAGAACTGATATCAAGCTGACATTTGCTCAAATTGTTTAACAGCAAAACATGCAGACTGAAAGGCCTGTCCATCTGTGGCATTTGTTGCAATTCAAAACATGGACATTTGAAACTAGGGCAACATGGTACACTAGCTGGACAACAATATAATTTATACCAAAGGAAGATGTCAGTTTGATGCTGGGAATTGCATTTAGAATAAGTTGTATTTCATTCTTTGCAACAGTTCCAAGTAACGATGTTGAAGACATCTGCAGATGTTGATTAAGGGTGTCAAACGTTGCTAACAAATTATTGGTGGTGTGTTTTCTAGTAAAGCAGCAGGGGATTATGATCTAAAACAACTGTTTTGTTGTGGCATGAACTTCCTTGACCAGAAGAAATTTTACTAGACATGCATTTGAAGTACAAGCTGAAGTTGTATACTGCTAATAGTCATAGGGTTGCCCAGAGGTTAAGGCTTTGACCAAGACCTATGTTTAGAGTCCTCTGTGATAAATAATATATAATGCTAAACTATTATAATACCCAACTAATTTCCTTCCAAACCCTGACATACTTGTGAACTGTGTTGTCTGTTTCAAGCATCATCCAGCCAGAGAACATGGAGGAGATGGTGCAGCTCATCACAAAAGATCCTCCTGATGATGTGGACGAGAAAATGAGATTCAAGTAAGTACCCAGACAGTGTTTTGTCCTACATACAGTGAACAGTCTCAACTTTATAGATACATATTAGCTATCTACCCATTAAGAGTAAAAAAGTTATAAATGCAATGTCTCATAAATACAGGTATAAGTTTAAGGCATTTCAGAATTCTGATGTTTTCAGTGCACATAAATTCACCAGAATTAATTTCAACTAATGTCTGAATCTTGATGTGCCCTGAAATTGTGTTTTGCTCTCTCACTGTAGAGCTGATGTTAACCATCAGTCATGTTTTCCCCCAGTCATACTGCATTTGATATCCCAAATCTTGTAGCCTCAATCATACACATCAATAATTTCTTGGGAAGGATCTTGTTAACAGACCAAAAAATAGTGCTAGATGTGACAGAAAAGAAAGTACAACAGGGATGGCAATTTTCCGCCAAATTTGTTTCAGATTGATCATTCTGAATCCCCCATTCGATGACACAATAATAAGTTTTCAGCTGAAAAAAATATTTTCCTGTTGCTTTCCCTGGTATAAAAAAATACATGAATAACTAAAGTGATGTGCTTATGTTTGTATATGTAGAAACAGGTATTATAAATGAAGGCCTTAATAGGCCCGACACATTGTGTTTCAGATACCCCAACACTGCCTGCGAGGTGCTGACATCAGACGTTACCCAAATAAATGACAAGTTGGCTGGGGATGAAGCACTCATAGATAAACTTTATGGTTTTCTTGAGGGGGAGAAACCGCTAAACCCATTGCTCGCTAGCTTTTTCAGTAAAGTGATGGGTTTATTAATTACACGGAAAAGTGAAATGGTGAGAATCATTGCAGAGCAATGTGGCATCGTTTTGGGGTAGGATTCCTTTCTGCATGCTGTCTGTTTGTCCTACGTTTCTATTTCTGTTCCTGGTTCTTTTCGTTCATTCGTCTCATTTTCCATTAGATTTATTCAGTTACAAAAGGACGAGGTGGGAAACGGTCCTTTTTGGACATGCTGAAAAATTAAGTTGCGGTATTGGCAGTAACTCTTTGCTTTCCTACACTTGCAAGATTAGTGACATGATCAAGTACAGAAGTTCAGCTACAATTCATGAAAATGATGATATTTTCAACGGGCAGAGAAAGTCTGTGAAGATGTATTTGCTGTCATGTCGGTACTACTTTCATTTACATCTTCATATACAAAGGTTAATTATGGGTCTTATTCTACCTCGTCGTTTGTTTCATTTTATTCATCCCTCTTAATCACCAAAAATCAGTTCTTTTTGTTCACAAATCACAATTCGGTCATCACTTTCCTCGACCTGTAAACTTGACTTAATTCTATCTGCTATATCTTTAAGTCTTTCATTCTTGTGTCATACTGGTTCAGATTAGCAAGTCATCCTTCTTGACTTATTTCTGATTGCCTAAAAATCTTTAGTTGTTGACAGATATTTGAATACCTGAAGAGTAAGAAGGACTTTGTGGGCAGTTTGTTAGATCACATCGGCACATCAGCAATAATGGATTTACTACTGCGATTGATCACCTGTATAGAGCTACCAGATGTACGCAGAGCTGTGATAGATGTACGTAACAAATGCTTGATAAAGTGGTAATGTATGTCCAGTATGTAGTCAGATAAGATGAACCATCTTTCTGTTCTGTTCCTAAGGCATCAAGTCAAGCTTTCATATACATCATAGGACTGACCTTATGTTATCCAATGTATAAACTGTATGTACAGTGTATACTATCAGGAGCACAGACAATATATTCATGGTTAACAACCCGATAACAAGCTGTGTAACCTAGCAGATACGTAGACTGACTGACTGAGTTTGGTTTTACGCCGCTTTTAGCAATATTCCAGCAACATCACGGCGGGGGACACCAGAAATGGGCTTCACGCATTGTACCCATGTGGGGATTCGAACCCGGGTCTTTGGCGTGACGAGCCAACGTTTAACCACTAGGCTACCCCACCGCCCGAGATACATAGAGATTATTACACTTGAGGGATGATATCGGACAAGATATGAAAAATGAAGTGTAATAATCTTTTTATCAATTAATACCTGCCTAAATTAAGATTTCTTTCAGTTACATGGATTTTTGTTCTTTTTTCTCTTTGTCCAAATACAACGTTAATAAAAAAATAATGACACAAACAACAAAGACAAATATTCCGTTCAGTGAATTTAATAAACTCAGAAAACATAGAAAGACAGAAGGAACAGTAACAGGAACATACTGCTTCGTTTCGATTTCCATATTTCCTTCGTCCTTTCCCCGGCCATGATCAAAGTATGATCTAACATGATGCCATCTCTATGACCCATCTTTCTTGATGTGACGTCATTCGATTCATTAACGTTCCGTGATGTCGTGTACAAAATTGACGGGGAAGATATCGATATCTTCCCTCCTCTCAGCGGGCAAGATATGACCATGCCGATCCTGCCCATATTGGGGTGGCAAAAAAACTCCATATCAGGAAAATATCACTGTATTAAGTGATAAATGTTTTTATAGTTACCTTTGGCAAGTTGTTCTAATATCCAGTTATTTGTCTTCAAATTATTGTACAATGTCAAAATAAAACGAATATATTAATTGTGCTCATGAATACACCAAAATGCATACATTGCTTTTAATGTCACAGAGGGTTTCCTGGGTATTCTTGAATACTGTTTTTGACAACCTGTGTGCTTCAATTTTGTTTCTCAACATGAAGACATTATAACAATAATGTAAACCGGAATAGTCAATGAATTAGAACTGAAGTAAGCACATTCATCTTTTATTCCCCTATTTGGCCACACAAGTGTTCGTTGTATACCTGACTTACATTAGTAATGCATTGTGATAGTTTTGTATCCATACTTCATTCAACATTCATAGCATTAATTTTGGTGAAATTGTGTGTGGGCACACACCTTCACCTACCAAAGTGTCCTTGGAACAGATGTTAGTCATCACAGATGCGAAGTACCACTACCACTGTATCCTAATTTGTTTGCCCTTTGTTATATTTATGGTTTTGGTTATGAAAAGTAATTTCAAAATTTAATTGCCCACAGATTGTGGAAATGTGTGAACAGCTGATTGCAATGTCCGGCTATATTATGATGCACATACACACGTAATCTTAATTTCTACACATGAAAAAGGTCAGGCATTCAGTACACAATTACCTTTGATTTTGTAAATTATTACGCCTGATGACATTGACAAAATTAGGGAACAGCCTAACAAGCTCAAAAGACTACTGCTGCCATTACTATTAGCTAGTGCCAGATTCCCTTTGTGCTCACCATCTTGCATATTATAATAAAAGAGATGGGGCCCAGCTTACCATTACCACAACAGTAGCACTATATGCATTGACGTGGTGCGTATGGAAAGGGAGGTAACTGCATGCTGTACTGGATCTTGATATTCATAGAATGGCATTATTTCTCTGCTGGGGCTGTGTGTTCAAGATATTGGTCCTTTTGCAAATCATGTCATTTGATTTTTAGTTTTTAAATGCAATTTTCTTTAGTACTAAAATCCCTTTTACAAATAGAGGCATCTGTCCAAGGAAGGCTTTCCTTCATTTTTCAAAGAAAAAGGGACAAAGACAACACATTCACTTCTAGTATGTGTAGATGCAACAAGATGCCTTGTGAAAACAATAGACAGAAAAGTAATTTCAGTTAATGTAAATGTTATGTTTGTCCATGTATGTCACTTACCCAGATTATGGTTTCTATTGATGAGCTATATGTTTCCAGTGGTTGAATGACCAACATGTGGTGGAGCGGCTTGTAGCTAGCATAGTCCCGTCAACAGATGAAGATGTAAGTACACATGATTATTATTTGCACACTTTGTGATTACATTATGTGTCACTCCATCTCTCCCTTTTACTTTTTCTAAGATCCTGCCCAGGTCACTTCTCTTTATGGCCAGAATGTCATTCAAATGACAACATAATTTTTCTCAATAAGGTCAGAATGTTTTCGAGAGTGAAATTAAGTTAAATGTAATCAATTTTGTGTTTGCAGATAATCAATCCAATCATATTTTGTTGAATTTAAGGATAATTGTCTTACCTTTGACATAAGGTTCTTGTGTTTCATTTTGCCAGCCCATATGCAGTTGTAAGATTATGGGTTTAGTGTATGTTGTTCAGATATAATGACATGAAATCTATGAATATTAGAGATAATTAGTGTGTCACTGAGTGTAGAAACCATGACAAGTTCTGTATGGTCTTCATTCTACAGATTCACTGCAATGCAGCCCAGTCTCTCTGTGATATTGTACGTCTTGGAAGAGAACAAATTATTCAACTACAGGACTCCTCTGATCCAGATCCCTTGTTGGTTACAATGGAACTGTAAGTTGGATTCGTTTGGCTACCAATTTCTAAAAAAGAAAGATCTGTTGAGAAATACAGAGAGATGAATTTGAGTAAACTGAGGTGAATTTCAGATTTATGAATACTTGTGAAGAATAAGTCTTCAAACCCATACTGATTGTACCAGCAGCTACTGTTGGGATTCCATGGGGTGGTCACACATGCTTTATATACTTGTTTGTCTGACCAAGACAATGATGTTGGGTTGTTGTAATACAGCTGGGACATGGAGTTGACCATTGGTTTACCTGGCTGAGACTTGGTAATAAAGAAATCTGCTGAGGTTTGACTTGTATATTGACTGCAAACAACTTACACTCCCTCACTCAACAGGGCTCAATTTAAGCATTTAGAACTTGCACTGGTGCAACCTGAAACTGCTAAATGCGACCTCATATGTATATCAACTTGCACCCAGTGCATGTTAATGTTTTGTGTTCAAAGAACACAGACTTCAGATGGAAAACAGAATGATGAGGAACTGACTTGGAGCTCAAGCATTATATAAGATTTTATATTAAGCTGCAGGTGCAACCTGTTTTTTGTTTGGTGCAACAAGGTGTTTGCCTCAGGTTGCACTGGGTGCAAGTAGGTTTCATGTCCTAAAATCGACCCCTGCTCAGTATCGGGTTATGAAAAAAATATAACTGTATCAAACGTGGGAATTTCAATGCTCTGGGTTAGTTTGTTACCATTTATGATTTATTATAATGTATTTCTGTGTTTTCAGAGAGGAAACTGTGGCACAGTTGTTAAAAAATCTTCTCGACACTGAGAAGAATGAATCTGTGTTGGTGAATGGGTTATTTGTCATACACACACTTCTAGAGGTTCGAAAGCAAGGGTAAGTGAAAACATGTTTCTCATTGTATCAGGTTGATCATGTCAGAAACCATTTCATCTCAGGGGGGCTGTAGGGTAGCCTAGTGGTTAACGCGTTCGCGCAACACGTCAATGGCCGGGGCCGATTCTCTACATGAGTACAATATGTGAAGCCTATTTCTGGTGTCGTGATATTGCTGGAATATTGCTAAAAGTGGCGTAAAACTAAACTCACTCATTTCATCTTGGGGCCTTTATTATTGTAATATGGGATTATTGTTTGTGAGATGCTGTTATCCATCCTTGAAAGCTTGGTTTGATGCAATGGTAGTGTTGGGAATCGGAAACCACATCAACTATCAATTATCAGAGGATTGTGGTGAGCGATTATCGATTATAATCGAAATATATACATTTTTAATGTAATCAACAATATGAACATTTTTTTCCCGCAGGTGTTTTCTAATTTTTGTTTTTTATAACTAATTCTTTAATACAATGAAATGCACACATGCAAGAAAGGCACTGGAATTGTAATTAAACAATAAAATTGGATAAAATTTTACAATGCGCATAGCTTTATGCTGTTGAGCACGTTTGTTTGTGAATATTCGTCAATTCTTTTTTATATATTCCTCCTTGGGGTACTTATAAGCATTTAAATGTCCATTTAAAATCCCTACGACAGTTGTAACAATATTTGAATAAAAAATATTTACAAAACAAAAACTACGTTTTGTCTTGTGAGACCACCCTTACAGGGCCCTCCGGCCCCCTACAGCCAAGAGCAGGTAACTCTAGACCAAAACCTCGTACCTCACTTTCCATGCTGTCGTTTCACTGGCAAGACGTGGGTCCACTTCGAAGAAGTTTAATTTCCTAAGCGACTTTGAGTGTCTCAGAAACAGCTACTGTATGTATGGTTCTCTTTTTTCCCTGCATGGGCGATTTGGAGACTTGTTCTGAACATTTTCATTTTTCTTTTTTGGTTGTAACTGCGTGTCAAGATGGCGGACAGGTCCCTTCGCTAGCCTCACTGTTCATTGGCTTCCCATGTGGTTTTCAATGTTTGGTGTGGTTGGTTATAGTGTTTATTATTTGTATGTTATTACATGTAGGGCGTTATTTCCGCTGCTAGCATTTTCTTTCTTTACGCTAAAGTCGTAATTGTTAGTTATGTTGCAGTGTGTCTTACTTGTTATTGTCAACTTCATGCTTACATATCGCATTAGTTGTGGTCGCCCATGCGTGTTTTTTTCATATATTTATGTATGTATAGGGTAGGTTACTGCATGGGTTTTTTACTTGTTGCAGTTTAAATCCTGTACTTCGTGCCTCGCAGCTATACCCGTGAGGGATACTCACGAGGTGTGTTTGCGATGTTTGATGGAGACTGATCACAACGAAACGGGTTGTCCTGCGTGTGCGATTTTCACACCTAAGACTGTTAAGTCCAGGCGGGTGGATAAGCTGTTCTACAGCAACTTGCTTCAGGCGGTGGGTGATATCTGGATTATCAACCTTAAGAAATCAGACCTCGTTCCGACGCAGGAACTGGTATTCTTGGGGGCAAGATTCAACGCGGAGCTGGGGATTGTTTCCCTCGCTCCGGACCGTATCATCAAAGTCCAGAGGACTGTGTTACAGTTTCTCCAGTCGCCCTATGCGCCGAACATGGCTTCGGTTGCTAGGCAACGAGGCGGCGACAGTGGATGTGGTTTGGCGTGCGCGTCTGAGGATGAGACCCGTTCAGCAAGCGCTAGCGCAGCTCTGGTCCCACTCGCAGAGCTACGACTATTCTCGCGACGCCCGAGTGGTTAATTCCTCACTTTCGGTGGTGGACGGACGTCAGGAATTTGTCCAGGGGGATCCCCCTAGACACCCCGACACCTTCCCTCTCAGTTCAGACGGATGCCTCCCTCACAGGATTGGGGTTGGGGGTGGTGGGGGGTCCTGGGCGAACACTCAGTCTCAGGCCTCTGGTCGGAGCGGGAAGTCAGCCTGCACATCAATGTGTTAGAACTGAGAGCAGTCCGCCGGATGTTCGAGAGCTTTCGGGTGTTTGTTCAGGGCCGTGTGGTTCGTCTAGAGATGGACAATCAAACGGCCATGTCTTACATCCTCAAGCAAGGCGGCACAGTGTCTCCGTCACTCCTTCAGTAGGCGTGGCAGTTTCTTCTCTGGTGCGATCAGTTCAACATTCGGGTTTTGCCTGTCGTTCCAGGTGGATCTGTTTGCGTCTGGGGTGACAAACCAGATTCCTGTGTTTTGCTCTCAGATTCCGGATCCGAGGGCGCTAGCCAACGACGCCTTTCAGCTAGATTGGACGGGCAGGGTACTGTGGGCGTTCCCCCCCGATACCACTGATCCCCAGGGTCCTGTCTCAGCTGACCGCACAACCAGCTCGGCTACTTGTGCTTCTTGCACCCCTTTGGTCGGCGCAGAGTTGGTTTCCGGTAATTCTCAGGTTTCTGGCTCAGCCTCCTGTTCTATTACCTTTTCGACCGGACCTCCTATCCCAGAACGGAGCGCCCCACCCGAATCCCAGGATTCAGTGGGTGGCTTGCCCGCTGTCCGGGATCGCCTCCGAGCGAGCGGAATTCCTGCACCAGTTGCAGACACAATTCTGGCTTCGCGGAGGGATTCGACAAACGTTCAATATGAGGATAGATGGGCCTGTTATTCGCGCTGGTGTGTCAACAGGGGGATTCTTGATCCCTTTTCTGCAGATTTAGTCTCTGTGTTAGGATTCCTCCAGTCTCGGTTGGATGCCTGTCTAGCGGCTTCAACTGTTCGAGGATATTATACGGCTATTTCTGCGTTTCACATTCCTGTTGACGGTGCTCTCTTGGGGCAGCACCCTCTTGTGCAGCGTTTTTTAGCAGGCGTGGACAGAATCCGTCTGGTTGTCCGGCGGATTAGTCCCCCGTGGGACTTGCCAATCGTTCTTGATTGGCTGTCCGGTCCACTATTTCACAATCTGTCAGCTCTTTCACTCCAGCTGTTAACGTGGAAGACGGCTTTTCTTGTGGCGGTAACTTCAGGCAGGCGGGTAGGCGATACTCACTGTTTTTCACCAAGACAGAGTTAGCATACGGCTGCCTGATACTTACCGCCCTAAGAAGGCTAGTGCCTTTCATGTGACAGCGCCTATTGAGCTCCCGGCTTTCACTCAGCCTCCCCTGCCCGGTACCTCTCTACGACGTGCTCACGTCTTAGATGTCCGTAAGACCCTTAAGGCTTATATCAAGCAGACAAGGGGTATCCGTAAGGATAACCAATTGTTTTGTTGTTATGGTGGGGTCAAGGCTGGTCTTCCGGGCGACCAAGCAAACCATATCTAGGTGGCTTGTCTCTGCCATACATATGAGCTATACTCACACAGGTCGTATACCGCCTGCAGGTTTGAAAGCTCATTCGGTTAGGGCAGTTGCTACATCGAAAGCTTACGCTGCAGCCTTGCCAATTGAGGAGATCTGCTCCGCGGCTATTTGGAGCCGACCGAGTACGTTCATCCGTCATTACCAACTTGACAGACTCTCCAGTGAGCGTGCTCGGTGCGGTCAGTCAGTTCTCTCCAGTGGGCATGGTTCCACCTCTCTAGCCGATTGAGCTTTTGAGGATTTTATGACGTGAACCATTATCTGCCGTTTTTCACTGGTGTTGGGTTTTAAACAACTTTTACCTATTCCCTTGGTGACGGGTTTTATATGGTGATAGTTTTTATTCCCATGTCTTTTGCATTACTCCGTTCTGCTCTAGACTTATTTGCCTTGGAAACTTTTGCTTACTAGACGTATTATGGCATTTTGTTTCTTGTGGCTTCTTGTGGGATTCCCTTATCTTCACTTCCGATTGATTACGGGAGGGAGGGAGGGTTTATCTCGACTGTTTCGCATTGTGATTGTAATGTGTTTGATGCTGACCCTGGCTCATGCCCCTGCCTGATTGGCTATGGTGGACACGTGACCGGGTAAGTGTGCTGTTTTCTGCTATTTTTAGCTTGGGAAATTCCACTTCTTGTCGGGGGTGTTTTATGCGGACAGAATGCCACTCCTTAGCTCCGTCTTTAGGAGTATGTCTTATGCTTATAAGTACCCAAAGGAGGAATATATAAAAAAGAATCAAACTAACCTGTAGAGGTTTCAGATTCTTTGAATATATTCCTCCTTGGAGTACGCCCGCCCACCTTCCCACATTCTTGTCTGACTTCGTTCAGCATGGAAAGTGAGGTACGAGGTTATGGTCTAGAGTTACCTGCTCTTGGCTGTAGGGGGCCGGAGGGCCCTGTAAGGGTGGTCTCACAAGACAAAACGTAGTTTTTGTTTTGTAAATATTTTTTATTCAAATATTGTTACAACTGTCGTAGGGATTTTAAATGGACATTTAAATGCTTATAAGTACCCCAAGGAGGAATATATTCAAACAATCTGAAACCTCTACAGGTTAGTTCGAATTTAATGGTTAGTTTACTTCATTCAAGTGTGTGTAAAATAACAAAATTCCGATTAATCGTTAATTTGTTAGTCTATTGTTTGTTGTTAAAGGCAACAAAATTTGTGCATGTAGATGTACATTGTTATAGAGAAAGCAGGGTTTTTAGATTGACTTTGTTTTACTTTATGCACATTATGTCTCGGTTTGTTTATAGTCTGGTAAGTAAAACGTCCCTTTTTCTGACTGGTAGGACCGAGGGAGCAGCTGATCACATGGCCGCTTTTGACACCGAACGTCTCACTCAGGGAGTCAATAGTGTGTTGGCAGCAATAAGTCCAAGGTTAAAAGACTTTCACCAACTCTTGCTAGAGCCACCAAAGGTAACATATATTCACATTTATGTTTTTCTACGATTAAATATTCATGAGTTCAACCAGTGCATTCCTTTAGCAAGCTCCTGATAGGAAAGCATGCTGAAGCTACTATCTGAATACATTTTGTATTTGTTAATTAAAACAAGTTCTGTCCGTCACACTGTGTCCGAAGCATATCTCCTAAACTATTTGTGATAGCTTAACCAAACTTGGTACACATGTCAACCATGATCCCTAGATGTGTCTTTTGGGGATTAGACCCAGATGCGAATTTTATTTTTTTCGGTTTCCATGGAAACATGACTTAGGCTGTGACTGTGAGGATGTCATCTTGTCTGGAGCAGATCTCCTAAACTATACATGCTAGCTTCATCAAACTTGGTACACATATCAAGCATGATCCCTAGATGTGCCTTTTGTGGGTTAGACCCAGATATGAATTTTATTTTTTTGTGGTTTCCATGGAAACATGACTTAGGCTCTGGCTATGAGGATGTCATCTTGTCTGGAGCAGATCTCCTAAACTATACATGCTAGCTTCATCAAACTTGGTACACATATCAGGGTTTAACATAGCTCTTCGAAACTGGGAGTCCTGGGGACTCAGGGCATAGTGTTTTGAGAGTCCATTTCCAAAATTGGGGGTCCATCAATTTGCATTAAATCAGTGATAATGAATGCTTCCCATTTGATAATGATTATGTTAAGATATGTGTTACTTTCAATGTCATTAGAATATTGATTGTAAATAGAATGTTTATATTTTAATATGGGATATCATTACAAACTCAGAAAGTTCTTTCCCAGAAAAAAATTATATTGCGTCCACAAGGACACACAGGATTTTAGTTTGGGGGTACTTCACCAAACTTCTGCGTCCAATACGCAGGAATCTTGCGTCCCGTAAAACCCTGACATATCAAGCATGATCCCTAGATGTGCCTTTTGTGGGTTAGACCCAGATATGAATTTTATTTCTTGTGGTTTCCATGGAAACATGACTTAGGCTGTGACTATGAGGATGTCATCTTGTTGCATTTCCATGGTAACAAGTTAGGCTTTAACTGAATTTGGTGGTAGTGCTCCTTTCTGGAGCAGATTTTAAAAACCTTTCAGTACTCTCCTTCCGCTTTGCTGTATACACTCCAAAACATTTGACATAATCATAACTAGTAGACATATTCATAAAGAGTATTTTGTCATTGCGGGGGATATTGATGACTTTGTCTTCTTTTTGTAGTCAGTAAGCATTAAGGCAGTAACATAAACTCTAAGGTAGTTTAGAAAGGGTACAGGAGGCCAAATTGTTTAAATGGCTGCAGCTAGTTGCATCAATAAAGCCTTCCAGAGCATATCATTCTCCCCTGTTAATGTTTTCAGTTTGCCAGCACCACAGCTGTGCTCAAGGATTGCACTAAAGTGATAAACATTTAAAACTTGCAATACTCCTGGCTTTCTTTCCACATCGAGCCGAGTGAAATACTGCTCAAAGCTTGTTTCATTATTTTTACTCTGATTTTTCTTGCAGCAACGTTTCTGTGCAATGCCAACAACGTGTGGAACACTTGAACCCCCACTCGGCAACACACGTCTACAGATAGCCAAACTGGTCACAGCTCTTGTATCCACAAACACACACTCTGTCAATGTAGAACTAGCCAATCTCGGGACCACGAGAATTCTACTGGTAAGTGTAATCAGTTTTCTTTCTACAACAAAACTATTGATCATCGTATTAATGTTTGGTTGCAGTGCATGGTTTGCACAAAATATTACGATATGTTGTAAGTTTTTTAACATCACCAAGGGCCAAGTAATTGTTTTTGCTCATATGATTGACAGCTCTATTACAAATCCTGTAAAAATGATATTGTAACCAAAAGTACCCTTGGTAACAGACCTCTTGATCACTTCAGTTGTCATTGCCAAGTACAGTCTCCTTCAGTGTAATTAACTCGTTAGCACTGTTTCATGGCTTGATGACGCATCGGTCAGCTAGCATCATTAGTGGAAACATTATGTTTAACTTTTTCAATAAAAAAATTGGCTCAGCTCTACTCTCAGCAGAGCAGCAGTGTTTGCTGACAAGGACCATGTCCACAGCTTGATGTACATGTGCTGATCTGAACTGACATTGGAAGAAATAATGTGACATTCATATTGTCCTATGGGGTTTACAATAATCACAAATTTAATTGACAGAATATAGAGATAATATTTAACCTAAGCATAAGTTGTCTTGGAACTTTTTATCATTTTCTTTATTGGTAACGTGTATCTAAATGTAGAGGGGCAATCACATCAATAAAACATTATGTCAACATTGAACAAGGATTGTTGAGTTAGGTCACCGACAACACTTAAAAAATATTGTGCCCCAGATTTATAGTTAGTAATTAGTTCTACCCCCTTTTGTATCTGTAATTTGCCTTTGAACTATTGCTTGATAGCACCAAATGTTTTGTTTGCAGGATCTCTATTTTAAGTATGTGTGGAACAATTTCTTACACACACAAGTGGAGCAGTGTATTAACACAATACTCAGTATCGTTCCAGTAGAAGTGGAAAACAAGAAAGAAAATCCTCTCTTAGTTCAAGTAAGTGAAATTATCTTCATTCAGATATTTACTATGTGAGGACTCTTGGTTGAAACAATCAGTGCTGGTCAAAGACAATGTACTTGATTAGATATCCATACTCATTGATTTGGTTAGCAGCCTGTCCGAGCCATGCTATCTTGGATTGTCATTCACAATATCAACCACTAGTTTGTCTTCCCCAGGGATCATTATTTGCAGGCAGCAATCTAGTAAATCATTAAAAATCCTATAGGGACCGTTCATAATTTATGGCTAGGGGGATGATGATGATGATTTTAATCGGGGGTCACTCATTTGTTCTAGGGAAGTAGGTACTGTTATTGTCCTTCTTACAGCTGTCACAGCATAATGATGCAATACATTTATAGCAATCATATCAAAAAGGAACTATAATGTGTTACATTGAAATCTTGAATGTAAAAATGTGCCCTGTACCCCATGTTAATAAAATGTCCTAACAGCTATTTTCTTCTTACAGCTATTTTCAGATTGTAAAATAATTCAGAGATTACTTGATGAATGGGAAGAAAATGAGCAACAACAGTGAGTATGAGAAACCATTTACGGGTTAGTGAGTGGTAGGCCATAACTCGGATTATCAGGGACTTTGCAAAGTTCAATTAGGAGGTAATTGGAAAAAAATATTTCTCAAAAGAAACATTTTTTAAGGTATCCAGGGCCACAGGCCTTTTGGTGTTTGTTTTTATTCAGCAGCCATGGTGAGATAGTTTAGGCAAGGGTAGATAATTCTTCCGTTCAATCCAGGCAACCCTGACATTCATGGATGTGGTGATGATGCCAAAGATTTTATCTCTCAGTGATAATATTCAATGGATGTGTTCTCAGTGCAGTGCATCTTCAAAGAATGTGTTCACCTTGAGTAACCCACAAGATGATTTTAAAACGTTGAAGATCATTATCATGATTTTGAATGTTCTTTGTCTATGTGAAGCTTGTGAATCACCATGTGAAGGTGTACCGGCATCTTAGTTTGGAATTTGAGTTTGATGTGGAGAACTGTATTAACATATTTACAATTACATGTATATACATCTGTAGACATTGTATATCTCTTGTTTGCAGAGCCCGAGAAGGAGGTAGAAGGAGAGGTTTTATGGGACATTTAACAAAAATGGCTAACACACTAGTATCAAGTTTAGAAAAGGGCGAAAATGCAGAATTTGTCAAAGATTGTTTTAATGGTGAGTCATGTTCACATTTTCTTTTTCTTGTTCATATAGTTTTGTTTTTAAACATTTTACCTTTAGGATCTGAATTGATTAGTTGTTTTTCATAATAAATTTACAGTAAGTAATTTGTTTGTTTTTGCAGAAACACCAGAAGAAAGTCGACAGAGGTGGGAAACATTTGTGTCTGGGACATTAGCAGAAATAAATAAGAAGAACACAGTAGAATTGGTAAAAATTGAATTATTTTTTAATGAATGAGGTATGAATGAAAAGTCCAGAACCAGTGCGTAGTCATACGTACAACCTATGTTCAAGATCTGTCAGGCTTCAAGCTCTTCAGTGAAAACGGGGGGAAAATGCTGATATCAAGATGTTTGTTTCGTGTAGTTCTGTTATGCTGTAGTATTTTGTAGTATTGGTCCAAATACTATAGCAGCAAATCTCAAACCTGTTTGGCATCAACAAAACTGATTTTTGTCACAATAATCAGGATAGGTTTCCCTGTGCAGAATAGATCACAGTGCATTATGCTGGATATGTAACCTAACTATACATAAAGGGACTTGATATATGAATTGCATTTAGTAGTGACTGGGTTCATTGCTTGGAGTTGGTAGCATTAATGTGAAATTGTTGCCTATTTTTTCAGTTACTAGTTTTTTTCCAGACTTGATATTATATAGTGATACTTCATGACTATTCGTTACTGGCATTAAACAAAACATAAGTATTAGTATTTGATATCTTGTTTGCACTAAGAAACACTCTTTTATGAACATACCGTAGTGATTAATGAATTTAAGTTTATGACCTATTACTTCCCTCGACCTATAAGATGAGTACATCCTGACAAAGTAATCATGTTTGGGAGAGAGGTGAGTTTTCAAATACAATTGGTATTTCCAGATACGAGGTCACCCATTAGCCTCCAGCAGTGAAGAAGACGACGGTGATTTCAAAGACATTCCTTTCCCTCAGGACACTGCCATGCAACAGGTAAAATTTGCACTGAACTTCTAACTAATGTTCACAAGAACAAAAATCATTGAAATAAGTAACTCACAAACTGAGTCAGTGATATATTATATTTGTTAAATTTTATAGTTTGCAAGCTAAATTGCACATTATTGAATTTGTTCTGCATTTTACAATAATACATAACGTTACCATCATACTATACGTTTGTTTATTAATTGTCTGTTATGGCATATCAAGTAATTGAACATGTTAATACCGGTAAATGGTGTCAAGTTTTGTTTACATTTTTGTAGCGGAATTTATGTTCACAGATAAATGTTTTCTTCTTTTCCACCAACAAGCTTATTTTTTTAGTTTGCTGTAGCACCAGCTTTTGCATGTAGCTGTTGTAGAGATTAATGTTGTTTCAACCACATGTTTAACAAATGTACATTCGTTTCAACTGTTTTCTGTAAGCAATAAAGTAGTGTTTCTGTTTAACCTCACAAGACTAGTTGGGAATAAATAAGTGGACAAAACTTTAGCATGTTATTAGGATATCTCTGTTAAAATGAAAAATGCATGCATTGATTTGCATGTTTCTAAATATCTATCCATGTGTGTTACTCTCAGAAGATCAAGGGAAATAATAAGATGATGAACAAATTGACTTGTCCTTCCCTTAATGTCGGATGATGAGTAGCTGTGACCCCATTCTCACTTCACAGTGGATGTATCCTGTAAACATGTACATTTCTCACTCAAACTGAGGATTTGTTAGCATTACATCTGCAACATGCCAACAGCAATTCTCAAGTTGATGATAAAAGACACCATTCTCTACACGTTTACAATACTTTCAGTGTGAACTATATTTTGGGGAAATGAGTTTGTTATCTGCCACAGTGTACGGGCACAAGACATATCTGAAATATAATTAGGTGTGCATTTAGATAAATTCATATGACTTATTATGACAGGTATAATAATTAGTATCCCAAGGAGGACCTGGTCATAAACAAGTTGTTTAGAAATTGCATTAAGTTGATTCCAACATTCTAATACAAACCAAAAGGACTGCCCTGATTTATTATATAGATTCAAGAATGAAAATAGCCAGTCTTTGTGTCTTACCTTGAGTTGGAGTAGAAAACATTTCACAACATAGAGGGGCCTCAACAGCTGTATAAAATGGCTATGAGCTTCCATAGTTTTAAAGAAATACTTTTTTCGTGATTGAGTAACGTGTCAACAATTGTTAAGCACTTTATTGGAATTACTTTTTAAGGGAAGATAGAAAATTGGGAAAAATATAAATACTTAAAGTATATGAATACATATTGCCTTTTGTGATCAAATGTAATGTATGTTATATTTTGAATTACACTGTGAAGTTCGGGGAGTATGAAAACAAACATTTTAGTTAGTCAAGATCACATACTTCATGTACCCGTCTAACAAGTGTAAACTGACATGGTAAGCTTTTCTGAGAAAGTGTAATCCTTAATATAACATATGTTACACTGAAGTATATGGAAAATCACATTTTGACACCTTTATGAAATCCACAACCTTGTTTGTGTAAAGTGATTATAGCACTAAGGTCATTGTAACTCATACTTTAACAGTGAGAGATGACAGTGCTGTGATAGAAGATAAAGGCCCTGAATTTCCTTTCTTAAAATTGTGCATGAGAACTTTTCTGCCATTTGAATGTTATCTGTAGTGTTGATTGTAATCTGTAAGATAAGTGTATTACTCCTAAACTCTGATTCCTGTTGTCATGCCTGGACAGAAATCGGGGTTTGTTGTTGGTGTTTGTAAATGTGGGTGCTTTGTGTGTAGTGAAGTTGCGTTAGTTGGCTGCTGCAGTGTTGTAGTGCAGAGGCTGCCACCAGATGGTCGGTCTTTATTTGCTGTTGACACCTTCATTGCCTGGTTTATTCATCAGGCCTTCTCTGATTACCAGCTGCAACAGATGACAAGCAACTTCATAGACCAGTTTGGCTTTAATGAAGAGGAATTGATAGAACAGGAGGAAAAGATTGAGTAAGTAGACATCTATTTCTAGTGTGCATGCCTTGATTGATGGCCCTCTAGGTAAGCTTATGTCGTCATGTTATAACTTATGTTGTTGTCGTTGTTGTTGTGGTGGTGGTACATATGTCCTTGAAACATTGGATTTGGGCAACGTTTTGTTTTGAGGATGTTGATGTTTGGGAATCACTTGGCTTCTTGTGGAAATGGGTTTGCTGGTGTTTTTGGTCAATTTCAGTTTCAGAATAAAACCCCACTGGCTTGGCCCTTTAAGAAAGTTTGTTATCATCTGAAAGAGGTCTTTGTGATCTGATTGTTGAGATATCCCTATTAATTATAATGATTAGGAAAGATTTGGGCCAAGATCTCTTAGGACAAGTTGCTGATCATCCTTTGTGTTAAACTGAAAGCATTTGACTGTCAGTCACTTTCTGACATAGCTACACAACATTGGATTCTTGTTCCTGAGGTTCGCTTGGTGCACTTGAAACAACTTCTGTTAAGTTCTTCAACTTAATCATTTCAAAGGATCGATCCATTTGTTGCACTTTGAGCATACATGTGTGTGAGTTAGTGTGATACAAGTGTCCTTATTTTTCTTTAGTTTGTTTATTAGATGTAATCAGTTTAAGCTTAGGTCCTGTTTTATTAGGAGAAATGTTAAATATTTGCAGATGCAGAAATTACCCCTTTTACAAATAGTCAGTGTTAATTAAACTAATCAATTAGCTCATATTTTCTTTCCTTTATGTCTGGAGTACCATTAGTTTTTTGGAAATGTTGTGTATTTCTTCCTGATTGCATATTGTGTTGTATTCGGTTCATGGATATCCAAAGTCATTTTAGAAATTAGTGTCAAGGTCTGTGCCTGTTTTCTGTAAAGGTTGTTGGATCCTTTTCCATGGAAGGAAAATAATTTGCAATCTATATTCTATCAGTCAAATTTGGTTTATATGTTGCCCACATCATTCAGTATCATTTTCTGTTCATTGTACTTATTCATCAAACTCAGTCTTTATGGGGAAAGAGCAAAGGTTGGTTAATTGAAAATATTTCAAAAAATTAATAACTCATTTCCTTTTATCCATTTCAGTTCGCCTTTCAACGAGAGAATATCCAGTATAGACTTCAATATTCGGGCAAACGAAGAAACGGTATGATTGACATTCTTGTTTCCAGTTGTAGTGGGCATTAGTTAAAGTCATTTTGATGTCTGTAATTCAAGTATAAATAACCTGAAAACAAGTTTTGTGATGACCGTCAGTTACAGTCATTAACCATATTAGTACATTATGGTAACAACGCTTTATTGTGTAGATGTTTTTATGAATATATCTGTTAAAGAACATTGAACAAATGTGAGAATATTTCCTTCAAATGATAACATTTCAGAAGCATATTTGACGCAGTTCAAGAGAGAGAATGCAGTCTTCTGCCAGTGCGTATGCAGTAATCATCTCACTTGTTACAGCATCCAAGTTCCACCATGTTCGAGCAGGCTGCGCAGGAGAAGATCCAGCAGTTTGATGATGACAGTGAGGAGGACATCTGGGAAGAGAAACCTATTTCTTTTGACAAGACTGCTCAGCAAAACAGATCAAGGTCAGATTTCTTTGTACCAGAGAGTGGCCATGCTTTGGGGCTGGTCATCATGAGATATATAGTGTATTGTATTCTCGGATATCTAGTGTATTACATTGCCATATCTCCCTCTCATTCTCTATCTCTATCCTACTCGCTATCTCTATCTCATTGAAACTGTGGTGGCAAAAGGATCTGTGGTATCTCTCATCATAGGATAGGATGTAGATATAATACCTTAGGCAACTATAAACATAATGGGCAAATGATGACATTTGGGCATAGGTAGATCCAGTCAATTTGATTTTTATGCAGACGCTGACTATTTGGTTTTGGTGTCCATAATCTTTCTTGTGCTTTGGTAGCATAATGTTTGGTAGCCATATTAGGTTGGAGGGCCTCAAGATGTTTTGGTAGATGAATTATATGAGGATATTGTGGCGTATGATGTGAAAATTGGAAACAGATGCAGAAAGAACTAAAGCCTTTGTTGATTAAATTGACTTGTGTTTACTAAAAATGTTATGTTGGATACATGTGGGAGCTCCCTTAGATTATGGAATAAGTACTTTCTCTGTTACTGCTGATACACAAAGAGATCATGAAAGAGCTCCTTTGTGACAAGACAGAATGAGTGAGTGGTATCCTGAGTCAAAAACACATTGCTGGCTGTGGTATGCAGCAGCAGCTGTCACTCTCTGAAGGACATGTTCAACGTCTGTATGCATTTCAGTAGGTTGTCAGGGGAGACAGCCCGCCATGATAGTTCAGAGGAGGACAGCACAGACAGCGAGGAAGAGATCAACTCACCACAGAGGATAACGCAGTGCCAACAAGCAGAGAAGATGGATGTGGATGGTAAGTGTATGTTGATATATGTTGATATATGTGATCATAGGTTACAGTGAGCCAGTTTATAATCTGGAAATTTAATGGTCATTGTTTGTGACTTGGCTGATTGAGTCATCATACCATGACAGTATAGGGGCGGTGGGGTAGCCTGGTGGTTAAAGTGTTGGCTCGTCATGCCGAAGAGCCGGGTTCGATTCCCCACATGGGTACAATATGTGAAGCCCATTTCTGGTGTCCCCTGCCGTGATATTGTTGGAATATTGCTAAAAGCGGCGTAAAACCAAACTAACTCACTCACTCACTCACTCACACACACACACACACACACACATGACACACATTGACAGTATAGGAGGAAGATCATGCCATCAACCATTGGTGTGATAAACTGCTGTACAGTAGCTGGAATATTGCTGACTGTGGTGTGAAACAACAATCACTCAATAATTAAATATTTATTGTAAACATTCTTGTCCTCACTAACATGGGTTTCCTGTCACATTTATTTGGTGATTACTTAAACCTCTTCAAATTTGTATGGTGTTTCCAAGGGAGATCAAATGAAGACAAACATTATTTTGCTGCCAATAGCAATAAGTGATTGTAAGTTTCCTATTCAGTGAAAAAAACTAATTCAGTTTCCTGTTTTATAAACAACTAATCGTAATATACAGGGTAATGGACCAGGAATGATAGTTGGTTTGATTTTCCCATGAATATTTCCTACAAAAAAGCAGAATTGCATCCTTAAGGGCACACTAGAAACTGTTGAATGTGGGTTTTGATTCTTGTTTGCCCCAATAACGTTTCTCATTGTCAGCACCCATACTCATGCTCAAGGGTTTCATGCAGTAAACATCCACAACTTTCAGCTTTCAATGATATTAAACTCACTCTCTCACTTTGATAAATATGCTGTGCTGTTTGAAGGTAGAGAAGTCATTAACTGTTGCTGTTCCTGATGTTAATAAGATTTGCTATTAACCATGACTGCTTGTGTGTGTGTGTAGCTGGCTGGGCTAACTTTGATGATGTGCCAATGGAGTCTGGTGATGCTATGGAGACAGGTGCTTCCTGGAGTCAGGACAGATGGGCACAGCCAGCCAAAGCAGCAGAAGAAAATGGAGAAAATTGGGCAGACTTTTCTAGTATGCCAAATCAGTTCAAAGGGTAAGCACATCGTTGTGATCAGTTGACCTTTGAAATGGAAATGAAAGCATTCTCTATGTCTTTTAACAGCCATCACAAGGGTTTTGTTGATTGAACCACTGTGATACAGCAGGAAGATTGTTTTGTGCTACGAAACTCATTGGCTTTCTGATCTCTGCAATTCTGCCACTATAATAGACAACCTTGATGGGCCTTTAAAGCATACCCTTTTATCTGGAGTATTTTAAAACTAATTTGGACTTTTATTACTTATGGTACTGTTTGTTTTCAGACGTATAAATCCAAGAAGTTCGTCTCCAGTTGCCATGGATACATCAGAAAACACAAGAGGTAGTGCTTATGGTTAGTGATCAGATTTTAATGAGACTGGTTGCATCATTGATATTGTAAATACTCGGCTAGCTGTGAATATGAAGTTGTCTTAGATAAGTTAGTGATGTGTTGTACATTTGTTCATGTGATGATCAAGACAACAGCAGATGTTCTTAAATATCTAAAAAAAAAAACACACAATGATATATTACGTGGTATGAGTGAATACTGGGTATAGAGAGATATACAAGAAGTTAAGAGCTCTCCATTACTTCATTACTATTGACACCATACTCTGAGAATACCACTTACCTTCAGACAAAATCTTTTGTCTAGTGGTGCCTCATGGGGGCAACAACCTTGAAGCTGATCAGAAATCACCACATACTGACCTTGACCTTGAGGATGTGGAGAATGAAGAGCAGAAAACAGATGCCAAATCTTCAACTCCTATTGCTTCTTCTCAGTCTCCACAATCATCAGATATCTCTCAGGACACTCCACCCCCTCCGCCTTCAACGAGGTAGGTGAAACTCACAAGTACATTTGGCTGTAACATAGTTGGCATATTCTTTCTGTTTGTCACTATTCATGACTCAAAGAATCTCACTAAACTGTTGATACATGGCACTGAACATGATCCAGAGTGGACTTGGCAACAGTTGAGTCACTAGATTGATGGAGTACTGCTGAGGATAACTTTAAACAATTGTTGGTGTCCTCTGTCACATTGCTGTAATATTATGAAAGCTGCATTTGGCCTTATTTCTCATGCATCATAAAGTTAAGGCTTTTTCCTTTGATGGTTTCAGTTCTATATAAATGAAAGCTAAATTTTGTTTCTTACAGTCCCCCACGTGAAAATAATATTGAAGAAAGTGTTCAGTCACAAGAAACTTCCAAACCCACCCCAGATAAGGTGATATCTGAAGGAACAAGCCCGGACAAGAGCAAACAAGATGATAGGTATTTATCTTGAATATCTCAACACTACAGTGTTCGTATGTGATTTGTATGTTCATACCAGTGATTTCATTGTTATGCAAAACTCAAGAAGGTGATTTTAGATTGTGATGAAATTACATCCATCATCCAGTCCAGACAGAAAATATTGTATCATCAAATGAAGATTATTCAAGCTGTTCATTTCTGGATGTTTCATACTGTATTGTCATGTGCGGATATTGTTATTTGTGTAGAATTTTTTCATGACAATTATGTCACATTGTTTGAACACTTATTTTGTTCTGTATAATGTTGGCTGTAAAAGGTGATAGCTCCCCAAGCAAAACCATTAGGTCAGTGTATTCAAGCAGATTCTCACCGATGACAACTCTAATGCAAATTCTTTGGATCCATTTGTTCAAAGTTATGGAAATGTCATGGTTACCTGTTTAAGCATATATATGTGATATGATTGATCTGTGCAAATGGATCTGTGGCTTGAAAACCACAAAGAAATCATGCTACAGATATTGTATGTCAGTGGAGATCAACTGGAACTACTATCACCTCTGTGTCAAATACATCTCCTTTATCACATTTTTCTGCTGGTGCAAAAATGTATCCATTTGGAGTTTCCACTGCACCACCAATGCCTGTACTTTTTCACAATATGAAAGGACCATTTCTTTTTCTACTTGCCTGTCAAGGACAAAAAAATGAAATATCTGAGGAAGAAGACAACCTGAATGCAAACTATAAGTGAGTCCAGCTCTCATGGTCGTCGTCGTCGGTGACACTGCTCATTCACCAGTGCTTCTATTATTTAGTGTACCTACAATGTGGTAATCTTATACCAAGCATCTAATTGTGCACTTTGCTGCTCATGAAGGGCTGAAGACACTGACCAAGTTAACAAGAGGACATTTAGCATGAATTGCACATTTCTAATACCTTTCTTGGACTATTTAGTGCCAGGCTTTCATATGTTGTTACGGTGTTGGTATCATCTTGGATGTGAGCAGCCTAGATTTTCCAGGGTATAATATCTCCCTTTGATTTAAAATAGACTAGCCAATACACTGTCTTTTGTGTTGTCATTTGAATGGGGCTCAAGAAGCTTTGCAGAACAGGGTTCTAATGCATATATTTATCATGATCAAGTGGAGGTATTTTATGCTGGATAATCGAGGATGTGATGTGAATTGCTCTACAGTGAACATGTTGAATGATTACAGAGCTGGTTGCAATCTGGTGTCCATTACTTTTACCAGATCCTTGGGGGTCGTCACTGTCTGTATACAGACATAGTGTGATGGGTGCTCGCTCATTAGGAATGTGTTGGGTCTCTTGACACGTCTTTCTGTAACATTTTCCAACAAGGCGTCATTGTTTATGTGGTTTGTTATCAGATCCGTTTATGAGTATCAGTTTGGTCTTGCACTTTTGGAAATATTTTCTGTGATATTTTTGTTCATTTGAATATGATAAAACAAACAGTATATTCAGTTTTAAGGAAGAATGAATGTAAAAGTGTCATTGTCATAGCCCTAAAATAGAATAATAGATATGCAGTAGTAGCTAAATAATGGACATCCCTGTTTCAACCACTGGCTATGACTGCTACTCAGTCTCAGAGACCATGATTGATTGCCGTCAGCTCTGTTATTAATGGAAGTGTTTGCTGATGAGCACATCATTAAGCTTCATGTGTTCAACAAACTGCTGTCATGCCTTCATGACAGTGCTTCTTTCATGGTTGTGTATTACTCATGGTTCTTTTGTGAATAATACTGAATGTGTTGTCATTTCACAGAGTATATAGAGATAATACCACATTATTAACATTTACATTACATACTTTTTACCCTGACAAGTTCAGTGTTCCCTCTGAATCAGAGGGAGGAGAATCATTATCTTGTTCAAAATTAGGATTTTGCTCCAACACAGAAAATCTGACGAGTAAAATATGTGTTTCTTTATATTTTGGGGGAGTTATGTTGGATATGACAGGAATATTTTAAGTGTAGTCTTCACAGGACGACAATGCTACACACTGCTTGGGGAACTTGTTATTTGTCATAGAGCTTTGGGGCGGTGGGGTAGCCTAGTGGTTAAAGCGTTGGCTCGTCAGGCCGAAGTCCCGGGTTCGAATCCCCACATGAGTACAATGTGTGAAGCCCATTTCTGGTGTCCCCCGCCGTGATGTTGCTGGAATATTGCTAAAAGCGGCGTAAAACCAAACTCACTCAGTCAGTCATAGAGCTTGGAGCAAACATTTGTGGGTCATTGAGAACAGACCATATCCACAGTAATAAGTGCCCTGCTCTAATGAGCGCGCTGTGACCAGCTTCTAGACTAATCTGTAAATGAAGTTTATCCCCACAAAGAAATTGGCAGGGTCTTTTTTTCATAGTACAGATTTTTTGTTACAGAAAAGAATAGCTTTACTGCAATAACGTGTTTGGGATGTCAGGTTTTCATAATCTCTACCCCTTCTCAACTAAAACAAAACTCTCTCCCTCATCAGCTTATGGTCAACAACATTCCGAAATAACACTTGAGTGAGAATATGGCTTATATCTCCAAGCAAGTCTCCATTCTGATAGAGGAAATGAACCTGACGATGGTAATGAAAGATCCTTTGTTTGGAAAAACTGTTTCCAAAGACATGAGTATTAAGACATGGAAGATTGTTTATCAGAATGTTCCCATTTGTAGTTAAGCAGGTCAAAAAGCTAGACAAGTTGATTTTCAGTCTTACAAGAACTCAACAAGATGGCTATGTTTAGAACTGTCATTTCCGCTCGATATGGCATACAAATGTTTATCTCTTGAAGTGAGCTTTATACAGAAAAGCTCTTGATAAACGAGGATAACTAGGCACATGATTATGCCTGAGATTGGACTTAATGTGCCCGTAAAAAAACATAACAAATATCAGGAGTATATGTACTTCTGCGTAAAAAGTCATTTTTTAATAATCTTGTGTAAAACTTCTCAGTTTGTTGACTAAAATGTAAAGCCTAATTTGCACGCATCTGGTGTGGTACTTCTCCACAGATATCATGACATACGTTACTGTTCCAACCGTTGTGAAACTATTTCGGTTAGTTTAGTATCCAACAGCTATCCTATTGTCAATATGTGTATTCATATTGCAGCTAACAAATATTTACTTGGCAATGGTTTATGGTGTTGTAATCTTCACTTTCACCTTTATACAACACCAAGTTTCTCATATTGAGGGAAAAGTGCAATGGTTGTTTTTAATACCCCATTCTGGAAATAGTTGCAGCTAAATAGACTGAAATGTGACCTGTCATAACAATTACATGGTGAAACAATATGGTGGGCTGCAATGATGTTTGAAGTTTGATGTATTAAAATGAATGATAAGGTATATTTTACACCAAACTTCTAAAGCATGATGTATGTTTTAGTGAAATGGAAGTAAGTCAATGTTTGTGGTCTTGCATGAGCTGTTGTACAGTGTCTAGGTGAAGAAACAGCATTGTAGAAACTAGCTGAAAGTGAGTTGTGTGGCTGTGGTGGTTTTGAGCTGAATGTCAGAGCTTAATGTGCATTTGAAATGAAAACAGTTACCGGTAGATATCTGCATTGATTCAGCATGCTGGCATGACATGGAAGAAAACTTTTTTCTGATTGTTGTCTGATAAAGTATTTTGTGCAGGGATTCAACTTAGCACAATTTTTGTCTTATGTTTAAGGATGTGTAAATTTTCCAGCTGTGGAGGTTGTGTCTATATATATATATATACCATATGAGATGGCAATTGTAGTCACAGTGTGTTACTTCAGTGCTGCGATGATGTAGCTTCAATGTTGCTGACTGGTGGAAACAACATTCTCTCACTTTTGTTTTTAACAATACTTGTTTTGCCTTTTGGAGACAGGCTGCTGGTTCATATCTTCATGATGCTTTCTTGGCTCAGTCTGTTATACAAAACATAATAGACTTGTGTATACTTAGGCTTCATGAGAAAGGAATGTAATATAGATGGGTCTGAATAATCCACAGCCTGTGACATTAAAGCACCTCATGTCGAGATTAAGCAAAGATTGAATATGTTTAGTTAGTTTACCAGCAACTTTTGTCGGAGATATCTATTAACAGCATATCCAGTTTTTACATTTCTTTAGCTTGCATCCCTGTTTGTATCCCTCCTTAATCTCAAGAACTTGTTTGTCCTCGAATGTGTCAGTGTTGTACATTGTTGAGTTTCAAGGCATGATTGATGTTTGTAGATTTGTGCATGTGTTGATAGAATTGTTAGAATCATTGGTCCAGAGTCTGTAAGGCGGGAGAAATATGTTGTTCCTTCAAGTACACTGATAGTACCGATTTGTTGTAAGAAGAATGCCATGTGACTCCCTAGTACATGTTAAACTGTGTTGATGTGTATATTAGGCTTATTAACCAACCCAACACCCATGGGGAGTTTTTTTTGTATTATATTGAGAAACAAAACGTCTACTGCATTTAACCTTCTTCATCAAATTGTTTACTTGCAGCTTTCTGGCAACCTCTGGTTTGATCAAGTCCCCCAGTCCATCCTCCCCCTCTCCCCAGAGTGCCACACAACCCCTAGCCACAGAGGCGGTGCATGGTAATGGACCCACACAAGAGCTAAACACGGATAACGTAGATACAACAAAAGTTGAAGAGGCGAGGTATATATATTGGAGAAATCAGGGTAGCTAATAGGGGACTGCCATCTGGTGTAAAGGTTCATTCTGTGTTTTAACATTGTAATTGTAGTGCCAAACTTCATCATTTGCTCCCTGATTGATATACTTCACAAAACAGTGGCAGTATTGGGTGGCTTGAACCAAATTTACTAAGACTGATTAATGACCCAAATCACCTTTAGACTCTTTAGCTAGCTGAGCCATGTACTAATAGGATCTATTGAATGTTTGCTTAAATCACATATTTGCCCTGATCCTTAGCTTGTCAATGCCCTTCCAGGCTTGTGGATTTCACTAGAGTCACTTCGACTCCACTGACAAATCGTAATGTATTTACATTAGACCTACTCTCCATGTGGTGTTACACCAATAATGCTTAAACCTGGTTAGACCAGCTTAGTGACTCAATTACAGTTTCAAGATTCTTAAGCCGCCATGATGTTGCTGGAATATTGCTAAAAGCGGCGTAAAACCAAACTCAGTCAGTCAAGATTCTTAAGTATGTTATTTGTTCTTGTCCCATGATTGTAGGTTAGAATGGGTCCCCAACAAGCTGTGCTTCTTTTAGAAGCAATAGTGTGGATCAGGTGGTCAAGCTTAGTGACTGTCATCGTACACCAACTACATGACACTGTTCAAGATATTATTCACTCTATTGTCTGGCCCAGACTTGTATTTTCAAGCCACCTTCATATAACTTCTTTTAGTTGGTGTGATGAACAGAGTTCATGGTGGAAGATAATTGTGTTAGTTGCTTGATAACGGTGTTAGTAGCTACACCGAAACATCGCTCATATTATATTAAAGAAGTTGTATATCCATAGAACTCTGTTCATCACCTTCATATAACTTGAATATATTTTAGAGTTAAGAATCAAACAAATTTTTAAACTTATCCTATCTCACGGTATGCACTTCTCTCTCTTGATTCGACACTGAGTGGAACGATGTAAACTTTTTTCCCTTGGCCTCTGTTGTCCATCCGCCCATGCACTCCATGATGCCCTCATTATAAGACAGCTTCCTAGTTGTCATGCAAAGCATGCGGCATACACCACTAGCACCCACGTGACTATCTCCGAATCATCATTCTCTTTCTTGTCGCACTTGAGTGTGAACGTGTTTTGCTTTGCTCTACGTTGTCAACTAAGTCTACAACATGGGGAAAGTAGACCAGCCAAAAAAGAGGAAGAATGTTCCAGGTGTAATAAAGTGTTCTCTGCGAGTGATCCACATGGATATTGTGTTGACTGTATGGGACAGTGTTAATGGGACTCTCTTTGCGATAAATGTAAGGATCTTATCTTCGAGGCGTTTGGTGACTACACTCGGGCTTGCACTTGTCGTGTTGCTGACAGGGCTCGTTATGCCGCTTCACTTAACGGACCCAGTCCCTCCAAGAAAGGAAAGTTTAAACGTCCTACTTTGTCTGCTCGGCGGTCAGTCCCCTCCCTCGAATGAAGAGGATTTTTTGAGAGCGTCATTTCTAAAAGACTCTCAAAATATTATCATACGAGACAAGCTTGACGCAGGTTTTATGAGTGACCCTCAGAATTCAGTTCAATAAAATCGATTTGATAAGAAAACTGATAGCTTTCGTTTTATTGCAAACTGTGTTGAAAATGCTGGTGATATTAACAGAATGTACGGGAGTGGCTAAATGTAGAGCCATGCTAGAATGTGGTTAAGATACCACCCAATCGCATTTGAGTATGTCATTCACTATATTTAGACAGCCAATGGACAGCCAGATATTGAAAATGACTGCCAAAAATAAATACTGTGAGTCAGCATGACTCCCATTTTTCAAAGTCTGTGTAAAACCCTGCATTCCAGCCCGAGTCCTTCGTCTTCGACCACGTCCTAGGTAGTGGTTGTCGAGCCTGCTACCACCCCTCAGGATACCTCTACACAGCGAGACCTTCGAACTACGCTCTCTGTCTCTTGTTCTCCGGACCAGTTATCTCGGCAACCTGGCTTATCTGTTTCGAACAAGAATCAGCTGATCTCTCCGCCTGACTGCATACAGCGCATGCGCAGAAGCCGTTCTCACTCTCGTCGTTCATCCAGTATTGAGAGGAACCAGTCTACCTCGCCTCAACGGCTGTCAGTGGTTACTTCGCCATCTCCTTCCCATTCAGCAAAAAGAAGTGTTTCTTGCGTCCAGCTACCCCGATCTTCTGCTTCGCCGAAGGCTACCAGATCGACTCACAGTTCACCGGATCACGCTTCGCCTGTCCGCTCCCCTTCACCTCGACTTTCGCCGGACTGTCCACCTTCCCCAGAAATAGACCTGCTCTCTACAAAACAGCTTTCGCCGAACCGGTCTTCATCGAAACACCACTCTAAGCTTCAGCATTCTCCGGATAGATCGTCTGCTAAACAGACTACACCTAATCGTACTTCGTCGAAACAACGAACGTAGTAGCTGTCAGTAGCGCACACATCTACATTACGCCGGCACTTGACGTTCTGATGATCCCGGATCTCCAAGAGCTCATATCGTTCCAGATTTATTCTACCAACCGATCTTCATCTTGATGAATGATTTGGTTTAGGAATCTACCCTCAGACGAAGATATCAGCTCTCCGACCACTCGTTTGTGCATTACCAGACAAGCTTGATGCTTCACTGAGACCTGTTACTACAGACAACTCGTAACAGCGTCATGGTGTATCTCGGGATGCAATCATGGCCTGGTTCGTCATCTTCCTCACCCTTCCTTTTACATCACCAGCAAGCTTCTGGACAGATGGGTCAAGTTTCTGCGCATGGTACCAGCAGTGATGTCTTGTCAAGTAGCGAGTATCCCTTTACCGGTTTTTATGGGCTGTGACCGGATTTTTGCATTGTGGGTAACAATTGCAAATGGCGGACTACTGTTTGTTTACCGGAGAATTGTGATGTTGATAGCGACTGTGTAGTGCACTGACAGAATTGTCTTGGTCCTACACAGCGGATAATAACCCCAGCCTTTAATCGCCATTGACGATGAACGGTGCCATTCCCGGTAAGAGTGATTATGTCGGGATTTGTGAACCAGCCGAGAGAGACAGCTTACCGAGGGTGTTAGACAGAAACGTCCCAGACTCTTCAACTTGGGTTACTCAGGTTTTCTACTTTAGCCTAAACCCTCCGTTCAGAGGTCACTGCAGTCCCCAGGCACTTGTTTACTGCCTTCCTCTTCCCAACGAATGTTCCTGGGGTCGCCGGTCTTCTTTTACCTTTGTCATTCCAACAACTTTGCGAACGTTCCGGTAGATTCACGTTCCCCATGCATCTAGTCTGTTCCACAGTTCGCCCGATCGTACGACCTTCATCGCCAGTTTACAATGTGCACGTTCCTGTAGATTGACTGACGATCTCCATGCGCCAAATCTACAACATTCAGAACTCTATCAGGAGATATCCCTTCATCAGTGGCAAGAGTTGCTGGGTCTCGCAACTTCAAGACAGGTGCATATGACCCGCAATGCATTCCTCCAGCGCTATCTCAGTGGCAGCTGCTTGGCTTTCTGACGTCGGCTCAAGCCCCAAGCCTTAGCTTCAGCCTCAGCTGTGCTAGATGAGCAGAATGTTGTCCTTCGTGTCGACTCATCATTGTTCCTCGACGCATCCCTCAGGGGTCGGGGGCTCACTTTCTTCATCATCAGACGGCCGGGCTGTGGTCGTCCACAGAACGGGACTTGCACATCAACGAACTCAATTTCTTGGTGGTTCTTCTCACCGCTCGACATGGAGCGTTCAACCATCAGCTCCCGAAGTTTGTCTCGCCGATACCAGACCAACTAGGGAGGGGCTCAACGCTTACGCCTTTCTCCTTTTTCCCCCCTCTCTCTCCTCCTCCCTACCCCCTCCTTTTCTCCCTCTCTTTCCTTCTCTTTCGCTCTCTCTTTTCTCTTTCGCTCATCTCTGCACGTTTGGCGCATCTGCACAAATCCTTAATCGCCAAGGAGTATTCTCGGAGAGTGGCTATGGCAATCACTTCTGCTCATCGGACTTCCACCCGCTCACTTTATGATGAGAAGTGGAAGTGTTTTGAGGGATATTGCACGTCCAGAGGCATTACATCTCCCATTCTTCTTCACCTCAAATCGTCGCTGAATTTCTTCAGCATTTGCAGTCGCCTAAGAAGCTCAAGGGTTACACTTTGGCCACTTACCTTGCTGCGATCAACTCGGTCCTGGCTACCACCACAGGCTCTAAGGTTTCGACGGTTCCTGAGCTTCAGTATTTACTCCGGTCTTTCAAGTTGATCGATCAGTCTAAGAAGTTTAGACCTCCTGCATGGGATTTATCTGTGGTGCTGCATCATTTGGCCTTGGCGAACTATGAACCCTTAGCTCAGAAGGACTTTGAGAAGATCTCCTTCAAGACCTTTTTCCTTGTGGCCTTGGCTACAGCTGCTCGGATTTCTTCACTCCACGCTTTGGACGTTAACAGAGTCAAGTTTCGAACGGAAGAAGCATGGCAAAGTCTTCCTCGGTCTCCGTTGGGATTTCGTAGCGAAGAATCAATTGCCGGGACAACACGATCGTACTTTTACCATCCCACCGTTGTCCACTATCCTTGGGCCGCATGACAATGAAGACCTGCAGCTTTGCCCTGTTAGGGCTTTGAAGATTTTTCTTGCTGCTTCTAAAGATCGCCGCCGTCTCCGCAAGCACCTCTTCATTCCGTTGTCCTCAACATCCAGGATGGAAGTGTCTCGACATGCCGCACCACATTATCCTTCTGGATGAGAGCCACCATCCTACAGGCTTACACCTTCGTTGTGTTACCGGCCCCGACAGCTTCCAATCCACATGAGACACGGGCGTTAGCATCTACGATGGCTCTGCATAGTAACTGCTCTCTCCACGCCATTATGGAAGGATGCTTCTGGCGATCTGACTCGGTCTTCTCCTCCCACCACCTTCGGGACCTCTCAGTTTCAGTCAAGGACGTCCACGGCCTGTACCAGTTTGGACCCCTTGTTCTCGCACAACAGCTGTCTAGGGCCCAACAACGCAGATAGGGGACGGTCCCACACAGTTGCTGCTTCCCTGTACCTTCCTGAATATAAGTCTGAACTTGATGTCTGCCTTATGTTTTGATTGCCTATGGGTTAGAACTACTTCACTTAATTTTATACTAAGACACAGAGATACTACCGCCTCGCTGGTTGGACGAATCTGGAGCTCGATTCTGTATCATGATGTGGAAGGGTTCGACATTTCACGTTTCCTGACCTCTACTTTTCGAAGCAATTACGTCAGTGAAGTGTGTCACTCCCGAATTCCAGTGGATTTCGTTGCGTTCCGACTCTGAAGTAGCCAGGCTCATCCTTTGACTAAGCTTATGTAAAGGAGTGAGGGTCAATTTGATGTTGACTGGAACTGAACGTTAAAACTGCGAGTTTTCCGAGGTGTGCTTCTCTTTCACCCGTCCCTGGTCGGTGTCTGTGGGGGTCTTCTCGAATCAGGGACTGGCCCGATTATTGTCTATGATTTTGATTCACGGGGGTACCTTGAAAATCGTGGCGAAGTGACACCCTTTCTCTCTGAGCTGCGTCCTTCTTCGGAGGTTGCGGCCGAACACCACATAGCTCGGGAGCACCCATCTCCCTGGGAGACGTTATGCTTAGTAAGCCACGGAGTTCAGAGGAACTCGTCACAAGCATAGGAGTTGTGCTAGCCATAACAGGCCTCCCTTGTGCATTGCTATCTACGGTTGTTTCCAGTCTACACAGTTCTACTGTTCGCACTGACAACACACAGGGTATCTTCGTCCTGCCGTCCGACCGTGGGATAAGTGCATACCGTGAGATAGGATAAATATATCCTATCTCACGCGACGGATTCCCACCCATCCTCCCTGCTCTGCAGATTCTCCAAGATTACTATTCCAGTGGCTCCAAGAATGAGAATGATGATTCGGAGATAGTCACGGGGGTAGCTAGTGGTGCATGCCGCATGCTTTGCATGACAACTAGGAAGCTGTCTTATAATGAGGGTAGCATGGAGTGCATGGGCGGATGGGGAAGGCCAAGGGGGAAAAGTTTACATCGTTCCACTCAGTGTCGAATCAAGAGAGAGAAGTGCATACCGTGAGATAGGATAAGTATATAAATATACAAGTTATATTTATAATTTTCAAATCTGTGATCATTTGTAGGCTAATGTAAATTGTTTTGGAGAGTGTAGCCTGATCTGAGTGAACTGCAAATAACATCTGTTCTCTTTTATTTTTTCAGAGCAATGGCCAAAGAAGCCCTAGAGAACTATAACAAAGTTGTGCCCGATTCCTCTTCCAGTGTACCCAATGGCCCAGTTTGAGTCTGTGGCCCAAGTTAGATAAATAAGGAAACGAACACATGCTATGAGGCAGCTGCTTCTGTATATAATGCCTTATCAAAAACAGGGATGCCTGTGATAGCAGCCAGGCTTTTAACAGTTTTAATCTTGTCTATAATGGCAAGCCAGTGTGTGTCCCAATTCCCACCCAAACAACCATGCGACGACTCTTGTAGACCCCTCATTGACAAATGGCCAGCTCAAAGGACTCGGATTTTAACCTCCAGATAAAACTTTGTTGGCGTCGTCAGTATGATTACAGATGGGCATACAGCACTTGTGATTCCTGTGATGTTTTAGTTGTGCTAGAAAGAGATGCAGACATTTGTTAGTTTTCATTTGACATCCAAGACTAGCATCTGCCACAATGCTTGTGAGAGAGTGAGTGAATGAGTAAAAAGAGTGAGTGGATGGGGGAGGGAGGACTGCCACGATGCTGTCATGGTGCTTTTTAGATATGATAAACAGACCTCCCTGATGCAGATGCCGGAACTTGGTATCGGCATGGGCGACGACCACAGCAACATCACACAGTCCAAGAGTTACCCTTCAATACCAACGTTGGTTGATGCACTCCGCACTGGCAGACCTAGTGGTGTTAACATACCACACCAAGTCAACATTGTTACAAACAAAGATGTTCTGGTAAAATTATATTCCCTATGTTCTGCCAATTTATGCACTTTTAGAGCTCTCCCAATATGCATATCAACAATGATATTAATACTTGCAAATCATGTTTAATGTATGATTCGCTTTATGTAATTCATTTGGTTCTCCATCTGTACAACTTCTTGGTATGGAACACACTCTACTGCTTATACAAGTGGTTCTGGATTAGTTTCTCGTGTAGTAAGGATGGTATGCTTACTTTATTTCACTAACTCTAGGTGGCAATCTATTATGGTTTCGATTAAATCAAAATGTAGCTGACATTTGTTATCCATACAGAACCTTTTTTTAAATCATATCAGAAAGTTTATCTTTGCCAAAGTTTTGTGATTCTCTGTTCCACAGCCATATTATGTATCTGCATGCTTCGTGACAAACAAACTTACACACATTAAAAGGTAAAATTTTGTAATGTCACTTATTTATTGCTGTATGTTCTGTTGAGGGTGAATTTATACGTGCTCAGAAGATGCATTAATCGATAATGGTAGCAAAGGATAATCCATCATCTAGAAGGACATGTATATTTTAATATTCTATTTAATTCAGTTCACTTCATGAAGCATAATTGCCATAATGCCTTTAGAATTTTAGAAACAGCGCTCAATCTCTAATGTAAAGTTTGTGGATCATCTTGTGAGGGGCAGTTGAATTGTGATATGTTTTACATTGTATCAGATAGACATTTTATTTTTGTGATTTTTGTCAACAACACCAAGACTCGGATCACATGCCTGTGTTAGGGGAGACAACTCTTTTTTTTTTCAATGTGATTAAGTCTGAATAATGTGTACATTATGGAGATAATCATGGTCTGTACTTTGTGTTGTATTTAATAATGCTCAGTAATTGTCAGTCAGCTCAAGATGGTAATTGTCATAAAGGTGTGAAATTTCCATCTTGATGAAGAATATTTGTTATGCTTAAATCATGATCTCGTATTTGCATTTTATATTCTCTGGCACATGTTTTAATTTCACTTGATAGACAGTTTTCCCTTTGCACACAAACTAGCAATATTTTAAGTGACTATGTTATTAATTTATTGATTGTGTTTGAACAACACATACGACACATGTTCATAACCAAATGATATCAATGTAATAAGTGTTATTTGCCATGTTGGAAATGTAACCAAACCATCATAATGTCATTTATTTTCCCTCAGGTTTTCCTGTAAACAACATTTGTAATTCCAATCCTTGTCAGTGAAAACTGGAACTAATGTATCGTTGACAAGTATTTTCTGAATTGAAACAAATTTTGAAGTATATTGTGTTGACCTGTTGAAGTCACTAGATTTTTTGGGGATTTTTTTTTCACTTTTTCATGAAACTACTGACAAACCTCAAATATTTTGATTACTCCTGTTAATTTTATCTGTTTATGAATATTAAATTTTGCCAATAATTTTCTTCTTAGTATTCATGTTTGCAGATTTTGGCACCCACTTCAGAAAATGTTTCTGTGCCTTTGAATCTTCCTAGATAATTTGATTTTGAAATGTTTTATACCAATGCCCTCACTCTGCTCATAGATAATCATTACTCATGCAAGTGCTGATCTGTATAATGTTGTAAATATTACTAAGTTTTAGAAGGAGAGTTTATGTAAAATACCTTACTTACAATATCCTAACAAATTTGCAAGTTTCCAGTGGAACACTAGCTAGGTAATTGTTTTGTGATATTTGTACATACTGTTATATACAAGTCAGTGCATTTTGTACAAGCAACATGTATTGGCTATTATTATAAGCCATGTAATAGTCAATCACGAATGGTGAGTCAATGTATAGCTAATTGATGGGAATTGTTTAAGTGGCAATGTCTGTCTTTCCATTTTTTCTTTTCTGTATCTCCCACACAAGACTCCTTGCCAGGTTTTTTAATGCATCGTGATAAAATTTTCAGTTGAACTCTGTTCGTGCTAAAAACTTTTTCCGTTGAGCTGCCTCAGCAGTACATGTGGAGACTTGAGACTTCCGCTGGGATTGCTGTGTGAAATAGGATGGTTGTTATAGTGTGCATCACCATCTTACAGCTTTGAAGTGCTCTTTAACATCTAGCAACATATAACTAGCAACTGAAATACCCCCAAGGTGCTGTCTTACAGTATTGTCATATGATTACTGTAAGTATTGCAGTTTATATCTCTGTCATATTTAAAAACCTTGCTCTACAATGACCTATGGATTGGCTATTGGTTCTCAATATTCTTACCTACTGTATGTGGAAGTGTAAAGTGAGTGAAAAAGGTTCACAACGATCTAGTTAATTCATCTTGATGTGTTTTGAAGAGGCTGTAATGTAGAATGAGCACACAGAGCTCACTTTGAAACATTGTTGTGCTTACACACTAGAGGAGCATCTTGCACATGGTATGGGTTAATTTTTCATATTGTCAGGAAATTATATGAAAAATAGAAATGTCTAATATTAAAATATGAAATTGAATCTTTGCTGATGTTTTTGTAATTTCTGTTCAGCCTTGAAGGAACAGCAATGGCCATAACTGTATTTTAAGTGATTCTTTGTGAGCTTTTGTGAAAGTCTCCGGTCTGGCTTGCCATTCATGTTGTACTGTCTGACATCCCCTACAGTTTTCTACCTCACAGAACTCCCTGTGCAGTCTTCTCAACTATGCTGTCAATCACTCCAGAAAGCTGACAAGAACATATCTCTTATGTTCTCAAATTGCAATACTCATTAGGAACAATTTCAACACCAGGTCTAATTTAACACTTCATTTAGTTTCTCAGGCAACTGTTGAATTAACACAGGGTTCTTGAAGAAGAAAGCAAACGCTGGTAAAATACCAATAAACCTTTCTGTGAATACATTAAAAGAAGAGGAAATCGTTTTCTTTGATTCCCTTTTCAGTACAGGAACCGGCAGGTTGAATAGTCCTTAGGCCCAAGCTTGTAGCTGTGGCATAGTAATCATTACTCTTGGTCAGAGTTGCATTTAGTCTAAGGATCTACTGAATGGTTGAATTGGGATTGTCTTCATTCAGTATGCTCAGACTGACTAAAGATACATGTATCTCTTCCATCACACACTTCAGTTTGACAAGCATTTATGGGGAGAGACAAGTAGTCCCTTTCCTTTTCACTAGTCATTGGTTGATAGTTTGAAGTATTGCTGGCATTACTCCCAATAAGCATCTTTCCTGAGGTAGGTCCTACTTGTTCTTCAGATCACTGCAAGTGGAAAGACACTCCTTTTATGTACGTATACCTTCAATATCCATAACTGAATCTGTGAATGTCTCGGTGTTCAACAAAATTTCTATTAGAATGGCTGGTGTTCACTAAATCATTTCACGGGTAGAAGCAACTTCATGGATGTATTGACACCATCAGACAATTTCTGTGACTTTCAATACAATGCTCAAATTAACCTGATAAGAGTCTTTATATTTAACTTTGATCTCCGGTGAAATTATTCTTAGTTCACATATGTATAACTGCATCCTTATGGCTGGGTCAAGCCGTTTGCTCCTCTAACTCATTCCTCACTAACGTGCTGATAAGGACTTCACATACTCGACTAACTTTTATGTATCAGCAGCAACTAAGACAGTTTTTAGTTTGTTAAGTTAGTTTGTGAATGTCATTGTGGATGTTGTAATATGGTAAACTGATACAAATCAAACTGCCTGCTACGTTTACTTGGCTATGATCTTGATGTGACAATTAACAGGGGGAAATGTAGAGAAACGAGGTTTTGATCTTCTATTTTGAACATTTGGCGTGTTGTCATTTGCGAAATGCAAAATACAGATGGAAAGAGGGTGCCACCTTTATCTTTATACAAGTAAGAACCTGTGAAATATTTGTGTGTGTGTTTTTCATTATTCATATTTGCAAAGGAAACCTTCCATTTTCAGAAGTATAATTTTAGAGGCAGCATTTGCCTTTGAGGATGACACTCCGAAGGCATTGAGAATATTTGAAATTTAAGTATGCTAGATGAATTAAATCTGCTTTTCAACACCTGCATAAAGGCAGAAAGCATCGGACTTCAGCATTAGGACTGATTGCCCAGACATACAATGATTGATGGACTAGCCTTCTATATTTATTTTTTATTAAGTGATGAACCCGATATCCTACATTTTCCCCCAATTAAATCTGTCAGTCAAAATAGCCACAATGGATCCAGTACCTGCTGTAGATTATGGGGCCCTGCCCCTCCTCACTGATGTGTTGTTTTATCGGCTGTTGTTCAGTGTTTGTTGTTCTGTCCTTCATTGATGTCTCCTTCACTCCTTTATGTGTGGTACAGTGTCCACAGATACAATAGTATTGTGGACCACCAGGAACATCTCAAACTTTCAGATTCATGTCAATTCTGAAACTTATCTGTCCTAATATATCTTATTACCACCGTTTATCAGTTGCCTGATCAAGTTCTTTTTAGTTTTGTGCTTAAATGCTTGTGTTTCCCAGAGCTGGTGTTCTAAGCGTGGTGTGCATTTATGAGCTGTTGTATGATTAGTGTGGGATGTTTTTACTTATGTCGAGTTTCTAATCAAATTACAACAATGTGGATCTTCGCTCAAGAAAATTCTTTTGAAATGTTCATATGGAGTACTTCAGTCAAGTAGTATAAGATTATGCTGAAGTAATTGTCCAACATGATGAGCGATTTTGGTTTTGACCTTAAAATTTGGGACCAAACTTTCCAGTAATGCTACAAAACAAACCTCAGCATTTTAGAATGAATATGCAAGTTGAACAATATAACTAAGCTTATGTCTTGACTGGCAGTGAAAGTAACATGCTATTTTATTTGAGTACATGAATAGTGAAAAATTGGCAACTTGTGGTTCATTTCCACCTTTGTCCATGGAAGTCGCCTTCCATAGTAAAGTCCAGTTTTCCCCCATCCACAGATCAACATTCTTTCATTGTATTTTTTAGACATTTGTTTCCATCCCGTGGGAAACTTGAACCTTTTAGACATGTGATTTTTAGATGTAAATATTCCAGATGTACAGATGTATAATTGATTTATTTCATTGGAGACATATCTGTGTTTATGGAAATGCATTAGACATATAACGACATTGATATGTGCCAAAATCTAGTTGCTTTAAGTTTTCGTTTCGACTCAAAAGCTATATATCTATTTTATGAAGAAGACATGAAGCCGTCTCCATGTTGATAATTGAGATCTAGGATATGCAGTTAATGAACTTCCTACCTTGCCCAGGTAAATCGCATCCCGAGCCCTGCTGTTGTTAATGTATGCAGAATAATGATATTGTATAGATACATATATATTAAAATACTGTACAGAGGTGTACAGTGGTTCACAGTAAGTTCATTGTAAGTCATAATAACTAATTTTCTATGTGAAGAGATGTGTATTTTAGGGTGAAGGTAGAGGCATGCTCTCGCAGTGCTGCATGAAAAAAAAACTTCGTAGTTTGTGACAATGACTTTGTGTACAGAATCATTTGTGTATTCCCTAACAGTGCAGGGTGTGAGATACAGAGACAAAGGCTGTTGATTGACAGTATTTATAAATAAATTATAAAAATTGATATGAATTCTGTTCTTTTGTAAGCCTTTTTTCTAACAGATGTGAGGTGACTTGCTTTTCTAAAGTTTGGCGTGAGTTTGATGGCACAGAGTAGATCACTATCTGTGCTGGCTTCATCAGTGCCCCAAGCATTAAATTAACATTATTTGTGCTACAACCGTCGTATGTATCATGCAGTTTGTCGTTTCTTTGGTGTACAGGACAATTCAGAAAAAAACTTCATTCCAACTTTATTTCTACTTACACCTTATTGCCAGTGTTTACTAAAAACGTGACAGCACAATTTAAAACTCTGGTAATGGATCAGCTAGCAAAATTACTTGCATTTGTTTGCAAACTGGGGTAAAAAGTCTCCGATTCACCATGATAGTGATGTTTGGTTTGTTACATCATCATCAAAATGATGGCTCGGGATGCTGGATTTTTGAAACCAGGTCCACAATCCACAAAGCCTTCTTATCTGCAGGATAACCTTCATAAAAAAATTAACATAGACTTGAGAAAGTTTTGAAGTCTGTAAATGAACACACAAGATCAATGTATAATTAATACAATTCTATATATGTATTACACATACACACATAATACTCATGAGTGCCCTCGTGAATATTCAGAATAATTTGAAACACCTGTTTCAGTTTTATTGAATCGAGCAGAGGGGAGTTTGGTGTTTTCAGAATGGTGCCCAATCTATACTAGCCAGGTACATTAATAGATACTACCAGGTATTCCCGTATTTAAGCCTAGGGCTTAGAAAATCTAGAAAATCACTGTTCTAGTGATGAAATATTTTACCCATATTTAAGCCCAGGGCTTAAATTCGAAAATGCGCAATATGTTGATAAAATAAAAAGAATCTGATTTTTTTAAAAACTCTTTGATCAGGAAGTTGTCTTTAAATTCAAAATTGAATGACCACATGGTTTAATTTAACTGCAACTGCAAGCACATCATAGGGGTTAAGATGATCAATTTCTGTCACTAATAACTGCCCTGTAACTGGTGTAAAAAATGTTCTGTAGACGTGATGACCTCGCAGAGACACTATACTAAAGTTAAAAACGTCTAGGTTCGCCTTGCGTTTGGAAAGGGACGTCTACACCCAAGAATTAAATCGAAATTTAAGCCCATGGGCTTAAATGCGGGAAGAAATCACTTATTTTAGCCCATGGGCTAAATTTCGTGTGGGCCTAAAGACGGGAGTTCCCGAAGAAAGTGCGACGTTAAACCCCATTTCACCTCACCTCACTCTGTAATTTGCTTCAATACAAAACGTGAACACCACACAACATAGCTGGTCTCCAGTGTCTGCTGACACATAAGAGTGGTGACACCAGATGTTCAATCAGGTCTAATTGAATGCAATAATTGCCCAGTCCTGTGTTTGGTAACTGCCATTTGGTTTCTTATTTCAACTGGAGCTAGCTAACTGGGTTTTTTTCTTAAAAGTTTCAGTCGCAAAAGTCGTGTACAAACCAGTTTTGTCATGGAACGCAACGAAATAGACGCTTTGATATAGTTGCACGCACACCGAAGAGAGGACTTATATATACTGAAAGCCATTAAAAATGCAATTTGACATTCATGCTTTCTTTACTCGCACTAATTTCAACATATATAAACCTAACTGGCAGATATGTTTTAAGTGAACATCTGTGAATAATTTCATCAAAATGTCCAGTCAACAACAACATCGGTGACGCAACAACGACATCACACAAAGGAGGGGTCACTTGCAGTCAATATGGTGTGTGTCCACCGTGCGCTGCAAGACATGCTCACAGTCTTTGGGGCAATGAAAGACACACATTTCTCAGGAACAGCTGTTGGATGGTCTGCAGCCTCTGATGGTCTGTGGTCTGATCATGACACCACCCCCTCCAAAACGATCATGTTCAAGGACACAGTTTGGCGCAAGTCTTTCTCCATTACGTCGATAAATCTGTTGATGTCCATCTGCAAAGGATAAGTTAAACCTGGATTCATCTAACAAAATGACATCTGGCCATGTCCTGTTGCCAAGATTGGCGCCATTTGCTGCCCATCGCTATCTGGCAAGTCTGTGGCGATGCAATAAGGTTGGACCACGGTACGGGTTACGACACCGGATGTTGAAGGCAGCAAGGCGTCCTTGCACCTTTTGGGCGCTGAAATGACTTTGACTTGTCCCAATTGTCCTCCTTGCCTAATCATCAGCTGTTTGGAACCGATTTCGCAAGTGTGAAACTCGGATATTGCGGTTTTGTCGAGCTGTTTTCACAGGTGGTGCACCAGGTCGCGGACGATCAACAACACTTCGGGTAGCCCGAAAACGTTGTCTGAGTCGACTTACAGTGGATGGATGCACATTAAAGTGCCTGGCAATCATCACATCTGAAGCACCTTGGCTGACCATACCGATAACCTGATTCCTTTTGTCTTGTGTCAAGTGTGGCATTTTCTCAAAGTGATTGAGTTCCACAATTCCTTGTGCTTTTACAGGGCCTGGGTGCAGGACTCGAACTCGAAATGGGCCAGAATAACAGCCTTTTATCCCTACATCCTCTGTATCGCAGGAAAAAATCTTCAATGGAACTTTTGTAAGTTTCAGGACAACAAATACCAATTGCGTTTTTAATGGCTTTCAGTATATATTTACATGTACTTCAACCACTCCCAGCAAGTAAATATATAATTATCAAGTAGTAACTGAATCAGACATAAATATTCACGATACTATCTAACGAAGGTTCTATAAACATGGACAAAAGCATGACAATATTTACGATTTTTAACCCCATATAGTCGGTTATATTCATATAAATATTATGTTTGCTTGAATGATTACGTTGCGCATCGTTCATTAATTCTAGATGTGAACGTGCTTTGATCAAAGGCGAGCTTCACGTGCAGTAACTGTACCAATCATTAAGCAAATACCAAGTTTCAGTAAATTGTTCTTATAGCTTGGAAAATCAAGCAAATATGGGGTCTCCTCGGCTGACAACTGCACAAAGATGACAAGCTATTGATTTGAGGAATGCTGACATGCCCCTGAGGGCTATTGCAAAATGTGTTTGTTGTCATCCGATTGGTCTGAAAGCATCAGCAAACTAATGACATTAAGGACCGCCAGAGTTCGGGTCGAACACGAGTGACAACTCCTAAGGAGGATACAGCGCTTCTCGGAATCACAAGACTTCACCCATTCCTGTCAAGTGGCTTCCACATCGTCGCTTGTCCAACAGAACGGTCCGAAATCGAAAAAAAAATCGTTTATAGGGCAGTTTAAAGAGCCAGACGACCTATCAGACGTTGTTATCCCCAGAGCACAAAGCAACACGACTAAAGGCCACCTCTCCTTTAGAGGTCCCCGTCGAGGTCCACAACTCCTTTGGTCCTCTGGATATGGAGGTCACTCCATCTCCACCTGACACCAATAGGAGTTCTTCAAACGCTTCCTCACGTTCACGTGATATTTCACCGGTGGAAGCACCATACAGCCACAAAGCATGATTCAGTGGAATCGCAGGGGACTTAAGAATAATTTTAATGAACTACAGTTTTTTATCCAAGACTATAAACCATCCGCCTTTAGTCTCCAAGAAACGTACTTAAAAAGGACTGATCAATCTGACATCCGTCGGTACAGTCCCTACCTCTCCTTTTCTCCTCCCTGTGTTAAAGCTACAGGAGGCACTTCTATCCTGGTGAGGCAGGACATCCTCCAGAGCCCTGTTCCACTTAACACCAACCTACAAACTGTTGCTGTCCGCATGACTCTGAACGTAGAATTTACACTATGTTCACTCTATCTTCCTCCTAACTCAACTATCCGCCTATCAGATCTTCAGAACTTGTATGATCAACTCCCGAAGCCATGTATAATTATGGGCGACTTGAACGGCCATAATCCCCTATGGGGGAGTACCGATACGAACACTAAGGGAAAGGTCCTTGAAGATTTTCTCTCAAATAATGATCTATGCATTTCAACAATGGATCAAACACTTATCTCCATCCTGCCACTGGAACATACTCTGCTCTTGATTTCTCACTTACGGATTCTAATCTTTTAAACGAGTTTGATTGGTCGGTCCATGATGACCTATGTGGAAGTGACCACTTCCCAACAATTCTTACTCCCATCGATCCCACGGATGAACCACCTTCAACAAGGTGGAATTTTACTAAGGCCAATTGGTCATTATTCCAAACGCTATGCTCTGAAAAACTTAAACCAGACAATTTCAGGAATGTTCCCATGGAACTATTTTCAGACGTCCTAAATGCCATTGGAGACCAAACCATTCCTAAATCCTCTCCAAACCCGCACATACACAAAACATGGTTTGATACAAACTGCAAACAAGCTAGAAAAAATAGGAAGAAAGCATAACTCTGCATAACCTGAATGCTGTTAAAATGACAAATGCCAGGGCAAGGCGTACCTTTAAACAAACTAAATGCCTGTCATGAAGGAAATATGTATCCAAAATCAACTCCCGCACTCCCATGTTCAAAGTGTGGAACATGATTAAGGGCAAAGGATCAAAATCTGGTTTCTGGATTCTCTCTTAACAAATAAATTTGAAATTGCAAACAAACTTGGCGAAACTTTGGCAAACCACTCCTCCTCATCAAATTATAACCCTCAGTTCCAGAAATACCAAACCCATCAAGAAAGGACATCTGTCAATTGTAACTCTGATAATGAAACAATGATTTCAAACAAACTATCAAAAGTCATACTCGAAAAAAGGTGGGACACCCAAGGTGGAAGAAATAACTTCATGAATTGAAACCTATTGTGGTTGTACTTACTTGGGTTGTTGAAGACGTGATGAGGTAATTTTTCGTAGATGTTGTCTTGGCCACAGTCAGTTTACTCATGACAATCTGCTGAAAACGGATGGGGATGGACCTCCCGTGTGTGTCTCTTGCGACGAAGTGTTCACCATCAATCATATTCTGCTTGACTTTTCAACTGCAAGGGATTCACATTATGATATGAGAAATCTGAAAGATCTGTTTTTCCGCGTGAGTGGGCATTTGTTAACTACCTGAGGGAAGTTGACCTGGCTAGCTATTCTCGAAACGTTCGTATCCCTACGAACTTCTTAAGCCCATTCTTAACACATTGGCTACGATCAAAGTTAAGAATTGTAACTATATAATGTGAATGACGGGGGAGGGTCCACTGGTGGCACGAAAGTCGATTTCTTTTTTTCATGACTGATGTCCGAGCTCGTGTTTGGTGCCGCAGAAACATTACATATGCACCACAGAATATCTTGGAGAAAGTATCAAAAATGGTGTTGTGGGTGCCTCTCACGTAACTTTAAACTTGACCTTTCGACGATAGGACAAAATCTGAATAGACAAGGGTACATCACTGACATTGTTGTACCACATTCCGATGAAACCTACTGAGCATGTATTATCGCACAAAACGCCAGAAACATCCTCCAAAACTTTGATGTTTTGGAACCATTCCTCTATCAAAACATGCAACACCATACCTCAACGTCTGATACAGTCAAGGAGGGTGAGGAATGTTATTGCTGTTGGTGGGTGTTATACCAGATATTGACATCGTGCTTGGTAATCGATGCTTATTTCCTAATGATTGTATGCCAGAATCCCACACTACCATTCCTCAGTCTGCAATTTCTTCACGGTATCCTTTACTTCCTGTTGATAACGTTGACCAGTAAGCGTCACGGTACTGTAATCAAGCTTGTAGTCATACAAAAGGCATCCCCACACCATCATTGAGCCACCAGTGTTCAGCTGCAAGAATCACCTCCTGGTTATACGCCTCGTAATGTTCAACGTCTCCATACACAACTACGGCCGTTGCTGACGTGGTGGAGGTAGCAGCCAAACCAGGCGTTCCTGCCTGTATCCCCAGAAAAGCAGCCTAAAACTAAACTCACTCACTCACTCTGATGGTTCACGGTCATTGGTCTTTCCGGTCTTCCACATCGTGGGCGATCCTTTACTTCACTAGTGGCCACGGGCTTCCACAAGCCGACTCATAGCCGAGACGATTCTGTTCAAAATGGCACTAGGTTGCCATCTATAGGACATACTTGCCTCATGTATGTCAATAACTTGCCATCTGACAGTCTTAAAGAATAGTTTTAGTACTATCATCTTTTAAATCAGTTGAGAAAAATGTAGTGCACATGTTGCAATTATGAAATTTATATCCCAATGTGCTTGATGCCTTCGGAGCACGTGAACACGTGACCCACAGCTTTAGATAAGCACGTGCTTTACATGTGCTTTGGACGATGTGTAAAGAATGGTAAAATCAGATTTTCTTTTCCAATTCTTACTCAGTTTATAATTCTGGAAACGCACACAAATAAAGTGATTTCTTGTTATTCTACATCTAACGTAAGTTCTTCAGCCCGAGTAATAAATGCATTTGTTCACGATTCCCGAACAGTCACCCAAAGACGCCTTCTGGAGCGGGAGAACCCAAGGGTAGATAACCGGTCACAACGCCGATAGAGGGCACTTGCTGTCAACATGGCTGACGATGGGGATTTCGATGGCGATGAGTAAGACTATTTTGCAATATTTGACTCCATTTAGCTCGTGTTAATTACGTATTGCCAGGTTTTGGTACATCTAAGGTTGTATGTTATGGTAGAGGGTTGCTTAATGATTCTCATGATTTGAGAAATACCGGTAGTCTTTACAAAACAAACAGGACTAGTGTTTTTATATATCAGTAAATTGTTTATGAATCGAAACACGTGTTTGGGATGAATGAAAGCCTACCATACTTACGATCAGCTGATGACAGTGAGACTGAAACAGAATCCAGACACCATAATTCATTCGCTTTTATCAGAGACCATAAAATAGAGGGATTATATGGTATTTGTCAATAGTCATTTATCACGTTCACATTTCACACTGTGTGTTCTGTAAGCGTGAGTACACCATCAACCCAATTTACAGACGAAACGTTAACCTAGTCCAGAAATAGGTTCTTTTTTTGTAAACAGATTGGTGTATGTTAATAAAAATTTTGAATGTTTAAACCACACTCATCACCATTACGATTAAAGTGGAATCCCGCTTCTCCTGTCCCCATATATCTGGAAACCTCTTATTCCGGACGTTATTTGCATGAGAGAAAATAATATGATACTACATGAAAGGTTTCATTAAGTCAGGTGATCAAGCACCTTAGACACTTGACAAGGTTTGACTGGGGTACATATCTTGCCTGGTGCTTGAGACTTCATATTTTCATTTCCTGTGATGGTTTCATCGTAAGACAAATATGATACATTTAACGAATATTGGGTAGCAAATACAAATATTGATTTATGAATACAAGTCACCAGTTGATGTATTATTCATTATGTTCAGTGAAATAGGAACAAAATATATTTTTGGACATGTTTTGACCACTTTGACATAATTCATCACAACAATTATCTATTAATCGGCCTTGCATGGATATATTTCATTTTGCATCATATCGCACTTAGATAACATCCTAATTCAAGTAAGGCACCTTTAAAAAAAATACATGAATATTTATTTTAGTGATTGCAAGTAACTGATTGAATTCATAAAGGGATGTGGATTCATTCACTAAATATGTGTAGTTAATCATAACAACAATAAAAAATAGTTGGACACAATTCTGAGCCTAATAGATACACATGAAAAACACAGAGAAGTCATCCTCGCCCATGGTGGTTGAAAATGAATTTAATCCTTTCTTATGTAAAATTTAACAAACATTAATTGTTGACAAAGAATTTATGACTTGATTATCTATGCTGATTTATTAGTGACCATTGTGTGTGATTGCAGCTTTGATGAAGCTGCTGATGATCTTGATGATGATGAGGTCCTGGATGAACCTGAGAATACGGAGGTAATTTTTGTACACAATCTCATTAAAATCAGATTTTGTTCTTGTTCCTCCTTAACAAAGATCAGAGGATATCATGTTGCAGGTTATGTAAGAATGTCCTTTCATCCAACCAATCATAATGGTGGTTACCAGATCGGGACAGTGGGAATGTGTTTCCTAACCATGAAGCCTTGACAGGGTTAACACAGGGTTTTCTGAATAACTATTATGGGCTTTATGATCGATTCTTTCAATATCATCATCTGTCTCTGCAGTGGGATAAATATTTGAACAGAAGAGAGTTTAATTAATTAGTATGGGAAGCACTGTCATTTGTTTAGACTTTTCAGAATGTCCTTTACTGGCTTTAGTTCAGGTTTCAATGTTGAGTCAATATGTCATGATATGTTTTAAAGTGTAGTCTGAAATAGAAGTTACCAGACTGAAACAAGTTATGTACAGCTTGACAACACAAGTTTGTGATGGGCCAATGTTGAAATTCTTGTTGTTTTATTGGTCGGTTAATGTTCCCAGAAGTTCTTGAGCTGTAAAGGGATGCCTTTGGATCTTTGTTGAACAGCAGCAAGAACCAAGATGAGATTGTTTTTGTATATTAATGTAAATATGGTACTTCTGTTACACTTTCTTGTCCAGAAAAGTAGCTTAGTAGTTAACGTGTTTGCATATCATGCCAAGACTCGGGTTCAATATGCATTAAGCCCGTTTCTGGGTCCTCTTGCCATGTTCTTGCTGCAACATTGCTAAAAGAGATGTGAATCTAGTCGCCATCAGAACAGGGGATACTAAGATTGTTGTGGTATGCTTTCATAGCAGAATACTTAATTAGTATCAGTTTTTTGTGAGCTCTTCAACAGGGTTATTGCTTTCAACAAGTCAGTGTTTACCTTGCATGGCAAGTGAATTTAGTGGAGTTCTTATTGTATTGTGCAATCCAATTCAGCATTTGGTTGGGGCGGTACTCTCTGTACATGAGTGGGACTTGTTATGCAGCACCAGGTGTAAATTTGTGATGCATTGTGAGGTCAATAAATGCAGATTACTAAAGTAGATACTGTTACTAGGTTGTCCTGTTTTTTTCAGGTCGGCCAAGAGCAGATAGAAGTCTTGCCTAATGATGCCCCTCGTCAGGTAGAACCAATGAAGAGAATTACATCCCGATATATGACGAAATACGAGAGGGCGAGGATTCTTGGAACAAGAGCATTACAAATAGCGTAAGTCTAAAACAAGTGTGAGATTTTCAGGCAATATGTAGTCAGCTGACTGAAAGAGGTCTGTAGTTTGCATTTGACGCCAACCATGACCACAGAAGCACCACACGCAGTTGACAGTCCATGGTGCAGCATCAGAATCAGGATTCAGTAATTGTTAATTTGTAGGTTTGAATCCAATATTAACCCTAGTGATGTTCCTTTGCATGATTTGTATGAAAAAGTCGCAATTCCCATTATGATATCTCTTTCCCACATTAAGCTGACATGCAGTAATACTGCTGGAAAAGAGCAGCATGTAACCATGTCTGATTGTGTTCCAGAATTTGTGCCTCTGATGAAATTGTCTGTTACAACATTTATGTCTCTATTGTATTTTTCTCTGTGTTTCAGCATGTGTGCCCCTGTGATGGTGGAACTGGAGGGAGAAACTGATCCACTTATGATTGCTATGAAGGAACTCAAGTGAGTTACTTCAACACTGTAGTAAAGACTGGCAGTATTGATGGTCTTAAAGGGGTTCGGGCACGATCTGCTGTGCGTGGCTGCTTCCAGTTATGGTTGTCAGGATCTACTACTTAATTCTTGGGTTTTACTGATTTCATCCTTATGACCCTAGGAGTGATAGGGTTATACCTGTGTGTGATGGTTTGTTGTCATGATGGGTATCTCTTTGGGCTTTCCTTCAGCTTACGGCCTTGCTGTTGTGTTAGTGACATGTTTTTACATTACTGACAATAGGCAGTAAACAACACTCACTCACAATTTGCTGTTTCAGGGCCAGAAAAATCCCCTTTATCATCCGGCGATATTTACCAGATGGAAGCTTCGAAGATTGGGCTTTGGATGAACTGATCATGACAGAATGATCATGTCAACTCAGTGTGACTTGGTTAAATCAGGAACAGCATCAGTTACTGATGGGAGGTGCCATGATGGCAGCCTATTTCTCTAGCTCATGATGGCAGCCTATCTATGATCTAGCTGTATCATTTCACATTCATACTATTCAGTGGATTTTGTTAATTCAGGACAGAAGGGAGGAAGTGGATCAGTTTGCTGCTGTAAGATGTCTTTGAAGATGGGATTTGGTACAGAAATGGTGTCAGACCATTTTTACACATTTTCATGAATCATCATTTGAATCATCATCATTGTTGTATAATAAAACAGTAAAACACCACTTGGTAGTTTTAGTTATTTTGCTGTGTATAATATCAACTGTCTGCAAGTTGTACTTGGCTAGAAGACTTTCCCCCATCTCTCTTATGTAATACAGGGCGGTATAGAATTCAGCTTGTCTGTCCATGTTATTTGTCCTTATCATACTTTTAAAGCCAATAGATACTTCCATGACACCCTGGACACACAAATACCAGCTTGTAAACCAGAGCCGTTTGCTAGAAAGGGGTTTTCAGAAGTTATATTTCTGTCCATATCCACAGAAACAAGTTTGACTTGGACTTTGTTCATATTGGTTAGCTTGCCTGGATCATATTTTAGAAAGTAATTGGTATCCATTCATGAAACTTTGCATACACTAAGATCAGGATGTCAACTCATGTCATGTGTGAATTATCTCCGAAGGTGCCATTTCTTTTCAGTACACATACACCAAACAGTACACTGGTTCTTTTAATTAATGACAGAATTTAAATTATCTTGTTACATCCCATCCTCGATAATCTCCAGGGTATACGTTACGATAACTCTCCACTATACCCTGGACGCATCTATGGCTTGGCCCGATGATTTTGTTATGGTTGGCTCCGCATTCTCACAGTAGCCAATCAGCTAAGTCGAACTTGCCAGTGTCAACAAAGAAAGCGGTCCCAGCCGCGAAGGTTAGTTCGCTGTGCGACTCAGATTTTTTTTGAAATCATACAGACAAATTTACAGGTCTGAAACTGTAAAAAAAGATATGCAAGAACTCCTTCAACCTCTTTCAGAGTACCTCTGCATCAACTGTTTTGCCAAGTTTAATCGGTTAGATAATTTAAGAAGTGAAAGTGAGTTGTGATTGGTCCGCTCAACTTCCCAGCGTAGACACCTGATTGGATAAGAAGCCAGCCAAGGGAGGTAATAAAATTATCCGGCGGAACAGTAGCTGCGTCCAGGGTATAGTGGAGAGTTATTGTAACGTATACCCTGGAGATTATCGAGGATGGTTACATCCATGAATATTTACAAAGTGCCAAATCCAATTTCCATGGTATTGTCAATAACTGCTCCTGTACAGACAGATAAAATAAGAATACTTTAATCAAGTTGGACAGATTCTTGTTTCACCTGCTTAACAATCAGATTATTTGTTCTTTCCATGTTGGTGATGTTTGTCATCTTCTGAAGACTGTTGTTTGATTATTCTGAACCTGTCTTGAGTAGCTGTGCAGATACTGAAAATCCCTGAATAGGAAATGATCTTCCTCGTCTTGGATGAATCAAGAACAACATGGTCTCTGACATATTATACACTTTTTATTTTTTTCTGCTTTTAAAAAAAGCATATGTACATAACGTGGGATAACCCCCACAATTCACACAGTTATTACACAACAACATATTCTTGGAGGTTCATTCTCACGGAAACGTCAGTTATTCCTAGCAATAACATATTACACATAGTAATAAATAGATAGGAAAAATAGAAATATTTCTCATAGATTCACATCAAATCGGCATCCCAATTTCACACCGATATCGGCAGTTAATACAGCATAATTAAGGATCCCAATTAAGTTCACAAAGTTTAAGGAAATATAACTGCTCCATACAGCCAAAGATGTATCACCTGTATGATGTACGATGATAGGGTGCCTGGACTTGTGCCATGCACTTGATCACCTGTGATTGTAAGATGAAGTGTGCCATACTCTGATTGACAAAACATTAGATTCCTAGGCTTCAAATCAGACTGTTCATTGCGTATGAATACTTGAGGTTATGTCCCAAATTTGTAAAAAAGAAACATGGCTTTTACCATTGCAACATATACACTGCATGCTCAATGTACTGTATTTGATTACAATTCATGCGAATGGTTTAACTTTCACAGCTCACATGGTTGTGCGTTCTGGCTGGTTCAATAGCCAGGAATCACATATAGATTGCTAGTGATGTCACTGTCTACCATAGTGACTCCACGTATCTCACAGATGTGTATGTCCAGATAGTGCTCTACTGAAATAAACCTATAACACTTACTATATACAGTGTTGAGTGTTTGTCTTCAGGTTTGTTCATGTTCTAATTAATCGGAAGCAATGAAATAGAGGTTCACTATCAGTCGACTATAATCAAGTTCAAGTTCCTTAAATAATGTTCCAGAAATATTGTTGGTATGTTGGTTCTGGTCTGTCAGATGTTACATCAGTTCCAGTGTAAATGACTTTGTAAAGGATCTGGGCTTTCAAGAACTAAGTGTACTTGCCATACAGACATCTTATGGGACCATGGAGTGTGGTCAGGAATAAAGACTAGAGAGAGGGGAGGTGTAGCCAACACTGGGGTGGGCAATATATCAGTACAGATACTGAAGGACCTGTTCGGTAATCAGATCTAGGATGCAAGTCTGCATCGAGCATTCATTGCCTTTAACCACTGGGTTGGTTGGCCATGCTCCATAAAATCCTGAAAACCAACTTATACATAATACAGTAAACGTGTCTGGCCAATGTGATGCACTAAGTTTAAGAGATTTGTACAAATGGCATTATCATGGTGGAAGCAAAATAATAACCAAGACTTGACCGGATGAACATGTTATTCATACTGAGCAACATGTAAGGTATCGGTGATGAAGATGCATTCAACAAACCCACTTTTGACAAACACATGACAAATTTCATATTTTGTTTGGGAATCGTGGGTCTGACATGACAGCCCAAACTGACAACTCCTTAGTGGAATACTGCCATGGGGAATTAAAGAGGTCACAGTGCTGATGTCCTTATGGAGATAGGAATCAGAATACATGCATTCCATCCTCAGTCGAGGAATGTTGTTATAAAAGTTATTCCCATCTACTGATTTACTCACTGCATCAATACTTTGGACTATCATCATCTTCAGCATGATAACTGATGCAGACAAAGATTGGATAATGCTGACGATGACAGTATTTCAAAGGATCTACATCTGGGATCATTAAAGAATTACAGTGGTGCTATCAGTCAGTAAGGAATTACAGTGGTGCTATCGGTCAGTAAGCCAGTGACTGGATGTTGTTTTGTGCTACAGCCAGCAACATTTCAGCCGTATTCCAGCAACCTGTCGACAATTGATTCTGGGGTAGGAAATCCTGCTAACCAAAACAATGCAGCCGTAATGACAGCAGTCAATATTGCACATGGTATTGACCAAACAACAGTCAGCTTGTATGATCGGCTGTGAACCTGTCTCTAATCGACATGGGGTAACAAGCTTAGGGCTCTGGGACATATTCTACCACGAAATCCACACAGGATGCAAGGTGGGGACCTATCCTGTTTGGGGACATATTCTACCTCAGAATCCACACACGATGCAAGACAGGGGACCTATCATGTCTGGGGACATATTCTACCCCAGAATCCACACAGGATGAAATGTGAACTGGGGACCTATCCTGCCTCTGAATCAACACAGAAGACAAGCTTAATGCACTGGGGACCTATCACTGAGACAAGATTAGTGTACTGGGGAATCTCAGGTGGCATGCAAGGTGTTCTGTCGTATACTGAAGACCTGCATCAGGGAGGAACACTGCTGAATTGGGACCTATTACGCCCTTCAGTTTCCTGGGAGGCCAGAACAAGGTTTGGGAATTCACCCAGTGTCTTAGAGTTATCTTAGAGATGAGCCTGCAGTGTGTAGTACTGCAAGTTGAAGCCACTGTCACTGATGGAAACACCACCGTGAGTATTTCATACTCCTAGTTCCCTCTCATTCCACCCCAGTGAGTGAGTGAGTTGAGTTCAATGCCACAATAAACAGTACTACAGTTGTATCAGCCTAATGTGGGTGGGCCGGAGACCTTCACATGGTGCTGACAAACCCAGAAAGCGTTCCATGCCAAGCTGGACACGCAAAGCCTCTGTCTCCATCGCCTATCTATGCAGTTGTATCGAGCTAACCCTGTACAGAACCTAGGTCATACTTAAAGAAGATCCCACAAACCTGAATGATTTGAAATATTTCATTACATCACATCAGAAAATAGCTATACTAACTGAAACTACATAGTTTTCTTAAATACAAATATAAATTTTTCACCTTTCCTACAAACAAATCTTAATGCCACACGCTAAGCTCAAGTGCCTATTTACCAAAATATCAATATTTCTATGATTGTGCAATATCAAACAATTTTCTAATCTTTGTGATGTGAATGGCTAAGCTGGCTGGCTCCTTCAGAGCAGTGCATGTGTCCACTCAAGAGACCAATGGGGTGACTTTGTAACACCACTTAGAACCGTATTTCCGTTATGACATGGAGAGGAGGGAAGGTTTGAAGTGAGGAAGGGTTTACCACAAAAACTGTACTGATCCCCTAACCACCTGTGACACTTAAATATTCAATTTCCAAGTTGATTCACATTAAAATAGATCTCGTCACGAGGACCCTTTCATTTACAGCAGTTCACCTGCACTAAAGAAGGCCTTACAAACACAGATGGAGGTGCAACAAGAACTCAGGAACCAGAACATACACACAGAATCGCATTGAATCGTAGACCGAAGGGGGAAGTGTGGTTTTACATTTCTCCCAGCACCGTACGTAAGCCATGGCCAGGGACACAGGAAGCTGGCAGCACACGTTGATCAGAGTTGAAGCCAGGGTTCCCATAGAACAGCAGAGATGCCAACCCCAAATTGGAGCAATTAGGAATCTGAGCTCCCTAAGATAGAAAAAAATAGAAATGTTCCCTACAAATGAAGGATCCTTATAAATTGTTGCACTCAAGGAACGAAACTTTCAATGCCATTACACATAGCGATCCTTATACAACTGAAATGGGTTGTCAGTACTCGGCAGCAGTGTTTGTGAATGTTAAGTGAATAAAAAAACAGTGCATGGAATTTATCAGGCAGCCTACTCTACTATCCGATTACTTTCTTGTGTAAACAATTTGAGAACTTCTGTAAATATAGTGTTCTATTTATTTAATTATCATTATTTATAGTCAAAGATGATCCTAGCCCTCTATCTATATCTTTGTTATATTTTGAACAAAATCGGAATGAATTTTGAATGAATTTGCCTTTGTCAGAATGGCGGAATCGACATGCATTTTTTTTAATGAATCCGATAAATTCGGGAGGGTTTTGGCATCTCTGGAACAGTTGGTGCTAAATGAGGGTTCTCCACACCGAGCTAGGAACTGGCTACACAGACTGGTTTGGACAGGGAAGCATCCACTTATTGGTCTTAAATAGTCTTAGTCACAGTTGTTGTTCGAACGAAATACATATTTTTTAAATGTGTTTTCAAGATAATAGTACCTAAGAAGCATTGAATGAAGACTCTTCAAAGCGTCACCAGACCATGCAGCAGAATGTCAATACATTATAACACAGAGTCATGATGTTATGACCGCCTATTACTTAAAACATTCTCTATAAATCTAAGAGCAAAAAGATACACTGAAATATGAATACAGGCATCATTACCAACACCTGAGATGATTCTCCCGTAGAACTGGGATACAACTGAGTCCATGTCCCTCCTCCTTCATTTTCCCACTACACTGAAAATACTGAGACAGTAGGTGAGGTTATGATCAACAGGTCCCTGATGTGTTCGTCGTCTCACTAGACTGGAACCAGTCTGTTTCCTACATGAATTAAAAATAACATAAAAAGTCAGAGGTATATATTTTCAATTTCCTTGGTGTTTTCCAAATGCTTGAAAATCTTTCAATGCAATGTTTCAAACTATATTTGTGATGTTATATTTGTTTGTCTTATGTTATGTCATACATTATATATGGGATACTATAATTCCAGCTCCAGTCTAGGTCCTGACAAGTGTAACTGTTGTTAGTGAGATGTTGGAAGAGTTGTTAGGAGAACACTCCCGCTGAAACAGGTGACTGACAATGGTGATTGAGTTTCAGTTAATGTTGCTTGGAACAGTCCTTTAACATACCATTGCATCATGGAGAAAACCATGCGGGTCTTTATCACTTTGGTGAAAACTGTAAGCATTGGTATGATCTGGGTTATCTGGAATCATGTGTCTTTCTTAATCAAGGAAATCAATCATATCTGTCTCTTTGCTTAAAGGTTATCTGTTTTTGAATAAAGGTTATTAATAATGTGTCTTTCTAAATACAGGTAATAAATCATGTGTCCTCTGAATAAAGGTCATAAATGATATGTGTCTCTTCAAATAAAGGCTATTAGTCAGGTGTACCCCACTGCATACAGGGCAGAAAGTTGTCAGTCTCTTTTAACACAGATGAGAGGGCAAAAGACTGATAGGATGTACTCAATATTCTGACACTCACATCATAAAAGTATTGGTAAAACCTTATTTGATTGAAACACGTTAAAACATTTCATGTAATTGGCATAGACATCTAATAGAGAAATATGGAGCATACTACAAGCTTTATGTGTGCGTATAAAGAACATTATTTCAAGAAATATTTAACTGTCAACCATTCTAGATTCAACAGTGTTGATCTCATAGATGTGGTGTCTTTCAACCAGTTGACTATTCTGTATAACTAGCAGCCCTGTAAAACTGTTTCACCCTGTACAGTGAGACCCTGTAGGAGAGGACCCTGACAAATCTGGACACCTCCCTTTCTGGATAATTGTGGTTAGATAGAAATTGTAATACATCAAATGGGGTTGACTAAGGAACACAACGCTTCAGAGCAAGGCCATAGCCACATGGCTACCAATGTCCCAGCAGGTGGAAGATCCTTCAAGTAGGCCATTAAAATGTTGACAACCAAACACTTCCTTTACAGCAAACCCTGTACAGTGGCAATCAGGCACTCCTAACAATGTAGTTTCCATAATCCAGACATTGGTCAATCCATTACATGTTGCAAAGAACAGATTAACAGGTTTCCACTGTATCAAGATATCTCCATATTGGCGGACTTACTTTACTAGATGACCAACTTTTATACCATAATCAAGACAGGTTATCTATGAAGTGAACACAGCAGTCTAGGCTGCTTTGTGTCTCCACCTTCAGCAGACTTCTCACTTCCAATGTCCATGCTCCCCACAGTCTTGCTGGACTGGTGTCTAGCTGTAGGTAATCCTGCCTGTCCACCACAGGAACTTGGAACTTCTTCAGACAATCTTCAGCCAAAGGGACGGTAAGACGCAGATGCTTTCATGACCACTAGAACTGCCATATTTCAGACATGGAGAAAAGTTATGAGATGCAGTTTGTAAAACTTGCTGACATTGCTTAGAGAGCTGTAAACTAGTACATTATTTCAAGTGTTGGATTAATGCCGGAGGAGATGAACTATAGTAACATGAATGTATAGTGTTTTCCTTAACAATTTTAGAAGTATAATATTCAATGGTATTTCTAAAATGTGCATTTAGGTGTTGTTCTAAATATGAGCAAGTAATTCACTGAAGTTGACATCTGTAGGAGTTTAAGATAACAGTGCCATCATTTGGCATGACATCCATCCTAAAATGCTTTAGTGACAAGCTTGCCGACTTCAATATTTCTGACTCAAACTTTGAAAAACCAACTTGTTTCATAATTTAGTCATAAATCTGAATACAATTTCACCATTCAAGGAATTCTAGCTCTCAGTCATTTGAACACTTCCATTAAATTGAATCCAAACATCAGTACAGTGGGCCCAGAAGGCTGCTTGTCCCACCTGATCATTCAGGACATTTCAAGAGACCTACTGCTTGGGCCAGCTCACTGGCTGACCTCTGAAAACATCCAACTGTGTTCACACTCAGGCTTGCACCAATAAATAGACAATGAATTAAAACTGCCCCATGTGTACAGGGGAAAACCTTCTTCAGTCTAGTATGAAATTTTCACGTCCCTGAAAATTGCATAATGTTCATGTTGCTAGTGTTCATGCCATGTATATGAACATGTTGATGTTCTCCTCGTCTCGCTTCATATACTTGTGCTCAATGAGCCACTCGATCTGTTCTTTAATCAGTTTCTTTGAAGGCAGAAACATGTTTTTCAGGATTTCTACAAGTTCGGTCTGTAAGGCAGCGTTTGTAATTCTTTTCCTCATCTTCATTATTTTCACTATTGCCTCCTGGAAACAAATCAGATACAAGAGTGAGTGAGTGAGATGGACTCTGAAAATTGGAAGAATCCTTTAGTCGTGTCACAGCGTGGCAGATTAATGGCAGACTAAAACCTAAATTGATACAGGTCATAGACATTACCAATGTGGTGAAACCTACAATATATACTGACACAGACCTTAACAGGGTTTCTGTACAGACTATTCATATGATACATTAATGTTATCAATGTCACAATCATCACAATAGAAACACTGTGGATCATCAACAACCATCCCCTCTATTACACATTATCTTGCCTGCACCAAAAAATATCATTGTTTTTCATTCTTACTGACCTATGCTCATAACATCCAAGTTGTGCTATGCCTTCATTATCTCCTACAGTAATCCCTGTACAGAATATATCCCAGACACTCACCTGTACACATAATATCCTAAGCTGCATTATGCCTTCATTATCTCCTACAGTAATCCCTGTACAGAATACATCCCAGACACTCACCTGTACACGTAATATCCTAAGCTGCATTATGCCTTCATTATCCTCCTCCTTTGTCTTCTCTGTAGATAGCTGCAGACGGCCAACCAGGTTCATCTTGCCACGCTTTTGAACTTTTCCGTTTTTGCTGCAATATGACATTCATGATATTACATTTCCTCCATGTAGGACCAGCAAGAGAACAAGTATAGCTCCAGCTACATCCAGCTCTATATATCATCATAAACTATTTACACAGGATATACATGTACCAAAGTTTCTTGTGAATTACATACCTCCCATCCCATGATAGCATCTTGTAACAACCTATACAAGCCGTTTAGCCAGCCAGCCTGTACAGTTGGGACACCATAGTGCTTCATTCCACATTATCTGCTCATTGCATAACAATTCACATTTTGAAAATACCTTTTCGAACCAAAAGCAGTCGTAAGGTCGATCTCACATTGTCACAGCAACTTATTTCAGAGAAAATGCATCTCTGTTCATAAGAGATAAATTCATGTATCACATGTAGTGTGTATGGAATTTCATGAGGTCAGTCTGAACCAGCTGGACAGGTGTAGTAAACCTCCACTTATCTACACAACAGGAGGACAGCATGACTCACATAAGGGCAAACTCCTGATTGATCCAGAACTGTGTGTTGTCGTCAACATCCTTGGGGGCCTTCACATCCGGACTACACAACAAGATCTGTCGCTTTATCTTGGGAAACGCCACCAGGGACTGAAGCACAGAAACACTGGTCAGTGACATCATAATGTAATAGCAGTAAGGCTGTACCAACTCATGTTCTTGAACATTAAATGAAGTTTAATTGTTGAAAAGTAAATAAACATAATCAATCTTAGTTTGATTGCAAATGGGACATAATCAAAATGAAAATTGAAACTGTTTCATTACCACAGAAACATTTCTGATAAGAGTATTGATCATTTTTGCTTTGGCATATTGGCTCTAGAAAACCAGAACCAACAATGGCCAGGCTTGACCTCCGCTACATAAAGTGAATACAAATGTGTGAATGTAGTAGTTTTGGAAAGGGAGGTAATTGCACTTATGGTTATTTTATAGTGGTTCCTCATGTATATGTTCAAATCTGGATCTAACAAACCAGTAGACAAAACTAGTGGTCAACAGTGTGAGCACACAAGATGGTTGCAAATACAATGAAATCAGAAAGTCCTTTAGTCATGAGGGGTTTCATCCACGTTCACCTTTGGAATTGAAACAGACACAGGACATATATAATATGGACAAAAGTAAAAACAGTATTTTATGGCCAGTTTGTGATGAGAAGCAAGGCTTAATGTTGTGTCTGTATTAAATGACCTTGATGCAATGACAGACAACTAGGTCATGTTTAAAGAATCTGTAGTAACTGTCAACAAAATCAACAGCAGAACGCAGAATGCTTGCAGAGGGAGGGAGCCAATGACCTCACCCATCATAAAGGTCAACGTCCTCCTGAGTTCTGCATCGGGGAGTTCAGTTGCTAACTTCAAACTCTCGTAGGATATTTTGTCCCTGGGTCTCTGGTTCCAGGCAAACAAAACTCCCATTTGAAATGTTGTAACTTCTAGATCATATCTTCCTAAATCATTGCAAAATGTTATCTGGAAGCATGAAGAAACACAGTGTCAAGGAAGGAAGGTAAATGTCTTCAATGTTGAAACCAGGCCTGACAAACCAGTGATCAATAGTGTGAGTGCCAACCATGTGGAGGTGCCACAGCCGCACCCAGGCAGCAGGAATCTCACGGATACTTTTATGGCTTGATAAATATATCCTACTAGAAACATGTTAAAGAACACCATCAAGGCTGTTACAGTACCCACCAGTGACTACAGATTAACTATGGCCATATGAATAAATCAGGTACACTTCACTGCTTTGGAGGAGAGTGTATCATCTTCTGCATTATATTTCCCAAAACATGTGGCAAATGTTGGAATTGGTGATTACTATAGTAACAAGAAGACAAAGTCATCAATATCCCCCTCAACGGCAAAATAATATTTATGAATATGTCTACTAATTATGATTATGTCAAATGTTTTGGAGTGAGTGAGTGAGTTTGATTTTACGCCGCTTTTAGCAATACTCCAGCAACATCACGGCCGGGGAACACCAGAAATGGGCTTCACACATTTTGCCCATGTGGGGAAATCGAACCGGGTCTTCAGGCGTGACAAGCGAACGCTTTAACCACTAGGCTACCCCACCGCCCCTCAAATGTTTTGGAGTGTATACAGCAAAGTGGAAGGAGAGTATTGATAGGTTTTTAAGATCTGCTCCAGAAAGGAGCACTAACAGTTGAAGCCTAACTTGTCGCCATGGGAATACAACAAGATGACATCCTCATAGTCACAGCCTGTCATGTTTCCATGGAAACCACAAAAATAAAATTCATATATGGGTCTAAACCCCAAAAGGCACATCTAGGGATCATGGTTGACATGTGTACCAAGTTTGATGAAGCTAGCATGTATAGTTTGGAAGATCTGCTCCGGACAAGATGACATCCTCATAGTCATAGCTTAAGTCATGTTTCTATGGAAACGCAAAAAATATAATTCGCATCTGGGTCTAACCCCCACAAGGCACATCTAGGGATCATGGTTGACATGTACCAGGTTTGGTTAAGCTATCACAAATAGTTTAGGAGATTTGCTTTGGACAAAATGTGACGTACGCACGGACAGACACACGGACGCATGGAACTCGTTTCTATATCCCCCGCAACTTCGTTGTTGTGGGGGATTACTAATTACCCGTATATATATGAGAGTGACAATGTGTTATGTCATAAATTCTGCTGCCAGATCACCAATTATCTTTGATTACTGTTGATGGTTTTCTGGACAACATTTGCATTATACTTCACCTGATCATTTTGGTGGAATCTGGTTCTAAATACTGAAATGATTTTTCAAATAATCAATGTTCTAGCTATTTTAAAGGCCTGTAAATAATCAAGTCTGGACGAGTGCTTGACAATATGGTTGCATGACAACCTGCCACCATTGAAGTCACCAAGCTTGACCACCCATATGGTCAGGTCCTGCACCATGACCAAATCAAGCCTAACCATCAGACAGACAAGTGTAGGCTGGTGGACACATGCTACCCCTCCCCGACTTGCTGTTCGCCAACCGACTCACAATGCCATTAGACATAAGATGATGCCACTGAAGTTTGCGACCACTGTGCTTCTGTTTGTAGAACTCTTCCACCTGCGGAATATAGTCTTCCAGTTCCATGGGAAGCGACACAGCTACTCTGTCGCTAGACCGCGCCCACGCCCCCTGCGTTCAGGATCTTTATGTTTATTGCATCTGAAATAGTAACATTATTGTTTAATGAATTCATATACCACCTTCACCTCTTTAAACAGATCCAAATCATTTGGGGTATTAAGTTCCAGGCTTTAATGTTGAAGATAACAATACAGTATTTTGACTATTTTGCCAAACTGATAAGAAAGTCAACAGATTGTGTTGACCTACCTCAAGGATGTACACAGTGTGAGTGAGTGAGTGGAAGTGGAACAAAGAACTCTGTGACATGACAGAAAGAACTCTGTGAAGACTGTGAACAACCCAAATCCAAAACATCTCAATAACGTCAAGCCATTCCTCAAACAGTTTCATTTTAGTAATGGCCATATACTAACAATATAAATCCACTATTCACACCTGTGTCAAAATGTCATGGAATCATCTAAACAAAGCTCACCTGCCAATCCTTCATTGTTGTTTCGGTGGGCGTCCTTGAACTCGTTGTTGAGGTCCTCACTGACCTTGATGTCCTGGAACATCCTGGCCAGCTTGTTGACATAGTCTGCTGGCATACCAACCTCCTGTGGGTAGAACATAAACATGAGCTACAGCATGCATCAAACTATATTGATCAGGATTAACACTCACATAAGCTGAACCAGATTACCCCCAACCCCAAGAATGTGTAACATTTGTAATTTCTGGGAATGAGATATATTCTGCATATCTGCAACACATATTATTCAATATTTTTCTCTTAACTAGGGGAATCAAACCCTGGTCTTCAGGGGTAGGGGTGGGGGTGGGTAATGAGGATGATTTATATGGAGCAATGGGAATGACTCCCCCATAAAATTCATGTACAAGGTAAGTGCCCCCACCCCTCCCATGTCCCCATGTCATGTACAAAATCAAAGACACACCCCCACCTTCCCATAATTTTTCAGCATAATTCTTTAACATTTTTATGTTTTTTATGTACAAAATTGCTGACCCCCAAGAACATGTGTACAAAATTGATGACAGAATTATTGTGCAGAACAAAATGGGTGACCCCCCTTAAAATCATCATCACCCCTGTAGCCATAAATTAAGAACAGACCCTAACGGCCATGGTGCCCCCACAAGACTGGGCTGAGACTTACCCTCAGCCACTCCACCATGTTTTCTTCCTTCTCATTGTCCGCGGACGTGTCCAAGATGAGCCGTCGTGTCAGGTGAGCTTTATGGTACCGCATAAACACGTCTTTGTTCATCACATACTTTAACACTAATAACTGAAACGGTGGGAAAGAGAAACATCAGTTTTGCATGTTGAACATTCTTAGCCATAACAAAATAGTTATTTAGTACTTGAAACTGGGCAGATACAGCAAGAAGTAAGGAACTGTTTTCATGTAGGAATAATGTGAGGTGAAGTGAAATTGGGTTTAACGTCGTACTTCAGAATATTTCGCTCACATGACGCAGTGCATGCGTGTGTATGTGTGGCTGCTTGTACTAGCCCAGATTTAAGCTGGTCTTATAGTGCTAGCTCACTGAGATACCATGCCGCAGTTAAGCATGAATACCCCACTCAGACACATTATACTGACTCCGAGCCGACCAGTCCTTGTTGTACCCATTAATGCCGAAAGCCCTAGGCAGGGACCAACAAGTTCCATATTTTAACGTCTTTTGGTATGAAACGGCCGGGGATTGAACCCACGACCTTCCGCTCTCCGGGTGGACATTCTAACCACTACACCACAGATGCGGTTCGTGTATGAACAAGCATTGTCACTAAGGTGACATAATCCCCTGCAAAAATTATTAAATCAAACTTAAAAAGTAATGAAAGTTTAAGATGAAGTTAAATGTCAACAAAAACATGACCAGTCAACCTCTCTTGATATCTTGCTCTTTAGTTGTTCAAACACACAAATATTTTCAAGACTGACTTTGACCTTGATATGAATGTCATAGTGTATGAAATAAGCAAAAGTGGTACTAAAGAAATTGCTTATTGAAAGGGAAGTCTTGAAAGTCTTTGAAGAAAATTCAGGGAATTCAGGTTAACATGCTGAAATCTTCAAAGTGTCGCAGTGACCTTGAAAATTAAGTGAAGGTCACCAAAATCGACTGGGCCCTGTGCCTTCGCTAGATAAAGCTTGATGTCAAATATAAAGAAAATCCAGAGAATGGTTCTTGAGGTATCTCGCTGACAAGCATAACAAGCAGGTTAATATGCTGAAATCTTCAAAGAGTCGCCATGACCTTGAAAATTATGTGAAGGTCACCAAAATAGACTGGGCCCTGTGCCTTCCCTAGATAAAGCTTTGTGTTGAATATGAAGAAAATCTAGTTACCGGTACTTGAGATATCTTGATGACAAGCGTAAAACATTAAAGTCCCATTGTGACCTTGAAATGAAGGTCAAGGTCACCAAACCTGACTGGGAACTTTCTTATACTGTGATGAACCTAGGTACCAAATACGAAAAGAATCTAGTCAACGGATCTTAAGATATTCCAATTCGTACATACGTACGGACGGAGCCTAATACTATATAATATAATAGCAATAATAATAAAAACATCCCACAAGACAAACATATGTTTCAACATTTCATTACATTTGCTTTTAAGTGAAGCATCATCATGATAGAAAACACTACAATTTACAAGAAACTTAAGATGAATTCTAATTACAATGTGAAGAACCTTGTAGAATCAATCAACTTACAACATCTTTAAGTTTCTTCTCGACTTCTTCAGAGGTTAGTTTTTTACTGAGGGGAGTTTTCCGCAGCAACATATCACAGTAGTTAGCCAGGAGCTCCGGACACTTGGACTCCGGCTGTGTCTTGGTGCCCACTCTGTAACACAAACCAGTGCATCATGCCATGCAAAACATGCTGGCCTTCACTTACACAGACAATCAACTGAGTTTCTACATATTGTATATTGTGTAAGGCTCACATAAGGCCATTGTAAGTAGCATTAGATTGTATCCTAGTTGCTGCTCACTATCAATACCCTGACATCACATCATCTCCCAGACCCCAGAATACCTCCAGATGAAGACACTACATATCAGTAGCTGCCTGAAAACACTTCAGTAACAGCCGATGTTACTACAATAAGCAGCTTCTACCTTTGGTGACAGGTGTACCAGTTAGCTAGGCTTGACTGGATACATGTTGTGTTCAGTTATTTAAAAAACCTGATATATTTCATACAATCGCAGAGAGTTTAGTCAGTTGGGTGTTAAGAGAGTTCAAGTTGGGCAAGTGTGGCTGTGTGGACATTTGTCTCCACTCTGAACTGTTTGAGTATACTATATTCTTACTGCTAATTAGGACACTTTGGATTCCCAAATGATTTTGAGACGACTCAGAATTCAAACCAAACAGTTCAACAGATTCAACCACAGACGATAATAAATATGAAAGGATTTCCCAGGGATCGAAGCCATGTTTGACACAACCAAGACTCCAAGAACCTGACATGGGATTTTGACACGCCTATCACTCAAACCATCCAATAATCTTAGCATCAACTTACCCCTTGTTTTTCAATGGAATTTCTAACTTGAATACTGATGTGTCGTTTACTACACTCTTATAGGCCTGAAAAGAGAGAAAAATAGACATGAGATGTTAACAGCATAACTGTATGTGTCCTGAGTTAATCAACATTAACATTTACACAGTGGGGTATCTGTCCCCCAACATAAAAATGTTAAACGCTCAACAGATTATCAAGTTTGAGTACCTTGTCTCTTGACGTGAGGAAGCGTGGGTCATCGCTGAAGGCTTCTCGTACCAGGGTACTGAATCGGTTGAATAGGTCAAGCAGCTGCTCAACATACTTCTCGGAATCCTGAAACATACAAGAAATGGAAAATAATCACAACAAACTCTGTAACCTAAACATTACATGTTACACAATCAGACGTTTATGACTCTCCGATTTACTCGACTCATATGACATGGATCGGTTACTGTGGAGCGATTCGATCCAATCCCTAGCAATCCTAACCCAGACTTATTGGACTTACTGAGGTGATTGTCTCGGCGGAGGCCATCATGTCTGCCAGGCCTTGACTGATGATATGTGACTCTAGGTCGTGCAGCATTGGTGTGATGCCATCTGCCACTCGGTCCATCAGACTGAACATCAACCGCAACTCTGAAACATGCAACATACATACTTACATTGCACTAAACTCTAGTTGTCTGGTCACTAGGGTGACAAGAAAATCTATGGCTGAAATGTAAACAACACAATCCTTTATCATCAGTTCAGCAATGTGAGTAGCCACAGAACAGACGTCAAGTCAATGTCAATTAACAAACAAGCACTAAGGTGATATAGCCTTCCCCAGATAAAGCTTGGTGTCAAATATGAAGAAATCCAGTGACCGGTTCTTGAGATAGCTTAACATGCAGGTAAAACGTTAAGCGTCCCCTTGTGACCTTGAAATGAAGGTCAAGGTCACCAAACCTGACTTGAACCTTTCTTATACTGTGAGGAACCTAGGTACCAAATATGAAAAGAATCTAGTGAACTGTTCTTAAGATATTCCAATTCGTACGATACGGACAGAGCCTAATACTATATCCCCCACTTCTCGCTAAACGCTCGGCGGAGGATAACAAGACATGTGTAATGAACAAAGAAAGCAGGCCCAATATCAGCATAGAGTGGCATTGCTTAAGTCCAGGCTGGAAACTTACTCTCTGTCTCATTGTTCTTGATCATCAATGCACATTCTTGTAGAATCGTCTCCTTGAAGTCGGTCACCAACACCCGCACACAACACTCTGTCAGCTGAAGGAATTAATCATCAACATCATCACCATCATCATCATCCCACTACAATAACAACTACTACTAACACTACCACTAAATGAGAGACGATTAGTGACTAACTCCAACATCTACCTTAGAATGGAAACCATTTTGTAAGGATAACTTGTCCTGACACATGTTTCGTAACGTTTAGAGACCTGGGAGATCTAGCACACCAGATTCTGGAACTTGGACTTTCCTAATGTTCAAAAGATGGTAATAGAGAACAAGTGTTTGCCACTAATGTGGCAATGTCCCCCGCTGCTAAAGAAGAATGAAATATTTCAAACGTATTGACTACTTGTTATTTTTTGGTCACATACGAGATGCCTGAAATGACTGGAGTCTTCACAATCACCCATTGCAGGCTGTCGACATAATGGAATACATTGGGTGCAATGTTTTATGAGATATCGTGTTTACATCAGTTTGAAAAGCGGTCAAAGTGTCACAGTCACCTTGAAGATAAGGTCAAGGTCACCCAAATCAACTGGCCCCGATTTCTCGAAACAAACTTAAGTTTTTACTCAAATTTCAAACTGAGTTTGACAATTTGAAACAGCTGAATTTTTAACTCAACTGCATTTTTTAAATAAAAAAAGCCCAAACAACTTAAGTAATCTATCCACCAAACTCAAATTGTCTACTAAGTTTGAGTTTATTATTGATTTCAGTTTATTCTGGGAAATGCATTTTACTGCGTTTTCTCAAATTTGAGTAAAAACACAGACTTAAGTTTGTTTCGAGAAATCGGGGCCTGGTGTCTGTGTAATCCCCCAATGTAAGCTGTCACCAAATTTTAAGACATTGGGTACAACAGTTCATGAGGTATCGCGTTAACAAGAATCAGGACGTATGTAAGATGTAAGATGTACGGACGCTGCTGAATTGATTTTGAAGATGACATTCTTGCGTTGGGGGGGGGAGGAGGGAGAGAAATCACATTGTACAAGCTTCTTCATAAAAATCATCATCATCACCCCCTAGCCATAAATTATGAACGGTCCCTAAAATCCTTTTGGTGTGGATGAAACCATTCACTTTTGCTTCTTAGGTTATAGTCTTAGATGACAAAATAGTGAAAGCAAAACAGACACAGGCACATGGACAACTGACAATACACAGTGACATGATATTATTTTCTGTCAGCTGAGCTTAAGCTAATCATATCTTTCTTTTCAAATGACCAAAGCTAATTGGTAAGTGAAAAACTAAAGCCCCACGTAAACATATAAAAAGTGTATCGACTTACAGCTGCGACTGAGTTACAGCCATACCCCGTCTCGAGGTACCTGCGAGCCCTAGCCTCCTCCTCCTTCAGCTTGGAGTCTGCGTACCGCATGTAGTTCTGTACACCATTGTCCTCCAGGTACCGGGGGGCCTTCACCTTGTAGAATGCTTCTGTCGCCTCAAGGTAGGCCTTCTCAAAATTCTCACGATAAATCTTTAGTTTGTCTTCTACATCAGAACTTAGGTTAACTGTAAAATAATAACACATAAAAAGAGAAATTAAATAGGCACTTTTATGTAAAGTATGTTATATTCATATCAGCTTTCCTCAGAACAAAACTTACACCTCGACCAAAACAGAAAATACGAGAGTAGTCTCTATTCAACCACAGGAAATCCAACACCACAGTTAAATAGATAGTTGTAAATACAATTTGTGAATACAGTAAGGGACGTTTTTAAAATGGAAATGCTAACTAATAATCATTTAGACTTGAATGTGTTTCAGTGTTATCATTTTGTAAGGCATACGATTCTAGCTAAAGCACTTACCATATGACTCTCGGACACCTATAACAAGCTGTGAGTCGAACGCTTCTCCATTCCTCTCTGCATGAACTAGTTTCATGGCACTGTCCTGCAGGCGCTGCTTGATGTTGGAGAAGATACTCAGATTCCAGCTGTCAAGCATCAGCTGAAACACATGCATCATGTCACACACCTGTCTTGACCAAGGTCGTCAGAGGACCCATGCTTCATCCTCTGACGGATTCCAGTGTTAAAATCACTGAGATCTGGAGGGGCATGCTGCTATGTAGTTCCCCAGGATAACCAGCATATATAACTAGACTCTGGGGTTTCCCAGAAGGACTTGCCTTCATTGCTAGACTCAGTGGTTCCCCAGAAGGGCTTGCCTTCATTGCTAGACTCAGTGGTTCCCCAGAAGGACCTGTCTCCAGAAGGACCTGCCTTCATTGCTAGACTCAGTGGTTCCCCAGAAGGACCTGCCTTCATTGCTAGACTCAGTGGTTCCCCAGAAGGACCTGCCTTCATTGCTAGACTCAGTGGTTCCCCAGAAGGACCTGCCTTCATTGCTAGACTCAGTGGTTCCCCAGAAGGACCTACCTTCCTAACAAGGCTCTCCTCGCCTCCTTGTGCCTTCTTGGGCATGCTGCTGTGTAATTTCCCTAGTAGGTTGGCCTCTAGCTGGTTGAATGGCTTGGGCAGGTAGTTACATTGAGTGAAGAACTTGCCCCACTCCGCGATGTATGCTCGCAACAAGGCTGAATCTTCCTTGTGTTGAAGCACACGCTGCAAACAAGAACATGAATGAGAGAGAATTCTAGGATGCGGGTTCATAACTACAGCACACACTGTCAATAGGATGTTGAGGTCTGAAGTATTTGTTAGACTCAGCAGTTTTCCAGAGGTCAGAGGTACTTACTGTTTGTGCCTGTTTGATGAAGTCCAGAATGTCATCCTGTAGTGCTTGGTAGATTTTTGGTGGTCCGTCTTTCTCATCCCACATACATACAGAATGTACGGCCCTGAACAAACAGAAGAGTATACTACAGTGTCTACCCTGTAGTCTTACACACAAAAAGCTACCTGGGTCTATCAACTGTCAGGCTTAGGACATTCAGCAATATTTTGGTAAGAATTAGCGGTCAAGGGAATATGATAATGTGCCTCCAACACTAAGAAATGGAAACCTGAGTGGGCTAGATGGCTGACCCAGAGTGCTGGTGATTAGGTGTCTGACTCTGTGGGACTCAACCTAACAAAAGTACTAGAATCTGTACTTTACTGAAAAAGTGTAACTCCAACTATAACATGTGTTACAGTTGTCTTCTCCTGGAGGTGACTTGCATTTCACTGATAACAGGACCAATAAAGAATAAGCTCAACGTTGCTGTTTTGAATGAAATTTTAAAATTCAATCTTAGAATATCTCTGATCATATTTTAATGATGTTGAGTAAGTGAGTGAGTTTAGTTTTACGCCGCGTTTAGCATTATTCCAGCAATATCATGGCAGGGGACACCAGCAATGGCCTTAACACATTGTACCAATAAAGATGTTAAATGGAAATGCAAATTTTGTACAAAATAATAATATTTTTCATAATCTGCTCTTGGAATGTGTGTCCCTGGGCTAGTTGACTCTAAACTCATAGAATTGGGGTGTATTCTGTCCTGGGAAATACATTTATGGCGGAGAGGGTGACTTTAACATCACATCTACAATATTATATTCTATTTTAACTATCAAGTTACTGAAAATGACTGCTGTCCACTCCGCAATGTTGAGGAATGCTGGGAAACAGGAAGCATGTGACTTACCAGAAGAGTCCATGCCACTCATCACGTGTGACGGCCTCTTGTCGAAGCAGCTTGAGGACGGTCGGCCGCATACTTGGCCATTTGTCCTCAAACTTACACTGCCCTTGTTGCTGAAACGAAAACTCTATCATCAGCGAGTGGGCACAGGAACCAGTGAAATAAATGAGTAAACAAACAAGTGAACGAATGAGTCGAGTTTAATGCAGCTTCAGAAAGTCATATCCAGCTGAGCATAAGGTGCATCATTATCCGGTGTGTCATAATCCTTTCCTCAGATTCTACAGGAAAACGTGTTTCATCTCTGCGTAGTTATTTCTATTGTTCAGTATTCTTATTTCCATTGTAATGGTGAGTGAGTGAGTCAGTCAGTCAGTCAGTCAGTCGGCGGATTACTTTTAACAAATTTCAAGCCAACATGTGGGGACATCAGTGTACCATTCTGCCGTCATATGTTGACATTTTGTAAAGCGCAATGCACCTGAGATATCTGTAGAAAACTTGTCAACAATGGCCCATTCACCTGGCAGCCATAGCTGGAAATGGTTACTCCTATTAATGACATTGCAATCCTTAACATAGACATGTGCTAAACTGTATCAAACCAATGTGCACACTACTGTCTGGATTTACAGGGTTTCACTGCATGTCAGTTGTTGTTACCCATGATAGTCCTGGGTCCCATCCCCCAAAGTGATTGTAGCACTAAGACAATCATAACTCCCACACTTTAACGATAACAGACACTTATGACAGTTGTACCACTACAATTGCTTCATAGGCTGGTGTCCTGAACATATTTATTATAAAGGGTGACATAGTCCACATCCATGGTGGGCGTGGTGGCGAGCTAGCTAAGGCACCAGACCCAGCAGGCATGAGGTGCCGGGATGAAGCCCACCTGTGACTGGGTGTAAAAACCTTGGAGTCAACTTTGTGTGCAGACTCTTTCAGTGTTGTCACAACCCCTAGTGTACAGTATATGACCAGATGGTGGCCACATGAATACGCACAAACACCTAGTTGTGGGTACAGCAACGTGCAGTAAACTTGGACAAAATACTATGACTATGTGTCCAAGTCCACCCAGCTGTGAATGGGTACCTCGTAAGGATGGGAAGACGCAATAACTTGGTGCACCTTGTGGCAGCAAAAGTTGTATGATCCCAGGGAGTTGAGATTGATAATAAGATGTGCCGTTGAGATTCACATCCAATGATCAAGGGATGAAAATACCAGCGCCTTGAGCATGCACTAGTGCGTGGATATGTGCGCTACATAAATATCCAATAATAATAATAACATCCATAATGCAATGACACAAACCCCTTAACATATGACACCTTGAAACAAAGTTAGGATTAATCTTGGTGTTCTGAGGTCAAGACCTAAGTCCATATCTACAGTAAATATTCCAGTCAAAATAATTACAGTTTGTACTTATCAAGGCTAATTTGTGTTTCACTTAGAACCATGTTAACAGGATCAACAAAGAGATCAGGGCTTTAATGCTTTGCTATACTTGTTAATACTGTAGCATTAAGTGCAGACTGAATGCAACTCTAAATTGTCCTGGTGGGAAATAATGACCTTACAAATAAAATCCAATTCCAGAAGGATTTCACATTCTCCTGGCCCTTTGCTTAATGTCCTACACTAGCCTGCACTAGTCTGTACAGAGATTATAATTTATATACCTCAGATAGCAATCACCAATCATGCTAACAATGATGAACATTAACCTACATCAAGTTTCATTTGTTTGTTGTTAAATACTGAACTAAAACATATTCCAGATGGTGGCCTCAATATTACCGAGTATGGTCGAGACAGTCCTGTACCAGAATCACTGAACATCATCTATGCAACTGCTATAGTGAGTGAGTATGATTTTACACCGCTTTTAGCAATATTCCAGTAATATCACGGTGGGGGGCACCAGAAATGGGCCTAACACATTGTACCGATGTAGGGAATCGAACCCAGATGTTCAGCGTGACGAGCTTAACGCTTTGACCACTAGGCTACCCCAGCCCTGCAACTGCTATAGAATGACCCAATCATATGAATCAGCTCTTACAACAAGGATGGGTTGCTGGAGATCAATTCTATCACAGATCTTCACAGGGGTCAATGTCATGTGGAAGTACACAGATATGTGTATCACATGCACAAGGTACGAAGCTACAACTAGTACAATCAGCTATTTTAGCTTCTCCTTAAAGCCCAAATCTGCTTCCAATTTGTTTTCAGTTGTGTGATGAATGAGTTTAGGTTTATGCTGCTTGGAGCAATATTGAAGTAATATCACAGCAGGGGGACACCAGAAATGGGCTTCATAGATTGTTCCCATGTTTGACAATCAAACCCTGGCTGGAAAATAATGTCAAGCTTTCAGTCTGGTACACTGAAAAGAACAAACAATAGTCACACAAGATCAGACAGATGCTACATTCACAGACTGAGCCTAAAATGTACAGAAAAAGAAGAAGAGTTCAGTCTAGTACACACAGCAGTATACATAACAGTCACACCTCCTGTCTGAGCAAACAGGGAGTAAATTCAAATCATAAATCATAGAATACCAGAACAATAGAAAGGACTAAACAAAACAGAAACAATATCATGGTAAACAGTATCATGTAAGAATCGTAGGGAAGGATTACGAAGCACCTTATAATCAGCGGGGTATCAGGTTAGGATTAAGTACTAATTACAAAATAAGTAAGAACATGAACATCTATATCTATACACAAGTGATGACCAAGGTTACTGGTTGATAACCTTACCCAAAAAACATACATGCCATTAAATCGCTACAAAGCTTGAAGCCCAAGTTCATGTCATCACTAAAACAGTTTTTCGATAACCGATTGTTTTAAGTAACAACAATATTTGGTAATAAGTTTTGTACAATAACATAATGATTGTTCATATAATTTTCCAAATACATAGGTACATGATTACTGAGCAAATACAAAACAATCATATTTGTCAATGACTAAGCCATATTTTAGACAATCATAGATCTAATCATTCTGGTCCTCTTGATCAAAATATTATAATTGTGGATTATCATGCAAATAATAGAACGGCTGACATTAATTATTCTGACATGTGGTGGCTGTCATAGCTATAACAAGACAATATATTCACATCCTATATTTCACAATCAGTCAAAACATCAAATTTACTGAATCGGCATGGTCACGTTTAGAAAATACACAGCTTCATATTTCGATAAAATAAGATCCAGAATAAAAGCATTGATGAGTAAGAATAAGATAATTAACGGAGTTCGATAAACAATGGTATAACAGAGTCACGACACAGTTACAATGTCATTGATCAGTAAGTTAACTCACTCCTAACATCGCCATGATTTCTTTATGTTCTCGCGAGAATATGCGATTTTAGCCGGTGCAGTCACATTTCCTTGCCATGAAATTTAATCCGCACCACCTGCCATTTTCATCTGACGTTTTGCCACCTCACGAAAATATGAATCAAACTAATATAACCAATCGATAAATTAAGTGCTTTTTTTACTGAAAACTCATAATTTAAAAATGGTAAAGATTATTGCAGCTACTTCCATTTTTGCCAGTACACATGAATGGTTATAGTAGCGAGGGATTTCTGATATGCAACAACCAGATATCTGTTAACCTATAAAGCAGCGTATGAAATAAGCCAAAAACCAAGCCAGACATCAAGGCTGGTAACTTCTAAATGTTACCAGCACAAAATGGATTTAACCATACCAGACACCAAGATATGGTGAATTTACTCAGATTTTACCAGACAATCGGGCTGTCTAGCTGTAACTTTAGACCGTCCATCAGAAATCTAGCCCGTCTCGGGCGGTCGGACAGGCCTTATTTCATACACTGTATAAAGTAAAATTTTCTTTTATTCATTTTGTTTTATGTTGTGTTTCTTTTTTTGGTTTGTGGGAAATGTGTGGTGGGATGGACTTCTTGTTTCGTTTTATACATTTGTGTACATTTTATTATTTTCGGGAGTGTGGTTGTCTTTTCTTTGTTGCTGTTTTCTTTATTCATAACTTTAAAACATGGTTTCGTATAAAATAGATAAACTGTAACATCCCACATCACATCTCTTACAAGCTGTCACAAAAATATTGTTTAGCGTGGTTTGTTTTCAGGAAATACACCCTTGTACATAACTTTCACTTAACAGACGTTCCGCTATTTTGTTTTCAACGAGCATAGTTATTTTGTTTTATATTCTTCTAAAACCAGGAAGCGCTTAGTAATTGTTATTGATATAAGCAATACCTGAGTCAGTCAGCACTTTGTTCCCACAGAGACTCAGGTCATTTCACGCTCCAGCCGTCGTAACATGCCTATCTCCAAATGATTACATGTAGAAAAAAGGCTAGCTAGCTGTTAACGAGTACCCTAGGTGACTTATCACACAGAGAAAATGTCTCATACAGAACATCTTCGCCCAACTTGGACAATCAGGCGGGGAGAGTAGTTCTCATACCTTTTGCAAAACAAACAACGTGGAATATTCATGACATATGCGTTGGCATAAATTACCAGTCAGTGAGTCTTGTTACGTTTTATGTCCCAAAATAGGTAGAGGGGGGTGATACTTTCATTTAAAAAAATATTATTTTGAGATGAAATTGAGGTGGTATTGCTGAAAGGGAAAATGATATATTTCCCCCGAAACGTGAATGAAAGCCTCCAGTGGAAAGGGCGATAACTCAGACAGACGAACGATCATTTTTTAACAGGCAACATTTAGAAAGTACACCGGTACAGGAAGAAACATGGCGACAGATACATCAAACGAAGAGCCATCTCAATCAGGCATTCCTCAGACTGAATTTGTGGTAAAGTTTCATTTAAATGTCAACAAACGTAAATGCCGATATTTCAAGACTTAAAAGGCATAATATGTGTTGGTAGATAACAATGTTTTTCGACATTTCAGGGGCATTTGTAGGTGTGTACCCAACACGTGCGTGCATGTTCGCTGTCAGTCTTCAGGTTGCTTCTGATCTATTTATATCGAAACACCCCGACAACCATAGCCTTTCTCAACGTACAGGAACCGACATACTGTATCCGATCTTCTTTTTCTGAGCCAGTTTATCTGAAATGTGTTCGCATCATCAAACTGAAGTACGCTGTCATGGAGACGTCAGTTTACAGGTTACTGAACTGAAACCAAGAAAATAGAACTCCTCAAAATGTTGCGTTAAATGGTTTTATGGCTCCAGAGTCTAGTTTCAAGTCATTTCTAATACAATGTACTCTTAAAAAAGTTTGTTAACAGCGTCATGTTTCTGAAATAAACCTGTACCCATTTTGTTGTCATTGTACTCAAGAAGTAAAGTGAGATTGCTGAACAAAGAGCCAATTTTAATTATTCCATTATCATGCTTATATTTGGCATAACATAATCCGGTGATGAGAGACAACAATATGAAGCTTTATGTCCAAATATGGAATTGATTTTCAACATTAGCAAGTATTTACAAAAGTCCCATGAAGATTTGGTTTAGAATTGGTCTTTAACAACCCATGCCTATTTGTAAGAGGCAACTAATGGTATTGGTGGTCAGATTTTCTGACTTGGTTCATGCATGTCATCGTGTCTCAATTGCACAGATCAGAGAGAACTTTGTGTCTACAGCATCATGCATATAGGCGATGGGCCTGATTCTGAACTTGTAAACTGAACCTTATATGAAGCTTCCAGTAACTTTTCTGAATAGTTCCAACTTATACAAGCTTTTACAATTGGTATCTGTCATTACTACCACTTGTCTCAGCCTGGAATGTGGGCCTACCTTTAGAATACAGCACCATAAACTTTAAAAATACGTCATAATACTCTTTTACGTAATGTAATGTGATTTTGTTCGAAAGCACGTTCTCGAAACAATGCCCTATGACGCCTGCATGGCAACACGGTTGTCTGGCTCAGCGAGTGCGTTTAAGCTCCGCTCACTGGTGTTTCATCTCTACGAGCTATGTCATTGCATAAGCCCAACGATGTTGAGAGTTTCCAGTAGTTGTATACCGGCGGATGCGCAATATTTTGCAAGCACCAGTTTGAAATATTTTTCTTTTTTCACTAATACGCTCATATTTATTTGTATTACGGGCTGCTGAGGTGTTATGTTTTGTGTATTTTGTAATTTTTTAAATTTACATATATATTTTTGTGATTCAGTAATTTGCACCATTACATAGAAAAGTGTTTTATTAGTATTTTATTTTTTGAAGCGGTAATAATGCATTACACTAGACACGCCAGTCGGTTTTTTGCCGGTTCGGGTCAATGCATTCTATTTATTAGGATTAATTCAAGGGATTAGGGTTAGGGCTAGGGCTAGGACTAGGGTTGGGGTTGGGGTTGGGGACCTCATGCAGTATAGTAGGTACATGTCCGGTGGTTCGGTCAATGCATTCTATTTATTAGGATTATTTCAAGGGGTTAGGGTTAGGGACCTAATCCAATATAGTTGGTACATGTCCGGTGTAATACGTGAGTACCATTTGTTGTTTTTCCTTTTTGCATTTTAATACTTTTTTTTTCACACAAAAACGGGAAACCAAAAACGTCGAAAGTACATTATGAAATGGGTTAATGTAGAAATTTTGGGCTAATGGAATTTGGCCTGGAATTTGCACTCAAGCCTCTTTCACACGCAACAGAAATTTTGTAAAGTAATGATTCGAAGGCTAACTCACCCTCGTGCCGTCACTACACATGCTCATGTCTCCCTCGTTCCTTAGTGCGATCCACGTTATCCTTACAGTGTTCCCTATATCACTTTTCTGTCACAAAATCACCGATTCATATAAAAGCGTGTCATTCATGCATGCACCGTGAAATCTACGTTTGACGTCAACAACCCTTTTCAGTTTGAGGCATATCGGCTCATTCCACGCCACACGTTAATTTGTAGATTACGGAATGGGACGAGTGTGCCAAATGGCATCGGATCCATTCGGCAATTGTCCGTAGAATAAAATCACGAGACACCAAGTCTACCTGTAGCATTCGTAATTGTCCGTGACCTATTCGACTCTTTCCGTTCATTTCCGTGACGTCACAGGAATGACTTGATAAATTTGCACATTGTGAAACAGTGTGGACGTAGCTCAGTCGGTTAGCTGTCGAGCTAACAATCCGAAGGTCGTGGGTTCGCGTCCGACAGGTTCTCACAAACTGGTTGCTTGTCTTAATGACACGTGACCTACGGCAGAGTTGTGGTGCTGTATTCTAAAGGTGCTCCTAATGATTCGAAACAATAGTTCTGAATAGTTCCAACTTATACAAGCTTTTACAATTGGTATCTGTCATTACTACCACTTGTCTCAGCCTGGAATGTGTAATTTGGAAATGTCAGTTTTTCTACCTGTTAGAAAAATCATGTTGGCTCCTGTTTTGATTTTCATGTTTTTTTGCATGCAGGAAACAAATTGGTTCCTAAGGAATACAAATATACCAAGAGGGCAGTTGCATAAAGCCACCAGTGTTATGCTTGCTTCTACTGTTGCTATGTGTTGTGCAGGAAGATGTGGAGGCGTTCATGAAGCGAGCTGACAACAATGAGTCTGCAGAGGTGGTGCTCAAACGACTTGATGAGATGCACAGTAAATACAAGTTCATGGAGTATAACCTCAACACAAAGAAAACTAGGTGATGCCTTATTACAAATGTCTGTTTCTGGTAATGGAACCCAGTTCCAAGGTAGCTAGGTAGGGCTGTTTGTCCAGGGTTCACGTTCGCAAATTAAGCTTGGTGCTGAGATTATCAGAACTCTGTTGGTGTAATGCAGAGTTACAATAATCAGAGTGTTACAATAGCTTTCTGCCAAATGGCCTAGCTGATATTTGAATTTTTTTTATGATTATGGACAGATAAACTTGCTGATTTTAGGGGGCCTATACATGGAATATTAGGAGTGGTGAAACACCTTTCCCAGTTGTCCTGTGAAAGGTTGCTTGAAACAGTTTTGTTTTGTAGCCTAAGATAACTGCTAGAATGGTCCATGCCAGGATTTTTACCGTGTCTACTGTGTTGAGTGAGCACAGTTTCACTGTTTGCCCAATAGTCTGAAATACTTTTCTCTGCTGTCTGGGTTGACCAGTTATGTCAAATACTTTTGTCCATTTCAGGTTAAAGTCCCAGATTCCTGATATAACAACCACTCTTAGCATCGTCAAACACTTGCAATTAAAGAAGGTAAGATGTTGTTGATGACTTTAGTTGTTTTATGTGCTGTGTTCTCCCTTCATAATATGGGTTGTACAGAGACAGAGGACGAGGTAGGATTAGGGTGTGTTTTAGTTAGGGCTGTAACGAATACACTATGTGGCGAATATGATACGTATCACGAATATTGGGTAACGAATACAAATAATTATTCATGAATACAATATTGAAGTTAAGTGATTGATGCACAATATTGAATGCCCATGTTGACAGTGTTAATTTGTCACAGCAATAACCAGTGATCTCATGACTCTCAAATTTGGTATCTAATAGTTATAGCTGACAGTAACATGTGCGGCCTTGGAATACTAACATGACTTGCGGTACTACAAGGCTAGTACATATTTCATTCTTGCATATCTCATTTTGAAAAAGGACATAAGGGTTCAAGTAAAACGGACACCTTTAAAAAAATTGTAAATATTCATGAATATTCGGTTCTGGTGGCCACGAATAACAAATTGAATTCATGAAGGGCTACGGTTCGATTCACTGAATACGGTCAGATTTGAAAAATGTAAATATCTGGGAGTGTAGTTTTTGTTCTTATATACATGTATGTACAATCACTTCAAAGTATTGGAAGACTGTAGCACAGTGGCAAGATTTTAACTCACTTTTCAACATATTTCAGAGAAGGGTGCTGCTGCTAACATGCCTTAGTCTTGTTGTTTGAAAAAAAGTGTTGTATCTTTCATTATCTCTTCCTATATTGAAAATCTCACTACACACTTACTTGAAGCCTATCTGTTGAAGCTTTTCTGTTTGGTTTCCAGGAATCCCCAAAGGCACTGGAAGCCAGCTTTCTTCTATCAGATCAGGTGTATGCTAAAGCAAAAATACCTCCCACGGATAAAGTTTGTTTGTGGTTGGGAGTGAGTATATGCTGAGTAGAAGTGTGCTGTCTCTTGGTGTAACATGTGTGAATCATTCTTCTAGAACAGTCACTTTAGCATGGAGGTGAATTGACTTTGTTGTTGAAAATACTCAACAGAAGGTCGCTTGGCTTACTTCGTAAGGAACTGTCGCATAAAACAGTTACATTTCATGGTTGTGTCAAATGTCCTTGAAGATCATTCACACTTCATGAAATTATTTGTAAATAGTTTCAGTCTGGAAGTATTTTTAGTATCTAAGATGATTTTCCCAATTCCTTTTGTAGTTTTCAGCGTCAGTGTGAAGTAGAAATCCTAAGTGCTTGTGATCTTATGTTTATGAGTACATCTATATATATTATTGCTGAGGTATGAAATGACAATGTGTAAAATGCTAAATTTTAAAATAATAATTGAGTGTTTTTCATCAAATCCTTAGTCTTTGGATTAGCAGTCTCACAGATTCGTTTGTTAACTGGTTCAGTCAATTCATGAATTCAGGAATCTTTACGTTTTGTGGAGTTACCTCCCTTGCTGTTCTATATTTCTTTCTAACCTGTTCATGTTTCATTTGTTTCAGGCAAATGTTATGTTAGAATATAACCTTGATGATGCCGAAGCTTTGTTAGAGAAGAATTTAAATGCTGCTAAGAAATCTTTGTCACAAGTAGAGGAGGACCTGGGTTTTCTTAGAGATCAAACTACGACATTAGAAGTCAGTATCCTTTCTCTGTGGAAGACAATAGGATTGTGTTGTACTGAAATCACACTTACATATTGTGCAAATATATCTTATTCTGTGGACACATTGCTGATCATGAGCTGAAATAATGTCCAAAGTAACCTATGCTTTTAACAACTTCTGGGGTGGTGGGGTAGCCTAGTGGTTAATGCGTTCACTTGCCACGCTGAAGACCCGGGTTCGATTCCCCACATGGGTACAATGTGTAAAGCCCATTTGTGGTGTCCCCCGCCATGATATTGCTGGAATATTGCTAAAAGCGGCGTAAAACCATGCTCACTCACTCACTTTTAAGAGCTTCTCCCCATGAAGGTCTGTGTAAGAATTGGTCCTCTGCAAGCGTTCTGGTTGTAGGAGGTGACTGAATGGATTCGGTGGATTCATGCTCATGATGTACATAACTGAATATTTCTCTGAATGAGGATTGGGAATACTACACTGTCATCAACCAAAGGTTTGCCGGACCGGAACCATGATAAAGCTGGAATATTGCTTTCTACAACATAAAATTGCAATTCCCTTAGTCACTGCAAAAATATAAATATGCCCAAGGACCACATCATGCACACAGAAGGTTGGTAAGTAGCCATGTTGAACACAGCAAGCTCTCAGATACATAGTGACGATAAGTTTTGTACAGTTGCAGCAAACCTCAACTAAACTCAAGGAGCTGAGGGCCATCTTCAGACGTTTTAGCTGACATATATACTGCTACCTTATTGCTACAACAGCGTGAAGCCACACTTGCTGGAGTATTGCTACAACAGCGTGAAGCCACACTTGCTGGAGTATTGCTACAACAGTGTGAAGCCACACTTGCTGGAGTATTGCTACAACAGCGTGAAGCCACACTTGCTGGAGTATTGCTACAACAGCGTGAAGCCACACTTGCTGGAGTATTGCTACAACAGCGTGAAGCCACACTTGCTGGAGTATTGCTACAACAGCGTGAAGCCACACTTGCTGGAGTATTGCTACAACAGTGTGAAGCCACACTTTGCTGGAGTATTGCTACAACAGCGTGAAGCCACACTTGCTGGAGTATTGCTACAACAGCGTGAAGCCACACTTGCTGGAGTATTGCTACAACAGCGTGAAGCCACACTTGCTGGAGTATTGCTACAACAGCGTGAAGCCACACTTGCTGGAGTATTGCTACAACAGCGTGAAGCCACACTTTGCTGGAGAATTGCTACATGAAACCATGTTTCTATAAAATATTCTTGCTACGGTAATGTTACATACATATATTTCCTAGCGCTGATGCCAGATTTATCTTTGTTGATTGTCTTGTGTTTTGCAAAGACTGAGTGCTGAATTTGTGTGTTGTTTCCTTGACCTAGGCAGATATGGCTCGCGTGTACAACTGGGATGTGAAGCGGAGACAAGGAACCAAGACGTCCCCAGCTGTCAAGTCGTAGCTGTGATGCTCCCTCATCAGCAGATATTCATGTGGAATATTACTAATCCATTTTGTCATCTGATGTACATGCCTGTATATTACATTGCCAATGTTTCAGTTTATGATGGCTGTGTTCAGTAAGGACTGAAAAGCTTAATTGTACAGATTTCTTTACTGGCTGCAGATGATGCTGAAGTGTGGTGGACTCTCTCAGTCTCTGTGATCGGTTACCATGGTTACATGAGTAATCGACGTCATACAGTGAAGGGGCTAGTAAATAAGTTGTGTAATTATCTCCCTTTGAACGTTTCCATTTGTCTTAAGGAACCAATGATTGGACAGAGATTGTCTCTGTGTTCACATTTCAAGATGTAATTTCAAATTCCACGTTCCACATATCTGTCCATGCAGTCTACTTCCGGATGTGTTGTTGTGTGTGCTATCAAAAGAATCTGATTTAGAACAATAACATTATGAAATGAATTATGTTTTTGGCATTCTTTGACTTCATCTTTGTTCTCGGTGCATTTCTTAGCTTTCCAAATTCTTATGTGTTAGGACTGATTCTGTCAAAGCCAGACTGGTACATGTATACCCTTTACTTCTCACAGAAAATAAATGCAAGCTAAAACATATACATCTTTTTATTGTGTGAATATGAATATTCGTCAAGGTCACAACTTCTGAATTGATATCAATGATTGCTTTGTGTTCCAAGGTGCTACAATTGCTTTACAGAGTTGCTTCCCTTAGATACGCCACGAACCTATTATCATGGGTTTGATCTGAAATTTGCCCAGATTTATTTGTCACTAACATACTTATACTGTTTGGTTGCAATGGTAAAGGTCTACAGCTTACAAAGTCACTTAAGTCTTTCCGAACTGAATGCCATAGTATAACTGAAATACTGTTAAGATATTCAAAGTTGATAGTCTGTATTCTGAATCTGAAAAATATAATTATTTATTGTGTAATTAAAAAAGTGCTTCACACTAATCATATGTGAGATTTACCTGGTGAATACAGATAAATGCTAATTTCCAATGTGGAAGTGGCGAAAGATTTTGATCACGATCAGACATTGTTGACAACCAGCCTTATAACATATTACTTGAAGATGGATCTCTGATGTGGTATAAAAGTAATTAGATTTGGCTGATATGAGGAAGGTTCCAAATGGAAATAACAAGCCTGTAACCCAAGATGTATTCTTAACAATATGTAATATATACCATCTATGAAAATCAGCTTGGGTTAAAGATTTGCTCACGGTTAGACATGAGAACTTTTTTTTAAACCTGTCGGATCGATGTTGACATGTTTTATCTCTACCTGTGCGTGTAGTGTTGTCACAAGTATCAAGCATGAGACTGCCAACATGAACACATTTGATAACTTGCCTAACGATTTCTAGAAGTATTCAGACTCATCCTTTCTTTCTCTTAAGTGAATGTTTATTTGTTTGTGACTTCATTACAAGAGTGATGGTGTTATCTGGTAAATTAAAAACATTTCTTATCCTGACTCATGATCTTTTGCTTATCTCCCTTTCCTTTTCGAATGGTAGTGGAACACTTGAATCCCTTGAAGTTCCCGAAGTGGACAAAATACACTCACCCACGAGTTACCTCCCTTTTGCCTTTTTCCTGCACAAACAGTCATGTGACCAGCCTTACTTGTCACTCTCTCCCATTTCGCCCAAGCGGATGGTTGGGTGAGCACTGGAGTCCCTTATACAGCATTATATCCCTTTTATTTAGGTCCTATTCTTCAAAATTAAACTGTATATGGATTTGGCAATAACTTCTATGTATTATACTAGCCACATAAAGAAACTGTGCACACAGAAAATGCCTTCAGAATTGGAATACAACACAGCAAAGACGAAATGATGTAGACACTTTATAAGCTGAAGTATCGGACCACAAGAAATTGTCAAAAGAACATGAACAATATCCGTAACGATGACGTCAGAAGTTCAAAATCGAGTAGGGGGTCACACGACGAAGTCACAAAATCAATAACGGGTATGACCACCATGTGCGTGAAGCACAGCAGTGCAACGACGACACATAGAGGCTACCAAATGAGCATTGGAGGCCTGGGAAATGGTCTGGGGCGTGGTCACTGCTGTCTGGAACCTGTATCTGAGATGAGTCAACCGAATCCACCTGTCCTGTCTTGGCGTTGTTACGTCGGGAACGCCCAGAACGTGGGTGGTCGGCGACATCATTACTGTTTCGATAACGCCTGACTCATGCAGATATCGTGTTACGATGGCATTGGAAAGTGCTGCCACCTGTTGTTGTCTCATTCCCGCTCGAACCATTCCAATGGCTTCATGAGGTTGAGCAGATGTTAATCTTGGCATGATGTGCATGTGACTTCTCATGTGAATTGGTGAACGTTTGAGTGACCAAAGATCAAGCTTTCGACAGTGACAGCAATTTCAGAGTTTCACATGTTGTGTGCATCTGTACGGGCTGCACCTGCAGTAACACATTGCAAGGCCTTAGGCCAGCGTCAATGACGTCACGTCGCCTGGCACGTGCATGAGCGTTTGATGGTCTCCAATACTTGCTATGTTCACAAATGTATTTATGTATAAATACGCTGTGTGCCTATATTTATATTTTCTGTGTGCACAGTTTCTTTATGTGGCCAGTATATATGTAAAAACTTTGTAAAAATTATTTGTATTTGGGTCTTGATTTAATCGTTATGTAACTTTGTTTACATTTCATGAAATCTTGCAGTGTTTGCAGGTACAGGTTGTCCATGGCTGATCCTCACACCCAGTGACCTTCGTGCATAAAAGCATGTTCTTCCAGCTTGCTCTGTACTTATTGTGTTGATTTATTAAATCTTCAATTTAATCAATATTTGTCTTATATCTTTAGATGTGCCATGGATCGGGTGAGGAAGTCATCTCAAGTCACGGCTGATAAAACAGGAGATCAGCCTTCAAACCGTATGTTGCTTGCTACTGCTGAAGTGCATAATACTGGTGCTATGTTTGGTGCGTTGCAAGGGCAGTCTGCTGGTACGGGGGCCAAGAAGAGATCGGCTACAACGCAGTTGACTCCAACTCAGGCTAAGAAAAAGACGTCATCTTCTACATCGCAGAAGAAAGCATCTGTTACCAGATCGGAGGGTAAATCTACACGTGCTAGTAAGTGAACGCAGCAGAAATGCTTCAACGAAGAGATATTACCTTCACATGAAGTAGACGTTTTTGATGACACACACACACACACACACACACACACACACACACACACACTCACACACACACACACTCACACTACTTCTACCTGAAGTACCTATGAAATCAGCGACTCAATCGACTTCTACAACTACTAGATCGTCCCCAGCAACGGTCACAGCAGGCCAGCTGTTTGACGAACTACCACCTACTTCTCAACGGAGTGAAGTTGAGGCGCAGAACTCATCAGCGTTCGCTAACGCTTCGTCTACACCGCAGCAGCTTCAACCAATGCAGAACTTTGACCCGGGCGAATTTATGAGAAAATTCACCAACCAGATGATGGCCATGATGGAACGTAGGTTCGAGGAAGAAGCGAAGGCTTGGCGAAGCCTCTGATCTACCGACACCGTGCGCAAACCTACGGACCTGCATGAACCTACTCCTCCTAGAACTACGTCTCAAGACTACGAACGTACACCTTTGTCTCCACAGTCGGACAACTCTGTCATCTTGGAAGAGGATAGAAGAGATGAGATGCCTACTCACAGTTCTACATCCGCGAACCCTCAACGTTTGAGAACATTGAAGGATCCATCTCCTACACCTAGCCGCTTTAGATCAAGATCTCATATCACTCACAGACGTTCGCAAAGTCACTCATCACGAGACAGAGGTTCGCGAAGAGAAGGCTCACATCTCAGAAGTTTGCGAAGGGATACATCTAGCGACAGACATTCACGAAGGGATAGGTCACATCACAGAGGTTCGTGAAGAGATGAATCTACAGATAGAGGTTCGCGAAGAGAGCACTCTCAAGATAGACGTTCGCATAGGGAGGAATCTTCAGATAGAGGTTCGCGAAAGGATGATGAAGGTTCGAGAAGGGTTACAGGTTCACAGATGGATGAGTCGCAGAGGCCTAGCACTAATAATCAGGAGACTTTGGATCAGCAAGCAGACTTCGTCTTCCCAGACTCAGAGGTTACAGCGTGGATTGCCAACGGGTTGAACTTGGAGTCTCCTAAGGATAAAGATGAAGTCTACACTTACCTGATGTGAAACGACGACTTTGACTCCGTCACTATCCCTCCGATTGAACCTATATCCAAGGTACCCTCTAACCTACGCACAGCTTTCGCGAAAGCATCCAAGTACCAGAGTCAGCATCTGCCATCATTTAATGTGAAGAGATTTCCCTTACATCATATGGATCCATTTACAAAGGCGCCTGAATGGGATGATAACATAAAGTTAGTCAACGACTCCTGAAACAAGATGTATAAAGTGGAAGATAAAAAGTATCTCAATTTGATACTGCTACAAGGAGATCCTTCTTCGGGTTGGCCAGGTTCCGAGCCATCAATTAAGCATTGATCAATAAATTCCAGGGGATAGAATGATATATTCGGCCCTCATAACACAGAAGAAGGACCAATACTTTTTATCGGACCATCTGGCATCTGCTGACGACTGCTATATCTGCAGGTCTCACTTTACAACGCAGACAGGGCTACTTGCATCCTATTCCTGGAGTGATAGATTCTCCCAACTGCTACTGAGAGCTCCATGGGAGGCGCCTACTATCTTTGGAGGACAAATAGACGATGCAGCTAAGGAAGCTACTCACGACTCTAGAGAAGTTATGATGATAAAATCCATAGATACTCTGGCCAACGACGATTCCTATTCAGAGGGCAGCACTTCCAATGGAACGTCCTACCGTTTGGAATATCTTCTGCTCCGTGGCTATTCACACGAGCAACCAAGCCTATAGTCGCATATCTACAGTTTATCGAGGTCTACGCAATGCCTTCTACTTGGACAACAGAAGTCAGGTTCACCAAGATGCCAGTCAACTCAGACTACAACTGAACTTCACGATCAAGTTGCTCACTCAACTAAGATGGCTGGTGAACCTTATGAAGTCAGAGTTGGAACCAAAACAAGATCTGCAATTTCTGGGGATAAGGTTTATCACAACACAGAATCATATTGTCATCCCAGGTGATCTTTGGGTCAAGATACAAGCCATGATTCCACCAGCAGTCATCTCTCTGTTAACACTACGATCATGGCAAGTTCTACTCGGTCTACTAACCTCGGCGCAGGACTTGACTTCGCTTCCAGGAAGGTTACAACTAAGACCGCTGCAACAGTTCCTGACAAAACATCTAGACAGCGTAAATCGACAAGGATCCACAAGGTCTCCAAGACTGCTACAGCTCACATTCCAGTTGTTCCACATCACGGAGGAAGCAAACATCTGGATAAAGGCGTGTTACATATCTGGAGCCAAGAACGTACTTGCAAGTCAAGCCAAGTGGTACTCCCGACCACTGCACCCATCACCTACGGAATGGATGCTACATCCAGAAGCATTCAGGCTCATCATAAGGGAAATTGGATCCCCTTGCATAGACCT